GTATTTTGATCTGAATGCAGTGGACGATACTGAAACGATAAAATACCCATTTGTTGTGAACCACAATGTGTGAGTCAAATCAAGGGGCTTACAGCTAACTAAAGTAATGCAAATACTCGGTTATTTGTAAAAATATTTCTACCTAATATGTTAAGTGAATATTGTGAAGCCCTTTCTTCTAAAACACCTCTTTTTTACTTCCTAAAATATTATATCCTTAATCATGTAATTCTCACTTTTTTATTCGTAAATCCTAACGGTCTCTACGGCGGCCCCTATTCTAGTGCCATCAGTAGCTTGACGCCAATAAAACAGGTTTTATAACAGCAAATGCTCTTTGTTTGATAATGTGCACAGAAAACGACCTTCATACAAACACGAAATACCATGAAGTGTGGAGATGCTAGATATCCTATAAAAAAAAAATATTAGTTCAGTAAATTATGTATGACTTATAAAAAATGTAGAAGTATGATTATTTATCAGTTATCACATATAGTATTTCAAGAAGAGTACCTAGAATATAATCGAAAGTAAGTTTACTATGAAACTTTTATCCATTTCATATTATGAAAAGCACTATATAGCATAGTAAACAGATTTGTTTTTCTTAATTGAAGTATAGCTGTCATTACCTCGCTTTATTAATTTTTTTTTTCTTACTCATGTCGATTTACAGCCGACCTTGTAGTGGGGATAAAGTAAAAAACACTAGACAAGGACAATATAACAGTGGGGATGACTTAAATCACCTCTCCACATAGCATTCCCGTTCTTATTGTATATAATATGTATTGTGTCTGATTTTAATCGCATATCTAATGTTTCATTAATTATAATTCTCATGTTTATATAACACTAGGTACAGTTCCGAATAGAAAAACTTGGTAACTAAAACAACGTAAGTTAAATTACAATTAGTTAAACAGAGAACAATTATCTTAAGGGGTTTTTAAATTATATCAAAGCATGTGACCAGTTCATTACCGTCGAAGTCAAACGTTCGGGAAGATAACATGTTAAAGGAAAAAACCCCGTGACATCTAAATCTTTCCATGTGCATATGACGTACGACAGATACACAATGTTAAATATTCATATGTAAATCAAAGTTTTTGTTGTATATATCGGTACAATTCCTGTTATTTAAATAATCAATAATTAAGAGAACTTGTTGAAATTATCGGGCGTCATCCGCATAACCAATTACATAGCACCTTGTGCAGGTGTAGTAACAACACTGACTTTCTGTAGATATAAATAAAGGTGAGATTTTTCTCATAAAAATGTTAACATTTAAAAGTTTAATGAGAAAAAATCAAATGTAATGTTCAATAAATAAGTTAAATACCATTTAAACCTTCAAAGCTTAATAAGCTGGCAGGTGTGAGTTTGAGTCTTAAATTGGTTAAAATATATGAATTTCGTATTAAATTTTAAATACTTTAATAATGTTTATGCATAGAGTAATATTTGATTCATTTGAAGATGTTTGTCACACTGGGATTTAATTCTATCAACGGCGAGTCGAAAACAAATCGCGGCTCGTAAATAAAGGTATTGGGAACAACTCTGTTATCTGCAGCTGCAATGATCGCCTTGTTTATTAGAACTAGCGTGTGTGTCGGGAGCAGGATGCGATAAAAATGAAAATATCATTATGTACATAACGTATTCTATATAAATATTCTGAAAATGACTCTCAAAATTCTGTACATTTTAAAATGGAATGTGAAAGTTAATTAAAACGATAAAATAATAAACTAGGATATCAGGAAAAGTAAATTACAAGTAGACTAGAGCAAGCTTACTTTTGTGTAAAGTTCAAATCTTATTAACTCGGATAATATTTGTACAAACAATCAATATAACAAACGCACGCCCTTCCAACAACAACAACAAAAATACTTTGTCTCGGGAGATCTGGTTAGATTAATTATATTTGAGATGATAACGACTAAATATCTATACGACAAATACAAAGATCTAGTCATTCCTAGCACATTACTATCACATTATGTTCTTTGTTTACATTATAAAAACTACATGAAAAAATCGATAACAAAAATAATTATATGAATTGGAAAATTTTTTCAACAATGCTGATACAATCTTCACATTTATAATACTTTAATCTTATTAAAAACTTGCACCCTATATGCTTCTCTATATGCTTTGTAAAATAGAAGACAAAAAGATAGACGCTTCACGCTCAGTGTTGCACACCGAAGACGAAACAATAGATTTATAAAGTTATTACGTCCATTTAAAAATAGTTGTCAAACTATCACTTTTGATTACTGATCGGAGATAAGTAAGAACAGCTGATATATAGAAATAGTAGGAAAACAAAGTTATATAAATTCATAACCATCATGTGCTTTGAAAAAACACTGAACTTCTTTTAAGCTATCGTAATACATTTAAAAATAGGTACAAGTTTAACCAACCTTTACTTTGGAAATTATCTATCAAGGACAAAGAAATGTAGCTATTAAATTTAGATAAAAAAATGTCTCAGAGGAAGTCAATCGAACAGGATCAATGTGTTGGGTTAGGGTAACCCCTATAAAACTGTCATGATAAGCTTGAAAAATGACCTCTACCACTTTATATAATTAACCGCATCAAAACACTCACTTTTCCATAAATATTAAGGATATGCTAGTTTTCTCAACTGAGAGGATTACGATACGCGGGGCCTCGGAATGAAAACAAATAAGAAAAACATCACAGTTGAACAGCAGAAACATGATATACACTGCAGTTTGTGCGGTGACCAAAGATCTTATTAATGAAGAATTTATGTTCATAATAAACATGCTGATAAACATTGGAGGCTCATAATAAACAACTTTTAAAGAACGTACGTTTTAAATGGTCTATGCATTATAAAATTACCACAAAAAAGCCTTTGAATATAGACGACGATCACCCCTTCTTGTGCTTTATTATGTGAAGTAAATAAAGATCGAGACCATCCTTAGTTGGATTAAAATATATATCTTCATATTACGTATAATAATAAAATAACTAAAAAATAGTACTGTTAAGTCGAGATATCCTAGAATTAGCCGTCGATCATTGATTTTTCTCTTTAAATTAAATATATTCAATAGACAAGTTTATTATTTACAAAGATAATAAAAATAGAATTTACGACGAAAATACAACATTCAAAGTAACTAGAACACAGCAGACAGAAATGCAAAATGGTGCTCCGGGCCCATTTAATAAACTGAAATAAATTCGTATACGAGCGATGGCATTGTCCTCGAACAAAACTGCATAGAATATACGCCGCGCGTTTTCTTCCACAGTTCCATTTTCCAATTTTATAGAGACCATACATCAGTTGAACATGGTCGTACACGAAGTATTGTAGCTGCCACATTCATTAATATATTCACCTGAAATATTCTTTCTTATAAACACTGAATTATACATATATGGTTGATCTTCAATTAAATTATGAGGAGGTCAGGAGGACAAGTTTGCTTTGCCGAATTCCTTCCTTACTGTATGCATTCCGGTAAAGCGACCAAAAATGTTAGATGAGTCGAGTGTTGAGCAAACACAATATAGTAAAGTAAATGGATAATAACTTACCCGAATTCATTCGTAAATACTGTATTGCATTAATAGTATTAAAAAGTACCAAAGAAAGGTAAATCTCTATAAAAATTACAAAATATATGAAATCCTCATTGAAAAGAACTTATGAATAATGTCGCAGAAAGTCTTTGTACACGGTTCCTGTCTCATTCATAGTTCATACGACCCCGTAACAGTTATATACACTAACCAAAATACATAAAAATTATGTACATTGATTTATAAATGTAGCTTTGCATCATCCAAATTAATACATACAATGACATCTTATTATATTAAGAAACCCTCCTTGTTTTTGTTATAATCTATAAGGTTTATTTTAATGGCATCTAATAATTTTCATTCCATATATTGTATTAGAAGTCGGAGCTATACATTTTTTATTCTTATTTGTTTTGTTGTCGAAGCAATTTATTGAGAATCGGTAACTTACTCTGCAGTACCTATTTACAAGATTTACGAAGACTTGTGTGTCGAAAACGAAAACCATGTAATTTTTATCTTGAATAACTATCATCACTACGACGCATCGTCATTTACAAGAGGCTGTAATAATAATCTTCCTTTGGAAGGGTGGGGGGGAGGGATGACAAAACACAGAACGAGATCGAATACATAACGTTCGAACTCATGTATTATACCTGTTACAGGCCAGAGTGCGTTAACAACGAGTAGAGTCCAATGTCCAAACGCGAGAGGAAAGAAATAGGAAAGATGTAGGCAAATATAGGAAATTAAAGAGATAAAGAGGGTGAGTTGGTAAACTACAAGCACATGCGCATGGTATTTTTGTTATGCAGCGAAGGAAAGGCGTCGAAAAATTATTCATTTCTTTTGCTTGATTTGATACACATATAATTTATTTTCATTTCCACATAACGAAATCTCACTTTTCCCGCGTGGAGGAACTCCATGAACTATTTTTTGACAATTTTTCTATTTCTATTCTTTCTTTTTTGTGTCTAAAAATTTTGTATATGTGTTTTATCGAAAATTTAGTTGGGTCTCATAAACTTACATAATTATTAAAATTTAAAATACAAGTTTGACGTATAACAGTAAAATATCTGGACACCGAGCTTTGCTCGGTATTTAGGAATTATTAGTATTTATTTTGTATTTTTTTTTATTTCGTTTGGCAATTTTAAGTGAACACGTTAGGAAGACACGAAACAAATTAATTGTTGATTTATACAACAGTTAATTTCTTTTTAAACATGCGCAAAGTACGATGCAGCTATTTCTTCAGACATGATTTTTGTGACATTTTGTACAATATAAAGTAAAACAAATGTATTTCTAGTTTTTATTACATAGATCCGTTAAGTAAGTGATTTTCTGGAAATCGACCTTTACGTTAAATTTAGCATACCTAAATATATTTTTCAACTGTCGTCTACTAGATTCTTTGACAAAACAATATTTGTAATCCAATCTACCACTGGGCTAACTGGTGATATAATAGCTGCAGAGGTTCCGGGAGTCAGCTCCAAATGTGTAGTATGTTCTTCACAAGTCTTTCCAAAGCCTAGAGAAAGAGCTTCATGTCCTATTATAGACTTAAAATCTACTGCATTAATTCGACCGAAGTGAGATATTTTTATATTAACGCAATGTATAAGAACAACATCTCCCATTTTTATTGATTTTCTTAATTCAATATATCCAGGATACGATATAAACTTAGTTACAGGAGTAACAAATCCTGTGATGTTTGGAAAATGGCTATTATATCTTACGAATACTTTATTTTTTTTCATTAAATCGTCGAAATCCTCGCCTATGCAGTGAGCTGCTGACAGAACCCAAACAGAAGTAAGAGCTGAGCCCGTGCATATTTGCTGAAAATGAATAATTTTATCTTCCGTTGCTGAATCTAATAGTTTCTCCTCTAAACGGATAACATAAGGAAATTCGCCTTGAAAAGCATCTCTCCGCCAAGAATTCGAAGACCTTGCTCACAATATTGACACAACGTAGCAAAAATTACGAAAAATAAAATCATATTCCACGGTTATGGCTTTTCTATATAATGTGAATATTATTCTGAAGTCATAATTTATTTTATTGCACAAACGTGTTGCAATAGATTAGTTCATGTAGTGTTGCAACTTTGCTTACCACCAGACCAATCAGAGCTAGATCGTGAAATGAGCAGACAGGCGTTATATGTTAACTTTATTATATTAACTAATATTTACAAAACAGGAAGGGTTAATATAGTAGATCACTGAACATTTTTTCGGCGTCGGCACGTGACGACCCCATCGCCCACCAGAGTATCCGGTGCAATAGTCCTGGAGGGGGGGGGGGGGGGGGCGTTGACATCCTTGTGGGGTTTTGGTCCAGAATTAGAGGCAAATAATTCTTTAGCTTTCCTTGAAATACTTGTTCTAAAAAATTCTAACAATACTTTTATACTGTTTATAGAAAACCCACACACACTTGTCATACATCGCACAGACAAAGAGAAGCATCGGTACAAGGGTTAAGGAACATTACAGACGTCAAAAATAGGCACGCGTCGAAGTTAGCAGTGTGTGAATATGCATTGGTCAAACCAGACCATTACATTAGATTTCATAAACCACATATCCACGCTCGTGAAGACAGATATATAACAAGGTTAATCCGAGAGGCTATTGAAATTAAAAAACACCCCAATTTCAATAGAGAAGATGGCTGGAACCTATCAAACACCTGGGATCCTTTTTTTAAAAATATAAAATCCCATTTCCCAGACCACACCGCAGGACCTCGCAGCGGTACGCCAGAAAATTAAGAAATCGATGGCGGTAGGTGATAAAATAACAAGACCGACTGACAGACACATCTCGTCTGCCCGTGATCATGATTGCTGTAAAGTAACCGAAACGTCGGGAGTATGTAGTTTATAGTCAAAAATAAAAAATCATGTAGTAAATCCGAAAATATTATTTTCATTTAAATATTGTACAAGAAACCATATTGTATAAAAATACAATAACTTATAATACCTCGAATAAACGAGTGATGTGTTTGGTAATTGTTCATCTCTAGCTAAAGAGGTCAAGGAGGCTATTTAGTTTTGTTGTCTATTTTAAAATATTGTAGAATATTAATTTTTAGTTGACATTCTCCTGCACCTGCCACCATCTGCTTCATCTTCATCGAGGTTATTCCCAGATCGTGCTATTTGCTTATCAAGGATCTTCTCGGTGACCTACACCTCCGAGCGTTCATTGTTTTTCTAAGATTTCTGTCAGTTGTATTCAGAATGCTGCGCTACATAACATCTATTATAAAAGTAATTACTTCAAACGTGAATACAAATAATGGAACTACATAAATATTTATTGCTTTTACATGGTATTGGAGTCCTGTTTTTTTAAACATGCGTAAAGTATGATGCAGCTATTTCTTCAGATATGATTTTTGTGACCTTTTTATACAATATAAAGTAAAACAATTGTATTTCTAGTTTTTATTACATAAAATATAAACGTCTCCTTAAGTGAGTGATTTTCTGTAAATCGACCTTTATGCATATTTTTTAACTATCGTCTACTCAATTCTTTGACAAAACATTTTTTGTAATCCAATCTATTACAGGGCTAACTGGTGATATAATAGCTGCAGAGGTTCCGGGAGTCAGCTCCAAATGTTTAGTATGTTCTTCACAATCATCAAATGAAGTTGAATGTACGCCCACAATACCTGATTCATGAACAACAGGTCCTCCAGAGTCTCCTCCACAGATGGTGGCCGTCAAAACACATGGCCTAAATAGACAAAGCGCACTTGGAGACAGATTAATACTATCTCTATCAGGACATTTACTTATCATCCCTTTCAGAACTTGTAATGGTTTCTTTAATGAAGACGCATTTGTTCTTCCATAGCCTAATGAAAGAGCTTCATATCCCATTAGAGACTTAAAATCTACTGCATTAATTCGACCGAAGTGGGAAATTTTTATATTAACGCAATGTATGAGAACAACATCTACCATTATTATTAATCTACTTGATTCAGTATATCCAGCATGCGATATATATTTAGTTACTGGAGTTACAAATCCAGTGATTTGTGGAAAGTGGCTATTATATCTTACGAAAAACTTTGTTTTTCTTCAATATATCGTCGAAATCCCCATCTGTGCAGTGAGCTGCTGACAGAACCCAAACAGAAGTAAGAGCTGAGCCCGTGCATATTCGGAAAAAGTGAACAATTTTATCTTCCGTTGCTGATTCTAATAGTTTCTCCTCTAAACGAACAACATAAGGAAATTCGCCTTGCAAAGCATCTCTCCCGCCAAGAATTCGAAGACCTTGCTCACAATATTGACACAACGTAGCAAAAATTACGAAAAATAAAATCATATTTCACGGATATGGCTTTACTATATAATGTGAATATGATTCCGAAGTCATAATTCATTTTATTATACAAACGTTTTAGAGCCTGTCCAGAAAGGGCGATTTACGCGCGTTTTGATTTGTATCGTGTCCAGATGCGGCGAAATCGCGTGCGTATGTGATGGGACGGATTTGGTCAGTTATTTGGTTAGTTTTTTTTCCTTCTCGGAATCACCAGCTTCACAAAAAAATTCTGCTATTTCTTCCCAGTTCCTACCCTTAATAGTTCTATTATAATAATCTGACGATTCCATATCTCATATAGCTACCCTTTTCTCAATTTCGTCAATAAAAGTTCCGTTTCAAAGTTTTCACGCTCAATTTTTTTAAAACGAATACGTCCACTCGCCGCGGACATGCGCGTCCAATGTAGTGTATTATTGATATAGTGTATTGTAATATAGTGTATTATCTATGTGCGCGTCGTTCTGGACGCTGCAACGGAGCCGGAGTATCTCAACTCGTGCGTAATTTGCGCGAGTCGAGAGACCCGCTCATTGCAAGCATTTTACGCGCGAGTGAGGTAACGCGCGAGAGCATCTGGACGGAATGAATGCAGCTCTAGTAACTCGAGAACGCGCGAGTGGGTTAGCGCGTAAATCGCGCTTTCTGGACAGGCTCTTAGAGTTGCAACAGTAGTTCATGTAGTGTTGCAACTTTGCTTACCAGCAGACCAATCAGAGTTAGATCGTGAAATGAGCACACAGGCGTTATATATTAACTAATCTACACTTGAATTTGGTAACAAATTGATCAAATGTTAATAATAATGACAGTTATACGAAGAGCAAGACCAAGAAAATAAAAGAGACCACGAATCAATCAGATTTATTCATTAAACGTAAATGGGTAATTCTCACGAAATGCCGATATTTGGCTATCTTAAAATGACAAAAAATATTGAAATAATTTGATATTTATTGTATGTGAATTTGTTAGTACTAATGTTACTGGAATTTTATTATATGGTGGTCCCAAAAATACTTGCGTTCTATGAAAGTTATGAGGACATTAATAAAACAAAGTGAGGGAATGACAACCAGGCGAGGGAATGATTACTTATTACAGACAAGTTACAGCTGAAGTTTTTTAAACAAAATTAGAGTTCTTAAGAAATCTTTTTATTGAATAAAATTTTGTTCTTAAATAATAACTAATAGTCCAAGAGCCAGCGCCCGCCAGGCCTTCGTTAATATATAAAAGCTGAAAGTTTTTCTATAGATGTACCCAATACAGGTAGTCACGATCCCCACCTATGAAACTTGGGTCGGGGTGGCTTTGGCAGGTAACAGGTTCTAAAGGTGTATAAAATTGACTTTCTAATTCCTCATAGTATAAAACTCAGTTTTGATATATTTTGTATCTTAGAAATCACGCTGTCCATTGCCAGGCACTTAGTACGGTTGCAACCCCCTTCCAGGCACCCCTAAATTATAAGTAATTATTTGTACTTTCGTTATAGTATATAAGCTGATTTTTATATATTATGTTACCGAGGAAAGTATTAAATTATATTTGCTCAGTAGCCAGGTAGTTTTGATGGTTCTTTTAGCTGGCCAGGCACACTGAAAGTCTTCATAAGTGCGAGCGCGAGGAACATATCGTCGGTGAAGTACCAATACCTCCTAAGTGTCGAGAATCTAAGTACACCAGAAGAAAAAAAATAATTAAAAAAAGATTTTATTTATTTTGATCAACTATTTATACCTAGTAAAATATTTTCTAATACATTACCTTTTTATATGTTATGAATGGAAATGTTCATGTTTACATTTTATAGGTAAATACTTTATTACGCTAATTTCGGTCTTTTCCATGAATTTATAATATTATTTAAAAATCCAACCTACTTGAATATAATTGTAATGATTTTTGTGCTTCTTTGGTAAATAAAAGTAAATAAAATTAGTACTTGGGACACGGTGAGGGAATGATGTTAGGAACATTATGGTTAATGTATTTTTAGTTATTTATTAATACGGCTCTAAAGTCTTATGTGAAACGTTTAGGTATATTCATGTGGATTGTATAGAAATATTAGTAACATTTATTTCTTTGTTGGATTTTTATATAAACTCCAAAGGACAAGCATTTCGGAATTTCGTGAGAATTACCCAAATATGCTGGAGAAGAGCTGTCATTATAACAGAAATAATATCTTTACTTAACCTTCTAAATAAGAAGCCTGACTACACAAAAAGCAAGTATGAGTTTAACAACTCCTTATTGCAAGATGTTTATTTCAGGATTCAACCAATGTCTATTATAGAAATAGCAAACAATTACACTCCTTTATATAAACTATCTTTTTTCTGGCTGTCTAATATAAACAGATATTGATATTTAATAATTTAATTTAATTTTAATGTTCTTCTGTTGGTACGTTAATAATTTCATTGAATTGGTACTTGGACCTCACCCAATCTCCTAATGAAAATAGTCAATATGTACTACTCTCCTTATTAAAAACCGTTTTCTCTAACATATCAACTCGTTATATGTATGTTCCATAACTCAGAAATTATTCGTCGTTTCGGGAGAGAAACGTAGTGTTTCAGCAAATATGAAGTAAAAACGACATCACATACATTGTAAAGTATTAGGTCGTCTAAACATTTGAATTTTAGATTATATCTACTACTAAAGTCATGTTTTGTCTAATGTTATATACAGTTTTAAAGTCATATAAGGCTCGTCCTAAATACTTCCTGGATCTCTTAGTGACAATAAACATCGTGCGTTCTAAAGATTGAAGAACCATGAATATTTATTTAGATTATTACAACTATTAATTGAAAGAGCTCGTTCAAGTTGCAATACAATTAATAGAAGACAAAATTTCGAAGTAAATCATTTAATATTTAAGACGATTTTTATATCTAAATGAATGTACATTTACAATTGAAACACCCCTCAGTATGTAGATACTTTATTGATTGAAATACATTCTATATGTAGTTAGACTTAACACTAAACAAAAGTGCACCGAAACAAAGAACCGACTCCTTGGAGGAGAAAACAAATATAAGGCGGACCAGAGACGTGTGCGCTCCGACTAGTAGACTAGTGTCTGACACCACACGACACTATACATACGAGTATTAAACGATTACTGAGATCATAGAGATAGTAAACATATATTACACTTACAACGTAACATAAATATAAGGAAATAAAGAACCTCGAACGATACAATAACACAGAGACGACTTGGAATGACAGAAGGTTGTGTTGGAGACGTTACCTCCTATATATGTATCACTACACGATAACGAGTATAATACTTTACTAACGAGAGCCGCCGAGCTCAGATAAGCGGTGGGGTGGGGGGTGGGGGGGGTGACGGGCGATATCCAAGATGTCCGCCCGTGGTGGGGACGCGCTGTCTAAGCCGTCTTGTTGTCCTTGTTCTCGTACTGCAGCACCTCCTGCAGGTTGTCTATCTTGATCTCCTGCACGTGCTTGCCGGAGAACTGCATGTAGTCGTGAGGCGGGTCCTCGGCGGAGCGCTTGCGGACTGGAAACATTAACAACGGATGTCAGTAACACCGTGTGCGTGTGTGTGTGTTTATGCGTGTGTGTGTATATATATTTTAACAATATATCCTTTCTCACTGTGTGTGATATGTCATATGACAACTTTTTTTGGTAATTAAGTTTCGTTTTATATAGATGTTTTTAGATTAATATTATTTTTTTATTCCTTTTTGTTGTTATATACATTTTTTTTCACCATTTTTTTTTATTGTATCTAGTAAGTTTTGGAGTAAGATCTAAAGATTATGTTATCCATGTTGAGTTAGCCTGTAAGTGATGATACCCAACTGTAAAATTAAGTTCCATCATGTTATAATGTAGTTATAAGTTTTTGTGTATCACGTTGGCTTCCTGTTAAATAAAATGTGTGTGCGTGCGTGTACGTACTGGCTCCGTTCTGTTCGGCGGTGAGCCTGTAGGTGGGTCGCGGGGCGCAGTCGTCAGCGAGCCTGGTGAAGGTGATGGCGGGGAGGGCGGCCCGCAGCGAGGAGCGCACGCGGGACACGTCGAACTGAGAGCCTCGCTGGAGACCCGCCACGAACAACGACGGAGACAGCACCAGCTCCGGCTCCAGGTCCATGATGAAGCAGCGGTCCGAGTCGATGATACCTGGAACGGAGACATTCAAACATTGAACAGCTAGTTGATACTAGTAAGGGTGGTTCACGTTCTGATAGTCACCGGTGGTGTTGTCGTTGAAGTCGTGTATGAAGCTGACCCGGTGCCCGTTGTTGAGGACGGAGATCTTCTCCACGTTGTCCCCTATATCGAGCTCCTCGCGCAGCGCGTTCACGAGCTGGTCGTCGTCCGAGGTGCTGACCACCTGCAGGTCCTCGGCGGACCAGCTCAGAGGCAGCACGCGGAAGTTGGGCTCTATCATCTGAGAGTTCTGGAGCTGATGGTGGAACAACAATCATTATTGAGGAGGAAAATTAGGAAAAACATTTTAATGTAAACTATATCTGGGACTGGCAGTCATCAAATATACGAAACTATAAATTCATTGATCCGAAATAACCAACTCGTCTAAACAAACCAACTGTAACTTTTCATACGTTGGTTAAACTCAATCAACACACTCACGCCGCCTCGCCGCTCCTGACGTCATTGATACTTCATAAAGGATCATATATTTGATATCTTACCACGTGATCAGACAATTTTAATAAATATTATTGTACTGTACTAAATTTAACAAAGAAATCTAAAAACCATTACAGAGAAAAGACAACTTTATTCATTGTATATTGGTTTTACTCGTAATCATATTGCGACGCCGCGAAGTCCGGGATCGATACGTTTAATAAATATTAGTTAAGTACAGCGCGGACTGCAGGCGAGACCTTTAATATTATATTAAGAAGAAATCAATGGCGGGCCGAGCTCCGGCAGGTTAATGGAAGTGATGTATATGATGAGACAGGATTGTAAGACGGTACACGAGGCGTAATTCCGAAGAAGATACACACATTAACATAGTATATAAACTAGAAAAAATCCTAATCTAACATTTTTAAGATGACTTTTGGAATATACTATATTATATATAAATATTATTTTATATTCAAAGGTACTTCTAAACTATGATCTAATATATAGCCATCATTATATGTCTAAAATGTAAACTAAGACTTTGGCGAGTAAACATTGAAATAAAACTTATATATTTCAGATTTACTGCGCATTTATAATTAATTTTATAAACATACGACGTTTCGGTTACTATACATCTTATTTGTTAATGTTTTTCATCTCGTCAGCCCGTGATCATCGGGAGTATGTTGATAAAATTATAAACGCAAAGTAAATCCTAAAAATGTCTAAAATATAATTTAACCGGCGACATAACGCTTCAAACATTTTACAATTGGAACTCGTGATCCAGATTCCAGTGTAAACAATGTTCACAATTTATTTTATTGATCTCAGCACGTGTCACCTCTGACCGACGGTCAATTGAAGCGACAATTGAAACAGAAAGAGATCAATTCTAACAATAGAATTTTTATACCACACAGATACTGACAGAAATTGTTCTAAAAACCGAGATTCGTATCCTATCACTAGTTGCAACTGTGAAATAATTAAGAAGGAAGTATAAACCACATCCTAAACATAATTATTATATATGGGTTTAACATTTCTTTTCGAGATGAGTAACTTAAAATATTTCTTTGAGATTTTTGCATTTCAAATTCAATGACTTACGCCGACTCTGAATCCGACATCTCTATGCAACGAGAAATCGTGATAAAAATCTACCGACGACTAAACTCTGAATTTCAAGCCATAAAAACATGCGAAAAAATTTTTCTAAGTATAACTGAAAATTTTCAATCATAAGAAAAAAAAATATAGAGCTGATCAGAGCGTCCCAGAAACAATCGAAATAAACAATATTTTGAAAACCTCTCATGTAGACATGCCTGGAGCGTGGGAAAGAAAATATAACGGGTGTGAACCGAGCATAGGTCAGGTGGCTTAGAAACTGATGTTCCAGTTGATAAAACTTCTCAGCATCAAAGATCATATACATTGTTAGATTCTATTAAATCTTTTCTATTTACAGCCATCCAGGAAGTCAATAATAATTAATACAAATCTACTGTTCAATTCGTAAGAACTTTCGGTGCATAAACTGATATAACAACTAGGTCAGGTGTTGTAGTGTCGAGACATTTCATTATTGACACTATTGACATCAGTTCTAATAATAAAGAGCGGTGAGAACATAACATAACACTGGCAACAAACACACAGACAAAACAATATTTGATAGAGCTCTTTCCTTTATACTAATGACAAATGATCAATCCATACAAATGTTTTGTTTCGTAACTACAAGTCCTCATTAAGCCAATATCGGTACAAAATCAAGAACTCACAAGAATCATTTTTATTTGGAACAGGATTTATCAGTTAAAGCACCTCCACCTATAGTTGTACTTGTTTCAGTTACTACATTATTATTATGTATTTTGAAACATTGAACACCAAAAATATTTAAAACTACAGTCCTAACAAATGCATCGACCCTCGAAATTCAATATTATGTAGATGTACAAACATCTATTATTCTATATAATCATTAAATTGAATAATGTTCATTACTCTATAATCTCATAGTGAAGGCAAGCAGTACATATTTTAAAGTAAATCAAACCAAGACACTAAGCCAAACAAGTAACAACATCCATCAAATAATTCATACATCAAATCTGTTTTATGTTCAATTGCAAAATGGTTTAAATTACTTGTGTAATTGGCACACAAGTACGGCATCCTGGATGGGAGCCATTTTGTTTGTAACGATTCACAAACATATTGAGAGTTGTGTTACAGAGTACAGCATACATGGATCATAGTACTGTGATCATTGATGAATGATGTTTATTGTGAATGTTCTATAGGGTTGGGCTGGAATCATGATATACTTATTGATGGATTATTATGAGTTCTTGAACCTAGAGTAAAAGACCATTGTAAATATATATTTTTAATGACTAAGACATAATTTGAATATTAGTCACATTTAAGTCATCTAGTTATTAAATGCATTATTTAATATTCCAAGTATAGAGAGAGAGAGAGCACTATATCCACTTAGATAATGTTAATCACTTGCCTGTGGAAAGTAATAATAATAAGTATATTAAAACTATGTGCTTTGAAAACCTCCAAGCAGACCTCTTTCTCCTACAATGTATACATGCAAAACTTGTATATCTTAATTCATGACAGATTTGATGATATTACAAAAAGCTGAATAGTTCATTTATGAGCGCTGTAACTATGAATAACCATTGAATTATTTTGTGTAACAATAAACTGTCAATTTAAAATTGAAGCTGGCAATCACTATACATAAGAATAGACACGATTAATTATGTATCTGGTACCAATATGATCTTGAGGCCAGATTGAGCGATAGAACTTTTTGGCAAAATAATAGAGCCGTTGGATGCACAAGTAGGTAATGAGCTTGAAATAAGTTAGCAGATAACACACCACTATTTGATATCTTATAATATTTTAATTTAGATTTTTATGTTTTTTTAACTTTGTTGATGCCCTACTGTCATTTCACCCGAAGGAATGTGGAAATGAAGTTATGAACGGTGAACGTGATATACCGGGAACAACCTTTTCTTTGAAAACATTCAAATTATAATTGTAAGCAAATACATATACATTGAAACTATTCTGATCCTTTTCTATGTGTATGAGGAAAGCAGAACGAATCGCTTCATTCATATGCGAGGAAGAACTTCAACAAAAAGATGAAGGACGTCTTCTGGACGTCCGTATAGAAAAGGGGTAAAGAAATTAAAGCTTGTAATTCCTGCGCACACTCTACACCTACTATTAAATCAAAAATTCTTAATAGTGGTCATTAAAATCTCCTAGAAAAACCAGCTGTACTGATGAGTTCCACAGTAGAGCCAAATCGGCCGCCTCACTGAGATTATTCAAATTCAAATTTACATCTGCTTAGATTGTACTAATTTTGGGTAGCCGAGAAAAACTGTTTATTACTTAATTCCTATCATTAGAGAGTGGGTGTAATGATAGCACATAGAAACAATGTATCATAGTGTAGTACAGTACTCAACACACATAGTCATCTTTGTATGAAAGACGAGCTAATCTGATGTTAAAATTTTAAAAATTTATGTTTGTTTTTAAAATTAATAAAGGCTTTCACTGTAGTTTTATATAATATTGTAAACCTCATATTAGTTAATTATTTTATATTAAGTTATGTTAATAAGTTATTTATCTGTGAAAGTGAAATATAAAAAGACTGATCTACTCACAACATCTTTAAAATTTCTCTGGTTACAAAACTATTATTTTCATTTGTTTACTTATTTTGTTTGGAACACAGCATCAGAGCAGCAAGGTAGTTGGTTGTAGATGTATATATATATATATTTTATCAACTACCTATATTTTCTTATTAAAATTTTATTTTCAATCAAAAATCATTGCGATTTGATGAGTCCTGATCCAACTAAAGTCCCACTGTACCTACTACTCGCAGCCTAACAGAATTTTAACTAATTAACTACAAATTTCTTGTAAATCGATTTATAACATGTACTAAAAAATCATTGTATGACAATCGATGACATGAGGCATGACAATCGAAAATTATGAAGCATAATAAACAATAGTAAGATAAGATTGAATAAGGCGGCCAACTTTCCGAAAACTGAATGCGGGACGTAACCTTTCGTGAATGGCGGGGGGGGGGGGGGGGGGGGTGTTAGGGATTGGGAATGTAATAAAAATCTTCACAAATGCCCATATTAAATGTAAGTACTCTCTTACGTGTCATGAGTTCGGAAGAAAGAAAGAAAACGAGATTAGCGCGGGCGCGATACGCTTGTCCCTATTATAGGTAATCTGTGTTCCTGCACTGTTGACCGTGGTATGGGTGTTATGTAGAAGTGTGGTAGAAAAATAGGGATGCGGGACGCATACAACGTTTTCCGGGACTATTTTACTAATAATTTCAAAGCGGGATTTCGTCAAGAATTGCGGGACGGTCCCGCAGAATGCGGGACGGTTGGCCGCCTTACGATTGAATACTAATACTTGTTTAACTTTGATTATATTGATTATATTTCCGTAAATTGGCTTTAAATAAAAATTTATTTTTTCATTATTTAGTAACTAAAAGAAAATACAAGATAAATGAAAATTAATTATTAAAATATAAAAGTATTATTTTTTTCCATATCATACGCACCTCATCGCAAACACCTTTCTCTACCAGTGGAGCACTATTTACGTCTGGTTTTCGTATAATAGCGCTCGGTTTCGTTAACACAGTCATTTTAAGTAATTAAATTGATAGTATCGGCTACAGAAATAAGTAAACAACAGTCTACGCAGTTATTATTGCGAGACCATTTGAAAACTGAATTACATTGGGCGATCGATGCAATAATCCAGAGATTCCACAGACAATAAATCTAAGAAGTTAAAAGACATTCGTAAAATAATGATAATTTGTATAAGGCACAAAACAAAGTATTTTATATAGTTTTTAATAATTACATTCACAAAAAATATTTTTTTAATAAAAATAAATTTCATAATTTACATATTACATTTCAGAGACTTATAATAATTTTTGTAATATAGTTTCCAAAAGATACTTTTATTTATAACAGTAGATATATATTTTCACTTCGATATGTTATTTTGTACGATTATTTGAAATAAGCTTAATTTTTCCTAAATGTCTCTCGTAGATAAACTTACAATATGCATCAATGTTTAGAAATTCTAAAAATAAATAATTTTGATAAAGGTGCAGCAGTCAATAATTAATAATATTAATTTAGTAGATTTTTTGGTTTAAAATATATATAATTAGTTTTCTTTAAATCTATTTGTTATACTGTGTATTCTTTCATTAAAAGTACCATAGACAATTTTTTAATGAAATTAAAAAAAATGTTTATGGTACAAAAAAAGAAAGAATTCAAGAAGGTAGGAAGGAAACGAACGGTTTCGTTTTGTGGAATATTCTGTGGAGAGGTTAATGAATCAGCAACGCCTATAGTGCCGTTAAAACATGTTCGATTAGTTTTCTAGAATATTATTTTTAGTTATTTCTTTATTTCATTGTATATTGCGTATAATCGTTAGCAACCACGACTACTACCACACTAAAATGGCGACGGATCCAATGAAACACCGCATGCATGTTTTCAAGAACACTGGCAAAGATGTCGATGTAAGTATAAAAGTAAAAAAAAGATTTTATGAGGTATAGTTGATAGTGGTGGGTCGTTGACGATTTTACAGTCGACGCAACGAGACCGTTTACCGTCGACGATAAACTAGTTTAAAAAACAGTCTAATTTTCGACTAGTTTACGTCGTCGTCGAAAAGACTACTTCATCACATAAACGATTAGTGAACGTGAACGAACGAAAGTCTCGTTTACCAATTTGACGATGTGAATAGGTATGTACATACGTCGTCGTTTAGTAAACGAGATTATTGAGAATGAAATGACATATTGTTGAATATATACTTTATAGTTTATATATACACTTTAATTTATGTACGTCTATTTTACAGACTTAATATTTACAACACAAGCACAAACAGAATTATCAAGTTTTAAACACAATTATACACTTTAATTTAAACTTTAGGATGAAAACAAACGAAATATCAATTGAATTGCATTATTGCATAAATTTCGTCCACCGCGCGACGACGCAACATTTCAAATTTCCAACAACACCTAATTTATTAAACTATAGAGTACTAAAACAAACAAAATTCGCAACTTTTATTTCTTATTCTTATTATGATAGAGACGTTTCTCGTGTAGCGCTCCCACCAAAACGTCACAGGTTGAGCACGTGCCGAAAAAGAAAGAGATAGTCAATTAGTAAAACAAGCGAGCGTAAAGAAAGCGGTCTATTCAGTTGGTGTCGCGACTCCTCGCTCGCGTCGGCAATGTTCGGGTTCACTCGGTCCGTTCACAACGGACTCGTCAACCAGTCGACGAATAAACTAGTTTATCTGTGAACTATAAACTAGTTTTATCGTTCACGTACAAAAAACAGTTTAGGTAAACGGTTCGTTCATACAACGCCCACCTCTAATAGTTGATAAATATATGAATTATTGATTTGTCAATGTGCATGGTTTTTAGGAAATGCGTAGACGTAGGAACGAAGTGACAGTGGAACTTAGAAAGAACAAAAGAGAAGAAACATTACAAAAACGTCGCAATGTCCCCGTTAGCTATTCAACAGACGAAGATGATATCGATAGAACGCTGGCATCCACGGATCTCGAGGAGCTGGTGATGAAAGCGGCCAATGCAGAGAACCCAGAAGAGCAACTAGCCGCGGTTCAACAGTGTAGAAAGCTTCTGTCCTCCGATAAGAATCCACCCATAGACAGTTTGATAACGACGGGAATCTTACCTATACTTGTTCAGTGCCTTTCTAGAACGGATAACCCGACACTACAGTTCGAGGCGGCCTGGGCCCTCACGAACATCGCGTCAGGAACGTCCGCGCAAACCAACAAAGTGGTTCACGCGGGAGCAGTGCCTCTATTTTTACAATTGCTCATGTCTCCTCATGAGAATGTGTGTGAGCAAGTTGTGTGTGCCCTGGGTAACATCATCGGAGACGGGCTAGTCCTGAGAGACTATGTTGTTGAACTAGGTGTTGTGAAGCCCTTACTCAGCCTTATAAAGCCCGGCATCCCCATTACCTTCCTGCGCAATGTTACATGGGTCATTGTCAACGTCTGTAGGATTAAGGATCCTCCCCTGCCCGTCGAGACCATTCGGGAAATATTGCCAGCACTTAATGAACTTATCACTCACACAGATGTAAACGTAAGTCATTTTCCTTATAATAAATTGTGAAAGTAAAGGAATTAAAGAGACATTTAACTAATAATATACATATCATAACTTGTATATCTTAGAAGATAATGAAGCATTTCATTACAATATTGCCACCTTTGGTATGATACTAATGAGTAAGTGCTAATTTTAACAAAGTTTTCAAGGAATGAATACTAATTTTATGTTCTAAGATAACTGAGGAAGGTTTTAAGTAGAAGTTAAATAAATGTTCAAACATAACTAGAAATTGTTTATTGCAGCACACAATTTTTGTTATATTAATTACCAGAAAATGATAACATAACATTTTTATTGTCTGATTACATAATACTTTCTTGTCCTAACAGGTGCTAGTAGACACAGTATGGGCCATCAGTTATCTTACGGACGGAGGCTATGATCAGATACAGATGATCATAGAGTCTGGTATAGTTCCAAAGCTAATTCCCCTGTTGTCACACAAGGAGGTGAAGACTCATGATACTATGATATACTTATTGATGGATTATCATGAGCTCTTGAACCTAGAGTAAAAGACCATTGTAAATATATATTTTTGATGACTAAGACATAATTTGAATATAAGTAACATTTAAGTCATGTAATTATTAAATGCATTATTTAATATTCCAAGTATAGAGAGAGAGAGAGCACTATATCCACTTAGATAATGTTAATCACTTGCCTGTGGAAAGTAATAATAATAAGTATATTAAAACTATGTGCTTTGAAAACCTCCAAGCAGACCTCTTTCTCCTACAATGTATACATGCAAAACTTGTATATCTTAATTCATGACAGATTTGATGATATTACACAAAGCTGAATAGTTCATTTATGAGTGCTATAACTATGAATAACCATTGAATTAGTTTTTGTAACAATAAACTGTCAATTTAAAAGTGAAGCTGGCGATCACTATATATTTTGAAAACATTCAAATTATAATTGTAAGCAAATACATATGCATTGAAACTATTCTGATCCTTTTCTATGTGTATGAGGAAAGCGGAACGAATCGCTTCATTCATATGCGAGGAGGAACTTCAACAAAAAGATGAAGGACGTCTTGTGGACGTCCGTATAGAAAAGGGGTAAAGAAATTAAAGCTTGTAATTCCTGCGCACACTCTACACCTACTATTAAATCAAAAATTCTTAATAGTGGTCATTAAAATCTCCTAGAAAAACCAGCTGTACTGATGAGTTCCACAGTAGAGCCAAATCGGCCGCCTCACTGAGATTATTCAAATTCAAATTTACATCTGCTTAGATTGTACTAATTTTGGGTAGCCGAGAAAAACTGTTTATTACTTAATTCCTATCATTAGAGAGTGGGTGTAATGATAGCACATAGAAACAATGTATCATAGTGTAGTACAGTACTCAACACACATAGTCATCTTTGTATGAAAGACGAGCTAATCTGATGTTAAAATTTTAAAAATTTGTGTTTGTTTTTAAAATTAATAAAGTACATAGGGTTTTCCCTGTGTTATATAATACAGTTACCTTATTTTAGTTAATTACTTTTAATATATGATTTTATTTAGTGATGTTAATAATTTATCTGTGAAAGTGAAATATAGGAAGACTGATCTACTCATGACATCTTTAAAATTTCTCTGGTTACAATACTACTATTTTCATTTGTTTACTTATTATTAGATCACAGCATCAGAGTAGCAAAGGAGTTGGTTGTAGATGTATATATATATTTTATCAATTGCCTATATTTCTTATTAAAATTTTATTTTGAATTAAAAATCATTGCGATTTGATGAGTCCTGATCCAACTAAAGTCCCACTGTACCTACTACTCGCAGCCTTACAGAATTTTAACTAATTAACTACAAATTTCTTGTAAATCGATTTATAACATGTACTAATAAGTCATTGTATGACAATCGATGACATGAGGCATGACAATCGAAACTTATGAAGCATAATAAACAATAGTAAGATCAGTCCCCTCTTTCCCACTGGGCACTATGGGCATGTGCCCAGGGCCCCGCGATCGAATGGGGCCCCCTAGTTCCTTCCAGATTACCAAATGATAACCGATATTTAGGTATTACCGAAAAACATTCATTTTGAAAAATCGGATGATAATGACTTACTACAATACCTACGCTTATTATATTAGCTTTAGTTTGCCGCATGCGGATAGCTATTCCTTGTACAACATAGCTTGAACTTTTTGACAGATGGGTCAGTGATGGAAAACAGAAAATATCTATTGGTGTAAAAAATGTGTTGGCTAAATATGTGGCTGTATGTATGTTTTAAACTATTCAAAATAAATAAATTCATTCGTTTATCAATTTTATTGCACTAGACATAAAAACATTTTTTTCAGTTTTTCTATTTAAATTTTACTTCGAAGCAATAAAAACCACTTAAGACTTTCGGATAATGCTTGAGTCCTTAACAGGTACTTTTATGTTGTGTGTCTATTCTTATGATTATTATCAATTTTTAATATTATTAAAATAAGAAAATATTGTTCGTCGTTGCAAAGTTATATCGATTTCAGATTTGACATCCGTCAAAAAGAAAGATCAAACTAATCTTCTATCTTCTATATATATAAAAATGGATTGCTGTTCCTTAGTCTCGCTAAAACTCGAGAACAGCTGAACCGATTTGGCTAATTTTAGTCTTGAAATACTTCTGGAAGTCAAGGGAAGGTTTAAAAGGTGAGAAAAATTGGAATAATTGCCGGGAAAACCCTAAAAACAGCAATTTTTTATTTCCCATACAAACGTTTTTTTTGACAACTAACTAATATGTCAATCATTCTGTTTGTTTGAAAAAGGAAAACCTGATTATTTATGGCCTCTAAGACGGAATAGAGTTCGCCCGATCAGCTATACCTACCTACATATATTACTCTTGACCAAATTAACGCGGACGAAGTCGCGGGCAAAAACTAGTAAATATATAAATATACAGGGTATAAGTACTCCACTCCAAAAATGAGTTTTTCCGATATTAGTATATTTAGGTTAAAACAAGTAATTATCTTCAGAAAGAAACAATAACACTGGACGTTGCAACCAATTTGTTGACTTCACTTTATGATTTTATTACTAACCTCAGGGATAAATTTGATAACTTCGAATTATCTGCCAAAGAAAATAACCCAGAATCTGACTACAAGGATCTATCTCAAAGAACAAGACGTAGAAGCTCACGGCTGGAATTTTTTGATGGCTCTGGCCATCAGTCCAATTGAATGGAAAAGAGCGATTCAACGTAGAAACCTTTCTCCCAATAATCGATACCTTCAGTGTTCATCTAAAACAGCGACAAAGTTCATATGGGACCGTCAGTCAACGTTTTAGTTTATTTTTTCACTTAAAAACTCTGAATTCCTAAGAGATACGACAAGGATGCAAAGAATTTTCTCAAATCTATCACGAAGATGTAAATGAAAAAGAGTTAGAAATAGAATGTCAACATTTAAAAGAATACTTAAAAAATGTTCAGAGTGAAAATGAAGCATCTAACAGTGTACAGGAAGTATATAATCTATAAAAGCAAAACCAAATTGAAGACACATTTCCTAACGTAGAAATTGCATTGAGAATATTTTGAAGTATGATGGTAACTAACTGCAGCGGAGAACGCTCCTTCTCCAAGTTGAAACGAATAAAAAATGAATTAAGAAGTACAATGCTTCAAGAGAGATTAACTAGTTTGTCGCTGATGTCCATAGAATATTATATTCTCAATACCATAGATTTTGAAGATGTGATTAACGATTTTGCTCATCTTAAATCTAGAAGGGTACCTTTGCAATCAACATAAAATTAATCTAAGGATTTTAAGTTAAGCGAGTTACTTTTGTAGATTATTTTTTATATTTCCTATTTTTTTTTATAGTTAGTAACTAAATAAAAATAAATTTAGAACCTTTTTGTGTCTTTCTTTATCTATTGTAACTAAATAGTGTTTTCTCAAGGTCATAGGGGCCCCATGATCCTAATGTGCCCAGGGCCTCAAATAGTTTAAAGACGGCATTGAGTAAGATAAGATTGAATACTAGTACCTCTCGTATATCATTGGGGAGTGGTATCGCGCAGAATCCTTGGTAGCGGCGGTTGGAGGCGTTCATGTACTCGCGGTACACCGTCAGGCCGCTCGTGAAGCCCAGCATCAACAGCAGCATAGCAGTCAACGACAGACACAGCATAGCTCTGGACGAACGTACCTCCGGACCAGGGTGGATGTCAATTTTCTCCTTTATAAACAATTTTTTTATTTTATCCTTTGTTAGTTACAAAACACATCTTACTAAGTTTGTACATAATTATTAAAATAATGTTTATCAACATAATGCGATTTATATAAAAAGTGCATTATAATATACGCCCAAATATATACGCAGCTTTTGTTTAACTTTGATTATATTGATTATATTTCCGTAAATTGGCTTTAAATAAAAATTTATTTTTTCATTATTTAGTAACTAAAAGAAAATACAAGATAAATGAAAATTAATTATTAAAATATAAAAGTATTATTTTTTTCTATATCATACGCACCTCATCGCAAACACCTTTCTCTACCAGTGGAGCACTATTTACGTCTGGTTTTCGTATAATAGCGCTCGGTTTCGTTAACACAGTCATTTTAAGTAATTAAATTGATAGTATCGGCTACAGAAATAAGTAAACAACAGTCTACGCAGTTATTATTGCGAGACCATTTGAAAACTGAATTACATTGGGCGATCGATGCAATAATCCAGAGATTCCACAGACAATAAATCTAAGAAGTTAAAAAACATTCGTAAAATAATGATAATTTGTATAAGGCACAAAACAAAGTATTTTATATAGTTTTTAATAATTACATTCACAAAAAATATGTTTTTAATAAAAATAAATTTATTTTACGTATAATATCATAATTTACATATTACATTTCAAAGACTTATAATATTTTTGTAATATAGTTTCCAAAAGATACCTTTATTTATAACAGTAGATATATATTTTCACTTCGATATGTTATTTTGTACGATTATTTGAAATAAGCTTTAATTTTTCCTAAATGTCTCTCGTAGATAAATCTACAATATGCATCAATGTTTAGAAATTCTAAAAATAAATAATTTTGATAAAGGTGCAGAAGTCAATAATTAATAATATTAATTGAGTAGATTTTTTGGTTTAAAATATACATATCTAGTTTTCTTTAAATCTATTTGTTATACTGTGTATTCTTTCATTAAAAGTACCATAGACAATTTTTTAATGAAATTAAAAAAATGTTTATGGTACAAAAAAAGAAAGAATTCAAGAAGGTAGGAAGGAAACGAACGGTTTCGTTTTGTGGAATATTCTGTGGAGAGGTTAATGAATCAGCAACGCCTATAGTGCCGTTAAAACATGTTCGATTAGTTTTCTAGAATATTATTTTTAGTTATTTCTTTATTTCATTGTATATTGCGTATAATCGTTAGCAACCACGACTACTACCACACTAAAATGGCGACGGATCCAATGAAACACCGCATGCATGTTTTCAAGAACACTGGCAAAGATGTCGATGTAAGTATAAAAGTAAAAAAAAGATTTTATGAGGTATAGTTGATAAATATATGAATTATTAATTTGTCAATGTGCATGGTTTTTAGGAAATGCGTAGACGTAGGAACGAAGTGACAGTGGAACTTAGAAAGAACAAAAGAGAAGAAACATTACAAAAACGTCGCAATGTCCCCGTTAGCTATTCAACAGACGAAGATGATATCGATAGAACGCTGGCATCCACGGATCTCGAGGAGCTGGTGATGAAAGCGGCCAATGCAGAGAACCCAGAAGAGCAACTAGCCGCGGTTCAACAGTGTAGAAAGCTTCTGTCCTCCGATAAGAATCCACCCATAGACAGTTTGATAACGACGGGAATCTTACCTATACTTGTTCAGTGCCTTTCTAGAACGGATAACCCGACACTACAGTTCGAGGCGGCCTGGGCCCTCACGAACATCGCGTCAGGAACGTCCGCGCAAACCAACAAAGTGGTTCACGCGGGAGCAGTGCCTCTATTTTTACAATTGCTCATGTCTCCTCATGAGAATGTGTGTGAGCAAGCTGTGTGGGCCCTGGGTAACATCATCGGAGACGGGCCAGTCCTGAGAGACTATGTTGTTGAACTAGGTGTTGTGAAGCCCTTACTCAGCTTTATAAAGCCCGGCATCCCCATTACCTTCCTGCGCAATGTTACATGGGTCATTGTCAACCTCTGTAGGAGTAAGGATCCTCCCCCGCCCGTCAAGACCATTCAGGAAATATTGCCAGCACTTAATGAACTTATCACTCACACAGATGTAAACGTAAGCCATTTTCCTTATAATAAATTGTGAAAGTAAAGGAATTAAAGAGACATTTAACTAATAATATACATATCATAACTTGTATATCTTAGAAGATAATGAAGCATTTCATTACAATATTGCCACCTTTGGTATGCTACTAATGAGTAAGTGCTAATTTTAACAAAGTTTTCAAGGAATGAATACTAATTTTATGTTCTAAGATAACTGAGGAAGGTTTTAAGCAGAAGTTAAATAAATGTTCAAACATAACTAGAAATTCTTTATTGCAGCACACAATTTTTGTTATATTAATTACCAGAAAATGATAACATAACATTTTTATTGTCTGATTACATAATACTTTCTTGTCCTAACAGGTGCTAGTAGACACAGTATGGGCCATCAGTTATCTTACGGACGGAGGCAATGATCAGATACAGATGGTCATAGAGTCTGGTATAGTTCCAAAGCTAATTCCCCTGTTGTCACACAAGGAGGTGAAGACTCAGACGGCCGCCCTGAGGGCCGTCGGCAATATAGTGACTGGAACTGATGAACAAACACAAGTGGTACTCAACTGTGATGCACTCTCACATTTCCCAGCCTTACTTTCACACCCCGTAAGTTACAGCAGTATTTATGACTTCATTTATTATTAATTTATTCAAGACAGATCTTGAGATAGATTTGGTTTGCTAACAACAAACTATTAACAGGATGTTAAGTATATTTTAGTATACAAAAACTAAAATATAGGTCCTGTTATTGATTTAAGCATCATTCTCCAAGTAAATAAGCAGAAAGTATATTGTGTCTATACTTTTGCTCTAGCTCATTTGAATTGTTTGACTTAGAATATATATTTTTTCTGTCACTCAGTGTTTATTTTATTTATATTTATATACTCTTTATTGCACACTAATATAGACAAAAAGAATAGGAGTAAAACAAAGAAAAGAAAAATTTACAATGTACAATAGTGTTTAATGAGGTTGTGAGTATTAATATGCAAAATAAACATTGTTTTGTTGACAGAAAGAGAAGATCTGCAAGGAGGCGGTGTGGTTCCTGTCTAACATAACAGCGGGCAACAAGCAGCAGGTGCAGGCGGTGATAGACGCGGGGCTGCTGCCCAAGATAGTGGAGAACCTCAGCAAGGGAGAGTTCCAGACACAGAAGGAGGCGGCCTGGGCCGTGTCCAACCTCAGCATCTCGGGCACGCGCGAACAAGTGGCGGCGCTCGTACAGTGTGGAGTCATACCACCCTTCTGTAACCTACTGGACTGTAAGGATTCACAAGTCATCAATGTGAGTAACACTGACATGTTTATCTATGTTAATGAAAAATATAAACTATATATATGTTAGTATAACTCTTGCCTCTAAGTGTTGTCAATTCAAAATCTCTAAATATATTTAAAAAACGATTAAGAACCCATAATTAGAAGATTTCACTGATCTTGTTTAATATCACTACTGTTTATTATTTGTAATTTTAATGGTAGTTATAGTCTTTAAAATTTCCTTTGTAAGCAAACTTTGTTCTTTTTGGAAATAAACTTCTCTAAACCTAAACCAATATATTCAGATACTTAGCAACAACTGTGATCACATGCAGACGAGATGAGAACTCATAGTAATCTGACAATATTAGATTCATTTGAATGAATACTTAGTATAGTTTTACACCTCAGTGAATATGTTACTAATATGCCAAGTCATTGTTTTGCATTATTAGATTACTTGAATCTAGTTTATATGTACTTCAGTTAATTGATTCTCTAACTTTAATTACTGTTATAAATGCTGTCTGGGAACTTTATAATAACATATTAAAGTTTATAAAAAAAATATAACAACACAAATTTTGTGTTAAGTTGTAAAAATGAGTGTGGGTTACTTGCAATTATCAGTTAGAGGGACAATAATTTTCTGTCATTCATTTGTATCTAATAATAATAAATATATATTTGTGTGAGTAATATTTCTTTAAAATTTATTTAGGTACAGAAATAATATTTAGTATGTAGCTCCTAATATTATTGTTATGTTTGATGGTAGGTGGTGTTGGACGGCCTCAGTAACATGTTGAAGATGGCCGGAGACAGCACGGAGGCCGTGGCCACCATGATCGAGGAGTGTGGAGGAATTGACAAGATAGAGGAGCTGCAGGGACACGAGAAGGTTGAGATATACAAGATGGCCTATGACATTATAGAACAGTACTTCGCTGATGAGGTGAGCTACATACAGAAACTATTAAAACTTGTTATAATTTAAACATCACATTTAATGTCAAAATCATTTACTAGTGTTGCCTTGCAATTTTTTGCAATCTCTCCACTGCTTTGTATTTTCTAATATATATTAATAGAATGACAAACATGAATAATATGTGATGATTCAAGTCTGTGTAACACACACTTGTTTAATGGTCAGTGAAGAAGTTCACTTGTATTATATGATTAAATGTTTGAAAACATTTTAGAGCATATCATAATATTTGTGAATCGTTTAAAACTGACGGCTGTGACGAAATGTTGCAGAAGATATTAGCGGGATAATCAAGAATATCAATATTTTCAACCATTCACAGTTTTTTGCTAATTTATCTTTGCTTGTCTTGATCTAAAGATTGTAGGAGTTTTTCTTATATGATTTGTTAATTAATGAACATTCACAGAACATATTTTGTTTTTCAAATCCACGGCACTCAACATATGTGAATGTTTGTCACAAGATGAAGCTAGCTCTGTATAAAGTAGTTATAGATACATGTTGACCGTGTGTGTGTGTTGTTCCAGGAGGAGGACGCCACGGTGGTCCCGCCGGCCGCCGAGTCCACCTTCCAGTTCGAGACCGCCAAGCATGAACCCTTCCGCTTCTGAACACACACACTCACACACACGACACGCGACACACACACGCGTCCACCGCCCTCCCGCGGGACGTACCCCTGTATATATAAACACCGGAGCGCCGTGTCGTGTCGTGTGTCGTGTCGTCGTGGTGTCGTGAGGTCGGCGGCTCCGGACTCTTGTGATGTTTGAATTTCGTTTTAGTTGTAACGGCTCCGTGACGGACGACGGACGACAGTGGAATAGCTTTAACGTTTAAGTGGCGCGTACGCTGTACTCGGCTTACACCGATATTTGCTTTCATATAACATAGTATTTATGTTTCGATTTTTAACTCGGGAGTGATCGCTAACCTCGGGGTGAGAACAGTTTTATAGTTATGGAATTATGTTCTGACATTGAGCCCATTTGTAACTATATATCAATAAATTCTGTCCAATATTAAGAGTTTTTATTTTTATTCTGAACATCGATCGATACATGTGTAAGGAGACTGGCGACCCCGCTAGACGATGAAGGACGGGGCTGGATGCGGCTGGCGAGATCCCTATAATGAGGGGAAATATAAAAGAGTAGCAATTAGTTCAGTCGACTATTACAAAAGGATAAATGATAATAATAAATTCACCATCTTACGAAACTCGCACGCATAGCACTTGACGCTGACTGGAGGAAGGTCAGGAGACGGGGAGGGGGCGCGACACGCAGCGGCGGAGAAACGACCGACCTTACGATGGAAACTGGAACCAGGAGATATACTGATAACTATCACACGGTGATGTATGTGGCTCACAGAGAAACAATATTCTATACTCCAGCCAAATTCGATGTGGAATGTTTAATAACAAAGCGTAGCAACCAACGTCAGGCAGATGCTCAAAACATTTTTAGAAATATGTACAACATTTATTTTTGATGTTAATAAAAATTAAAATTGATAATTAATGAAATATTTAAGACAAAGGACTAAGCGCATTCTTGGTTATAATTATAATACTTATGATCATCTGGAATAATATAGATTTCAAAAATATACCTCCAATTTTAAAATGGTATCAGAAATTACCTCGTAGTTATATAATTTGCTTTATTAACTTTATCTATCGTCTCCCAAACGAAAGGACTCATTTAGATTAAATCTTGTGTATATTTGAAAAACACTCCAAATGTTACAAACCTGCGATTTCTTTACGTCAGTATTATAATATAGGGTTGTTAGTTTTGTAGTAATGTTATAGTGGTAATTTAAGATTTTTAAACATTTATTTTAAGCTAATTTCATATAAATTATGTATTGACCGGCTAAATATTTTTTTTGGATTCTATATTAAATTAAAATTTTGGTGTTTAAACAGGAAATTGCGTTATAATGAATATAATTATAATAATAATTATTTTTTATTAAGAGTGCATCAACCCTAATTATGATGACATGGTTTGTTTACTAAAATTCCAGATCGAATGTGGCTGAATAGTATAGTTACCAACTCGTCGTCAGAGACATCTGTCGTGTGTGTCATGTGACTATGAGTGCAGTTGTTGTTTTTTAGCTTTCCATTATTGATTTTCAAGCTACCTATCAGTGAATTGTTTTATATAACACATTGTTTCAATAACAGCTTATTTCACATATTTTACACATGTTATAAGTATCGTCGACGCCGCCAGTCGTGTATTGAAAGGAGTGAGTGTACTTAGGCAGCGGCTTGTCCCATCGGTTGTCGAGTCTGTTGCGGGTCATGATGTGTGCGAGTCTCTGCAGCAGGCGGTAGTTGTCATCCAAGAGTCGCGTCGCTCGCTCGTCCTCCCGCCGGCGAAGGTCCGCCTTCACCCGCACGTGCGGGCGGGGCGCGGGCCGGGAACAGTCGACGGCCGGCCGCGAGCGACTCACCTGCACACACACACACATACGACATACTTGGTTGTCAACGTTACCGTACTAATGGATTAAATAAAGAGGCAACAGATTTGGACATGTTTCACGATTCATTTTCAAAATTCAGACATACTTTGCATAAATATCTCTAAAATTGTAACTCTTTCACTTTTAATTTATGTGTTGTTTTTATTAATTAGTGTTGTTTTTTTTTGTAGAAGTAATTTAATTTAATTAGATCAAGGTGTTGTTGTTGTTAAAAACTTTTTAGACAGTGCTGTGAATACCTGTAATAGGTGTACATATGAAGACCTATACTTTTGACTATATTTTTGTGTAAATGTTGCATATGTGTAGGTACTGTTGGTGTTCATAAGTAAATAAATAAATACTTTCAGTAGATAAATACTACTATTTACCTATTTGAGTCTCGTTTGGTACCTTTTTTCATTGAATACAATTTTAAACATGAGCATAACAAACACGAATGGTAAAGACGTATATTAAAAAGCAATAACAATATGATATGATCAATTTTAGTCGAATCAATGTAGTCTTTTATAGATAATAGACATTGCAAGTTACCATGATTAACTTGAGAGATATTAGGAGAGTTGTAAGAGATATTCAGTGAGCGATCAGAAATAATCACGCTATTATAATGTGCAAATTCATCCTAGCCTGACCTTCGCCCTGTGGTCCTGGTAGCGGCGGTCTTGCCACGGCTGGACTAACAGCTTCTCTCGTCTTGACAACATCCTCGGAGCACGTTGACCCAACTACTGAACCATTAAGTCGAGTTCCTAGTTTCCATAGCATCTAGCTTACCGTTTGTTAAGTCAATACTCCGTCGCCATAGGAATGTACGAGGGGGAAGATTAAAGAAAACACAGTTTGCAAATTAATAAATAAATTATAATGTTAAATATTATACACTGCACTTACATCAGTATCATATGATCGTTACAGATTAATATACGCGAAAAAAATACAAACGCTCGGTTACATACAAAATAAAGACACTTTGTTGAGCAATCAATAATAAAAAAAATAAACGAATCACTCTATGGCTATCACTATACTCACTATGAAACGTGTACACCGACCGCGGCTCAACGAGAGGAGTCAGCTGACATGGCCTGACATCAGATCGAAGGGGCGTAGGAATGTTCGTTAGTTTATACTTTATATATATTTTTTTAATGGCAATGTAATCTCATAAAGCTATTTGTTAAAATTAATCAGCGATGTAAATGTACTTATATCTTTAAACGTATGCAAAAAAAAAATCCACACAGACACTCCGACATAATAAATTTAAGTCTATACCTTAATAAATCATAACTCTCGATTATAATACAAAACGCCTCGTCCATCTCTCGCCGCTATCAATATGTTAAGGGAAGACGCGCGGAACAGACGCGGAGCGGGTCCGTGTGTGAGGCTCGCGGACACCACATACATCATCGAGTATAAAACGTACAAAAACATCCCGCGACACACAGAGAGACGAGTCCTATCACAAGCGTACCGCATACCATGAAACAAACAAAACATTTATAAAAATAATTTAAATATGTATCAGTGAACGCGACGCCGGAGATGTGTTACGAAATATAAATGCGGAAACATCTCCGACCCGCGAGTGGTGTGAGGGAGGAGCAGAGATACATTCATAGAAAAATAAATCGGCACATTCACTATTAGATATAATGTTCATAGACGACGGAACATCACTATGAGGAGCTGCCAGGACAGGGGCGGTACAACACTAGAGTATGGTTAAATATTAAATACATTAATGGTGGTTCAGGTTGAAGGGAGCTCCAACGACGTCTCCTCCTACACAACTGTCCTCCAACAACGTCCGAACTAATATATGTGAGTTAAATGTGTTCCGGAGACGAGATCGGCGCTCAGTTGTCTTTATCTATCTACAATAAAATATAAAATAAAGCGTACAAAATAATACCGACGATGGGAGTGTGACCGAGCCGAACACTCGACGTGTGGCGGCCGGCACTGACTAGCGACTGACGCGCGGGGACTGGACCGGTGACATGACACACAGACACACACACTTATTATTTTTGTATAAAAAAAATATTTGGACAATTTCTGTTCCGGTTCAAAAGATTGCATGTAAATAAAAATCTAATCTCGGAGCCCGTCACTAGTTGGTCCCCGACGCGTCTTACAATAACCCATCCTACAGGTGGCGCCACACGCGGCCCGCGGCGTTACTACAATTGACATCTCCATAGACAACTAAAGTACACCGCAGTCAAAAACATCGTCATAAAAAAAGGAAGCATACATTTGTATATTAGTGAGTACATAATGTTAACACTTTTATCTATTTATAAAAATCATTTAAAAATTACACTACGCTTACAAAATAATATGATATAGAAATCGTCCTTATTATAATAAAGAATGCAAAAGCCGATTTTTGGTTTATCATAATATACTAGAGGCGTTGTATCAACGCCGCATTAGACTACATACATACATATAGTGTAGGGTTCCGTGAGAACGGCCCGGGAACCCTCGCCGGGACCGCTGACGTCTAGCAATACATTAGTTACTGCCAATTGTGCATTACACGCAGTCGGCCGTTACAGTTCATCTCTACCACGGCGCTATAATGTCCGGTTACTTCTTTATTTCCGATCGATTTAAATATTTGTAATTGGTAGTCCCTGAATTCTATTCGTGTATTTCTTAATTTCATTTACAAAACGTCCAATACGACCCCGAAAATCTACCCCGATTCTACCCCCACCGGGATGCTACGTCGGTACAAAACAGCCAGTTATATAAAACGAAACGCTCAAACATTAGGCCGATGTTACAAGGATCCCGGGTGGAGTAGAGGCGAGGCGCGCGTGTGTCGGGACTCTACGACATAAATAATAAGAGTAAACTCGGCCAGCTGTGGGTCGCGTGACGTCATCTCAGCAGTTCTGGTTGGCGCGCGGCAGAGGGCGCACCAGGTACAGCTTCTCCCCCTGCTTGTTGGTGTAGATGGGGGCCCGCTGGTAGTGCGCCACCAGCTGGTCCAGGGTCGTGAACTTCCTCTGGCCGATACAGTACAGGTTGCCCTCCACCTGCACGCGGAAGTGCTTGTTGCGGCCCGGCGCCTTCAGCGACACGGAGTAGTCGCCCACCTGCACACCACCCACGGGTTAATACACGAACTATACACGTATACGCCGACTGGGGAGGGGTAGGGATGTGTGTGATACAGACGTTGGTCTCCGAGTCTCGGATGAGGAAGTCTCCGTCGTGTCCGTGCTGGTTGAGCAGCGCGTCACAGTGGGTGCGGGTGATGGCGCCGAAGTACCAGGCGCGGCCGACCGCCCCGCCGCCCACCCCCGGCCCCGGCCCGCCCGCACCCACACGAGACACCGCACTGGACGGACCGCCCTCGGACGCCTCGCTGGAAACAGACACGGCCCGGTTTAAAGACATTTATTTCTTATAAAGAACACAAAAGTTCACTTATAATAAGAAATTACAATAATTTTGCATGAGGGTACATTTAAAAGTCTGCCTTAAGAATTATATACAGTGAAATAAAATGTTGCGGGTAGTTATATTACACAAACATGTTTAGGTAGGGATTACATTAACTTATAAATTATTTGCACATATTCCATTACACGTTTTTTGATTATAGGAAAACTTGGTATTAATGATTAAATCTGATAATTAATTTATTATTCTGATAATGTATATTATAATCCATGTTTCGGTAATCAGTATTATATGTATAGTGCTTTTTATTGAGTGTAGTATGCATTTTATTTCATCTAATTTATCAATTTTTACAAGACTTTTTATATTTGTATACATATATAAAAATTTTAATGATGATTTAGTTTTATGGATGTCCTCGTAACAATTCAGTTTCTGATAACTAATATTGAGTTCTTCATTGTATTGACTCTTTATTTTGACAGTTTTGGTCCTTGGCGCGTACTGTTTTTTGGGTTATATTTTACAATTTTTGGAACATCATTTATGTATTTTATAATAAGGTCTTTTTCTCAATTTTATGTCGGGATACTAGTTCATCTTGTAGTTTTTTCGTGTGTTGTTGTTGACACAGTTTAAATTCGGATTTATGTTTGCGTTTTATATTTATATTAGGTACAAGCACTGACACGGCCGGTTCTCGACTCGACTCGTATATTGTATGTATGTGACGGTGTGTGTGTATGTGTGTGCGTGCACCTGTAGGGCTGCGTGAGGTAGTCGGCTAGTTCCTGCAGGTAGTTCCTGGGCACGAGCCCTATCTGTCCCCGGTTGTCCCGCGCGCGGTACCACTCGGGGTCGGAGGGAGGACGCTCGATGATCTCCAGCCGGTCGCCCTTCTCGAACGACAGCTCCTGCTCGTTGTTGGACGTGAACGAGTACAGCGCCACCTGCAGCGGAACATAACAAACTCACATCACTTACTGGGACAATGTGAACGACAATATATTGGTTTGTATTCTTATATATATCTATATACCTCTTTTTTTATTTTTTCTTTCTCATTTTATTGTACCTATTCCACATTTTTCATTTCCTCTATCAAAAGGGTTTCTGGTAGAGATCTCTTTTAAAAGATAAGTTATCCTTTGTACATCACATTTCTTTTATAATACTTTAATTGTAACTATTTTTTCTTTTTGATACATAAAAAATTAAATATATAAATCACTCTCAAGAACAACTAGCTTTTGTATTTAAATTAATTTGTTTCTACTAGTATTTAAAGTAAACTTCAAGTAAGTAAACTTTTTAAATAGAGCTCTAGTTCGTCACGCTTATAATACTAGTTCTTCTAAACTTACAACAATATCGAGTACATTCTCAGCCATCGCGTAAGTGTGGACGGTGTCCTCGTCTCCTTCCTCGCTCGTGTAGTTTGAAGGAAACCTTTAATATGGAATAATTATGACTTCATCAGTGACGAAGGTGACTTGGTCAAAAAATTTACTTTATTAAATTCAAATATTTAATTATACAGTGCAAACTCGATATAACAAATCGGAGGGGAACAAGAAAATATTCGTTATATCAAGTAATTCGTTGAACTGAGGTTTGTTATAATGAGGTAAGGTTGGTCTAAAATTCGTTATAAAAAGGTAAAATAATACATAGTTTTACTAACCTCAACATTACGTAAATATCTTGTTATAGCGGACAACTTCTACTAATAAATGATAACACATTTTTATCAAGTTACTACTGTTTAAGTTCAAACCACTTTCTTATGAAAACTTATCTTTAAATTTTAAAATTGTAATCAATGTACTTGCGGGAATTCCGAACTTATTAGCTATGTTTAATTTATTCGTCATAGGATTTTGGTCAACATAATTAATGATGTTTCGTTTTTCTGCGACCGATAAGGAACACCTTTTACGCTTCTGAGCCACTTTAACTTAAAACTTTAACAATTGTGACAAGCAGAAGTGTTTATATTACTTTTCATCAAACAACAACTATTACTTTATGAACAAAAGGGTGTCGAAACATGTCGAGACATGAATTACAATATAAGATTAAGAGTTATATTATTGGTGGGAAATTTATATAAAGGTTTTGGGTTGACAAAATTCGTTAATTAGAGGTATGAATACTTTTTCTTGATAGTTGAAAATTCGTTATAAAGAGGTTGTTCGAAAAGAATGTTCGCAATGTAGAGGTATATTTTATATTGAATCGTACGGACAATTCAAGGGGATTACGAGAAATTCGTTCAATCGAGGAATTCGTTATATTGAGGTACGATATATTAAGGTTGCACTGTATATTCCTGATCATATATGTACCTTACCAAGACTGTTTACCATCAAATGGAGCACAGACACTACTTTTCTTTCATAGATGTCAGCACGTGACACTAAACCAACTATTACATGAATGAAGAGCTGGAAACTGTCCATGTTTTGTTTGAGGATGACAGCTAGGTAGAGGTCAGATATGTTCAGTACTACTGTAATGTATATATAAGTCATGTACCATCCCGTGTGTCCCTGGTACTGCCCCCTCCACCAGCCATCGTTACTCTTCTCCAATATCAGTATGCGCGTGCCCTTAGTGAGCGCCAGTTCGTCTGGTTGCTGCGCCTGGTAGTTGTACTTGACGACGGCCGTGCCCAGCGCCTCCGTGGGCTCCACACGCCTCGCGCCCGGAGACTCCCCGCCACCGCCACGCACTGGAGAACTGTTCGACGGCAGGGTCTTAGAACCTGAACCTTTCTTCACCTTCTTTTTGATGCTGGAAATCGAAATTAAAAGAATTGTTAATATATTCGTTACATTAGTATAACCCCAGCTACACTCACAAACTTAAACAACTTTATTCAATATGGAAGCATTACACTTTCTTATTGATGGTCACTTGAGACACTACCACCGATTCGGAAAACAAAATACACTGACCTGAGAAGAACCGGCAAAGAAACTCAGTGGGTTTTTTTTAATATATATTTGTCTCATATATTATATAAACAATACATACCTATCGAACAGCGAGGGCTTCTCCTTCTTGACATAGTTGCTGGGCACGTACCCCGACTGGCTGCGCGCGTTCTGTACGCGCCACCAGTGCTTCGAGTCGTCTAGTAGCAGGTAGCGCTCGTTCTTCCGCAGGTCCAGCTCCTGAGCTCCTTGGGCCGCGTAGTCGTACTTGGCTACCACGTAGCACACATCATCCTGAAACATTAGACATCATCTGCTCTTTATAAATAATAAAAGAATACACTATGGGATAACATTAACATTTCAGTGGAAAGATAGCATATACATTATACATATAAAAGATGGTCAGTGTATTTGAATCTAGATTTGACTTCTTAAAGTTCATACTTTTGGTTTCATCAAACATATGATTTCATAAGAAGAAAAGCAGCTTGTTCTATAAAAAATTTTTCACATGTTACAGTGTATAAATGCAAAAGTTAAATACCATATTTTATACCTTTCCAACAAAAAATATAGCATTAATTTTCTAAAAAACATATTTACAAAATAAATATGTTAAACACATAGTCTCAAATAAAAAAATATTGTTCTATTAAGAAAAAACTAATATCAAGGCTAATTTAAAATAAAAATACTGTACAAAAAACACTGCATACTCATTCATATTACCTTCAAAGTTCAAACACATTCATAATTTTTGACATGGATTCAAATAAATTTTATTTATTACTGTTAAAAATTTGCATACATCTCAAGGTAACATGATTATTAATATCACCTGGCATAAATTTGCCCGGCACATATAAATAAATGATGTATTTTAATCATAATGAAGAGTTGGTACTAACAATTATATAAAGGAAGCAGTTTCCTGAATGCTTCAAACAATAGTCTTGGGAATCTTGAGTACAACTTGCATCAAGTCATATGTTTTTTATCAAAGCTGATGCAGGTCTGACTTATAATTAAGAACAGTTTTCTCAACACAACTAAACACTGATAATTTAATGATTAATCAACTAAAGAGATGAAGACAACATTTTATATATGAAGGTGTATTAATTATAAAATACATATATATTAAGTTAATGATCGAAATGTGTGAATTAAATATAACTAGAATATTTAATTATTTTAACACAATCGTAATATAATTCTTCTAGAAGAAGAATTGTAATATAATGCTAATAATCTCTTCTTTTGCTTATTTTTTTTGTATTGGAGAACAATATACATAGTGTAATATTATAACTTCCTTCTTGATATATTCAGAGTATAATTATTATAAATTACAATGAAAACCTAACACCTCAAATAACAGCATTTATGTATAGTCTAGTCTAGTTTACTGTCTATAAATAACATAATAATACAAGAGATAATAACATAATATATAATAAAATACATTTAGTTATTTTTTATACAGGGTGACTGGTAAATTACTATCAATATTTAAGGAGAATACTCGGTACATGATTCTCATTCCAATTATGTAAAAAAAATAGGTACTTAATTTTTGACAAAATTTCCCTATAAATAAATAAAGTGTTGACACGTTCCAAGTGTTCAAGTGTGGACGCGTGCGGCGGCGTGCTGATACAACACCACGTCACGACACGCGTATGTGTGAGTGTCAGTGTATACCTAATCTGTAGGGTGTTCATACGATGCGTAATTAATTACACAACTTTTGGTTAACTTTACTTAGAAGTTTATTAATATTTATGTTATATTAATTTTTATTTGTTCATATATGATCGTCAAATATCACGTCCTCAAGTATCGATAGTAATTCACCAGTCACCCTGTATATTAAATGTGGTGAAAACTATTTAAGTAGAAATGTTGGCTCATTAAACATTAATGGTAATAATTAAATGGTGTCATTATATTTATGACTAAATTAATTATACAAAGTAGGAAAAAAATTACAATTACATATCTATTTTTTTGGTATATTTAAATATATGTATAAAATAATTTTCACACTTAAGTTATTAAGTGTTAATTATTGTACAGTAAACTTCAATAAAAAATAATTTGTTACATTATTGCTCAACTTGTTCTTTGCAACATCGGCCCTGATGAGTGGAAATTTAGAAGGTTACAGAGGAGAGAGCAAGGAAGTACATCAATTTATGAGCATTATTGTGTAACTGACTTCTAATGTTAAATGATGTAAGGTACTAGCATCTGTACATACAGTATGTGAGAAACTCATCTTTTAATATGATTTTTATAAAAGAGAATATGATTTTTAAGATAAATATTCTTAATATTTCTTGAAAAAAAAAATGTACGTGCCTACAATGGACATATGGCCAGTACTTAATAAAATATAGTTTGAAGCTACTGTGTAATATGGACGTTGTTTCCAATCAATATCGTAATGTACCTGTGTATTCTTCCCGTGCCTGGAGCTGGCCATGGCGTGCGGCGCCGGCAGCGGCTTGTTCGCCCACACCGAGTCAGCGGCGCGCACGGACCGCGTCTCCAGCATGACACCCTGCCTCTGGCACGACCCTCGCCGCTCGCCTCACTGATACATCTCGCCCCGCAACACCGCACCACCGCACTGCACCACTCGATACAACACAACACTATCCAGCTATAACTATACCACGACCAATTTTGTAATAAAACTCACGATTGTTAGTTATTGGACGTGCGAAATTATGATCGAAGCTATTTGTCGATCAGTGGGAGATGAACATTATGACATTATTAATACTTTGTAAAAGATATTTCATAAAAAGCTTATTTGGTGTTTAGCTGCCTGCGAGATTAAACTATATTTCTATATAATAATTCACTAATAGTATCACATTTAAAATATTTTACAAAAATTTTCACACAAGTCGGTGGGGCAGCGACGAATCAATAGACAAAAGAAAGGATTTATTTTTATTGGACGTTCATGGCAGAGAGAATGTTATTTTCTTGAAATAATAATTCATAATTATTCTTATCATAAATTACGTTGTAGTATTCATTTGTCAATTAAAGTTTTCTAGGGTTGTAATATAAATATAATATTTAAATAACACAAATAATTTTTAATGTTAGCTGTTGTTTTATTTAATCTATACATTTTAAATATCTGCTGTCTCCAATTGTCAGTGGTAAATTTTCTCGATTATTCAATAAAATATAAATCGATAATTTGTAATTGAACAAAATAAAAAATATTATGGGTGACTAACGTTACCCTTACGATACCCTTATAATTAATTTCAAATCAACCGATTTCAATCCCCTATATAATGCAAGGACTTTTCACTACGTAATTCTGTACCTCCTATGACATTTCTGAGGTTTTTTGCAGTTCCTAATTAGCTTCCTTTACCTTTTGCACTTATATCAATGGTGTTATTACAAAATAAATGTATTTTCTTATCATTGTATTTTAGAAGGTGTAGTTTAAGGAAGTTTTCATAAACTTTTATATTAAATACTGTTAATATGATAATGGTACAATAATATATTTTTAAAAAGAAAACTTCTACAGCAATTGCTTTAATTACAAGCAAGAGAAATATTGCGTATTCTGTATTCTATAATTGCTATTAATACAACACTAGATGTTCCTTTTGTATTTTTTATAAACATCGATATAGATATTAAAATTGCATCCGATACATCGATACTTGTTAGTTATTGCCGTGCATCACTATTAATTTGTCACGTTTGCTATCAACGTATTGAAAAGGTTTCGCTGAAAAAACTATTTTCTCGCGACCTTAATGTCTCTCTCTCATAACATTAGTTGATCTTTGGAAGACAATGTCGGATTCGGAGGGCAGTAATTACTCCGGGAGTGGCTCGGAGGCGGGTAGTGTTGTGTCTAATCGGTCCAGACGAAGCGCTGCATCAAATCGCTCCGCTAAGTCGGGATCTCGCTCCCGATCTCATTCTGGCAGCCGAAGTCCCTCGAGATCACCTTCAAGGTCAAGATCGAGGTCCAGGTCACGTTCCCGCTCACGATCCAGGTAGTTAGTGGCACTTAATGTAAAATGTAAATATATTAGAAGAAATCACGATTTTGTAAACAACATGTCAACAATTAATCGCGACCCAATTTACAGAAGTCGTTCCGCTGGTTCCGATGGCAGCCGAAACAGAGATGATGAGGCTAAGGAGGCTTCTGGTGATGAAGAAGTTGAGGTATACTAATTTAATAATGGAACATACAAGACTAGGTTGAAGCTAAAAAAATATTTATATGTTACTCATAGTGTGGTGGTTGTAGAAGTAATGGCAATGATTGTTTTCATAGTTATTCAAAAAAAATTAATATGTTTAGGATATAAGTAAATTTATTTTGGTCCTCATTTTTATTATCCCGGTTTTGATGTTACAGTGATGAAAAACATTCAACATAAAACTTTCCTGATTCATGATGAGATCTAGTTGGCTTCAAAATTATAGTTATTTGATCACAAAACCAACATCATATTACTTTTTGCAATTTGATACTCATTATAGTAATAATATGTATTTCTTATTGATATTTTTCATATTCAATGCTTTAAAATCAATTACTTAATACTCTGAAAGTAATTTTAATTATTTATATCATTTTGGATGTAAATACTAAAAAAAACTATATTATTTTCAACTACCTTGAAGTAGCTTCAAATCATTCATATATACTCCAGCCACATTCGATCTGGAATTTTAGTAAACAAACCATGAGTCATCATAATTAGGGTTGATACACTTTTAACAAAAAATAATAATTATTATAATTACAACTATATTTATTATAACACAATTTCTTGTTTAAACATAAAAATTTTAATTTAATATAGAATCCAAAAATTTTATTTAGCCGGTCAAAACATAATTTATATGAAAATTAGCTTAAAATAAAAATTTAAAAATCTCAAATTACCAATATAACATTACTACAAAACTAACAACCTTATATTATAATATTGACGTAAAGAAATCGCAGGTTTGTAACATTTGAAGTGTTTTTTAAGCATTCGGCAAATATACACAAATTTTAGACTAAATGAGTCCTGTCGTTTGGTAGGTGATAGATAAAGTTAATAAAGCAAATTATATAACTAGGAGGTAATTTCAGATATCATTTTAAAATTGGAGGTATTATTTTTGAGATCTACATTATTCCAGATGATCATAAGTATTATAATTATAACCAAGAATTCGCTCAGTCCTTTGTCTTAAATATTTTATTATTAATCATCAATTTTTATTTATATTAACATCAAAAATAATTGTTATACATATTTCTAAAAATGTTTTGAAAATCTGCCTGACGTTGGTTGCTAAGCAATGTTTTGTTATTAAACATTCCACATCGAATTTGGCTGCAGTATAGTTATATATGATTCTTTATATCAAAAACTACAAATTGTCTATCAGTTCAATCTTAATGTACATTAAAAATAATTCAATAATACAAATGACTACAGGATGAGCAAGAGCCTGAAGGAGAGGATCTGGTGGACTCGGAGGAGTATGATGAGGACGAGGAGGAGGAACGACGGAGGAAGAAGAGGAAGAAGGACAGCCGCTACGGAGGATTCATTATAGACGAGGCTGAGGTTGGTTGAATATAGTATAGGAAAAAGAAGACTGCTTAACTATTTATATAACACATTTATTTTTAATTTCATGTCTTGATCCTATTATACATATTGTACATTAAGAAATCATGATAGTCTATAGTTAAGTGAGTCAGGGTCATATGGAAATCTGGAGAGAGACACAGAATGAATGAACATGTATAACTGTATACAATCCTTATCAAGCTTCTTTAGCTATTGTAAATATAAATATTAATTTGATCAAATGTGAAATTTATAATAAGAGATTGGTTGCCTGATATTTTTATACTCTTATATTTTCTTTACAGTTATGAAGTGTCTTTCAATAATAATTGATATGTTAACAATGTCTCTCACTAGGTAGACGATGAAGTTGATGAAGATGATGAGTGGGAGGAAGGAGCCCAGGAAATGGGCATCGTCGGTAATGAGGTGGATGAGATTGGACCCACAGCTAGAGAAATAGAGGGGAGACGCAGAGGAACCAACCTGTGGGACTCACAGAAAGAAGAAGAAATAGAGGAATACTTGAGAAATAAATATGCAGATGAATCAGCGGCCCTCAGACACTTTGGTGAGGGTGGTGAAGAGATGTCTGATGAAATCACACAACAGACCTTGTTGCCCGGCATCAAGGATCCTAATCTATGGATGGTGAAGTGTAGGATTGGGGAAGAAAAGGCGACTGTGTTATTACTTATGAGAAAATTTATTACATACCAGAACTCTGAGGAACCTTTCCAAATAAAGTCAGTGGTGGCTCCGGAAGGTGTCAAAGGCTTCATCTACATAGAGGCATACAAACAGACACATGTGAAGGCTATCATAGACAAAGTGGGTAATTTGAGAATGGGAACATGGAAACAGGAGATGGTACCCATCAAGGAAATGACAGATGTATTGAGGGTTGTTAAGGAACAGTCTGGTTTGAAACCGAAACAGTGGGTGCGGCTGAAGCGAGGCCTCTATAAAGACGACATAGCTCAAGTAGATTACGTAGATTTAGCTCAAAACCAAGTTCACTTGAAACTTCTTCCTAGAATAGACTACACGAGACTCAGAGGAGCTCTGAGGACCGTGCAGAGCGAGAGCGAAGCGGCCAAGAGGAAAAAGAAGCGGCGACCAGCTGCCAAACCTTTCGACCCTGAAGCTATTCGCGCCATCGGCGGGGAAGTGACTTCGGACGGTGACTTCCTTATATTCGAGGGAAACAGATACTCCAGAAAGGGTTTCCTGTATAAGAACTTCACCATGTCCGCTATATTAGCGGAGGGCGTCAAACCTACGCTCACGGAACTGGAAAGATTCGAAGAGCAGCCGGAAGGTATAGACATCGAGCTGGCGGCGCCCGCCAAGGACGACCCAACCAGCCTGCACTCGTTCTCTATGGGAGATAACGTGGAGGTGTGCTCCGGGGATCTGGCCAACCTGCAGGCCAGGATCATAGCTATCGACGGCTCCATGATCACCGTCATGCCGAGGCACGACGCTCTCAAGGACCCGCTCGTCTTCAAACCCAACGAACTACGGAAGTACTTCAAACAGGGAGACCATGTGAAGGTCCTGGCGGGAAGATACGAGGGAGACACCGGGCTCATCGTGCGGGTGGAGCCTCACAGGGCGGTGCTCGTGTCGGACGTGACGATGCACGAGCTGGAGGTGCTGCCGAGGGACCTGCAGCTGTGCTCGGACATGGCGACCGGCGTGGACTCGCTGGGGCAGTTCCAGTGGGGGGACATGGTGCTGCTGGACTCACAGACGGTTGGCGTCATCGTGCGCCTGGAGAGGGAGAACTTCCACGTGCTCGGCATGCAGGGCAAGGTGATCGAGTGCAAGCCGCAGGCGCTGCAGAAGAGGAGGGAGAACAGGTTCACTATGGCGCTCGACTCCGAACACAACTCCATACAGAAGAAAGACATCGTCAAGGTTTGTTCAAATACTTAGATCAAATAAAACACTTCAACCGACATAACTATGATACGACTATTCACACAGATTAACAATATATTGCACATTAAAATAGATTATACAATTTACTTATATTCAACACGCCTCTTTAAATTTATAATCTTACAACATATAGCTTAAATAATACAACATTCATCATGACTAAACTTATAAACTTTTACATTGCTATCAATATAATCTTATACCAAACTAATATTTTATCTTTTACTTTACTAAATTAATTTTAAGTGTAACCTGTTTTTCAAAACTTTTTTTTATCTAAACTTTTAGTTAACATGTCTGCCAGGTTACTTGTACTATCAATTTTCGCAATATCAATTATTTTATTTCCATAGTTCTCATTTATATAGTGATACTGCACTTCAATGTGCTTTGAGTTTTTGTAAAATTACCATATTTAGCTATTGCAATTGCACCTAAGTTATCAACATAAATTTTTATTGGGTTACAAAACTTTATATCAAATGATTCACTTAGCAAGTTCCTTATAAAAAGTACTTCTGTCACTGCCTCTGACACAGCAGTATACTCTGTAAAGGTTGAACATTTAGTTACGGTACACTGTTTACGTGTTTTCCAAAAAATTAAGTAGACTTTCTATCTACATTGTCTCCTGCAAAGTCAGAATCTACCATACAGTCCAATACATCAGAATCCAAATTATCACAATATGTTAACTTTAAATCCTTAGTTTTATACAAATATTTTAAAATTCTTAGAGCATACTTGTAATGTGTTCCGTTATAACATGATTGATAACGACTCAAATAATTAACGCTATATGCTACATCTGGCCCTGTGCCTGTATTTATATACAACTAGAAGACCTGGCGAACTTAGTATCGCCCTATAATCAAGAAATATCTATTACGTTTTTTTATTTATATTTTTGGAGTTTACCTGTGTTTTGAAGTGTGACAAAATGATTGACATTAGTTAGTTGTCAAATCAAATGTCAAAAAAAAAACGTTTGTATGGGAAATAGAAAAGGGCTGTTTTTATGGTTTTCCCAGTTATGAATCAATTTTTTTCAGCTTTTATACCTTCCCCGAACTTCCACGAACATTTCAAGACTAAGATAAGATAAATCCGTTCAGCTGTTCTCGAGTTTTAGCGAGACTAAGGAACAGCAATCCATTTTTATATATATAGAAGATAATTCCCCTATTATATTTCTATATTTAATACTTTCATTAACTTCTCTAGCTTGTTCTAGTTTTAAATTTGTTTCCATTGGAGTATCATACAACTTAGTATTCTGAAGATCATATTTAGCAGCCAAAGATTCAATGTACTTTGTTTGGTCTAAGGTCATTATGATTTTATCTTCACTATATTCAATATCTATACCAACATAACTTTTAATTTTTTCTAAGTCTTTCATAGCAAATCTTTTCATTAAACTAGTTTTTACTTCTTCTATCTTCTTTTTATCCTTACAACAGATCAAAAAATCATCAACAAATATTAATATGTATATTGGATCTTTGCTTGCTTTATTGACATATAGACAGTAATAGTTACTTCTTACAAAACTTAATGTTTTAATAAACTCATCGAAACAATCATACCACACTCTTGGACTTTCTTTGAGACCATAAAGTGCCTTCTGCAATTTGTAAACTTTATTATTATCAGTTTCATAACCTTCTGGTTGATTTACATATACTTCTGACTTTACATAAGCATTTAAAAAAGCTGTTTCTACATCCATCTGTTCTACAAATAAATTATTCTTACAAGTGTATGACAATAAAATTTTCAAAGTTTGCATTTTTCCTATGGTGAATAAGCATTATCATTGTATTCATTTTGTTGAAATCCTCTCACAACTAATCTAGCTTTATACTAATTATTACTCTCCTTTTAAAAACCCACTTAATATCTATAACTTTTTTATCTACTGGCCTTTCAACAATTTGCCAAGTTTTATTTTTATTTAAACTATTTATTTCTGAGTCCATTGCTATTTGCCACTGTTTATAATCATTGGAATTCATCGCCTCCTCAAATGTAATTAAGTACATTTGCATCATATGATCGACATATATAAAATGTGTAACTGGATTACCATATCTAGAAACTGGAGTTCTGTTTCTTTTTTTAGATTCTCCAAGATCCTCCTTATTATCATTTAAGTTACCACTACACAAAAGATTTTTTAAGGAATTGTTAGAACTAGATTCATCTGCATCTTCATCACTATCATGAACTGTTTGGACTATATCTTTTGAGCTTTGGTCAATCTCTAAATTTTTATCTTGTTGATCATCTTGTTTTTCTAAGCAAATCAGATCAGTACTTTCTTCAACTACTTGTACATGTCTAGCATTAATTGTTCTATTATTTAATAAAACCCGATAACTATTTTCATTATAACCCACTAAAATTCTTATCTATGCTTTATCATCCCATTAACTTTTTCTCAGAGCTTCAGGAACCCTTAAAAATACTCTACTTCCATAAATTTTTAAATGACTTACATTTGGTTTTATTCCAAATATTATCTCATACGGAGTTTTATTTTCAACTGTATTTGCAATTGTTCGGTTTTTTAAATATGCTGCAGCTTTTATAGCTTCAGGCCAATACCACCTATTAATGTTAGCTTCTCTCATCAAACACCTAGCTATGTCCATAACAGACCTATTATATCTTTCTGCTACACCATTTAATTCATGTACATAGGTACATGGTAATAATTCTATACCCTTCTGCCTTATAAAATCATAAATATGTTTATTTAAATACTCTTTGCCATTATCACACTGAACTTTCTTAACTTTTTTATTAAATTTATTTTCTACTAAATTTACAAATTCTATGAAACAATCAGCAACTTCAGATTTAATTTCAATATTACATTTACTACATACATTTACTATAATCATCAATAAACGTTAGGAAGTATTTTTCTCCACCATAACCAATTTTATATTGTGGACCGTTTAAATCAGTATGAATTAATTCTAAAATTTCTTTACTCTTTGTTCTTTTATTCTCAAATGGAACATTATACATTTTGCTTTTAATACAATTTGAATACTTCATTTCAATACTTTCAATCTTATCAGGTAAACCCTCAATTAATTTATTATTTATTAATTTATTTAAATATTGAAAATTAACATAAGAGCTCTATGCCATTTCCCCTTTTGAGTTAATACTGTTGAATGTACATACATATCATTCTGTGAAACAAAACTTTTAATACAATACAAATTATTTATTTTATTGGCAACAACTATCAATTCCCTAGCCTCATTATAAATTTTGGCATTTTAATTTTTAGCTATTATAGTACAACTTTTAGTTATTTAAGAAAAACTCAACAAATTTTTCTTAATACCTTCAAAAAATAAACATTTTTCAAATCTACATGTTTACGGTTATAGTAGTTTTGAAAATAAATTTTTACAGATCCTACTTTAGTAGCTTTTAACATTTTACTTTTTAATGTATTATAGTTGTATTATTGTTCTAACTTTTAAATCTTTCTTTTTCCACTCGACGTCTGCGGCATCTTTATTTTTCATAATGGCGACCACGTGGCATTCTTTATATTCTAACAAAGTTTGTAACCTTAATTTCCAGCTTGAATAGTTAACCCCATCGAAAATAGGCATCATTATATCTTCTATTTTTGCTTGTTTAGCCATTTTGACGATACTTTAAGTTCTTGTCTATCTTTCGTTTTGCCAACTCAGCGTAACGCTACCCTTGAAATTCACGATCGTATTCACCTTTGCTCTGTACTTGTAAATCTTCTTATTTATATTCTTTGAACCACGCTTTGCTACCATGTTAAAATACTTAGATGAAATAAAACCCTTTTTTAATGACCTCCGTATATTTAAACAATCTTCAACCGACATAACTATGATACGACTATTCACACAGATTAACAGTATATTGCGCGTTAAAATAGATTATACAATTTACTTATGTTCAACAAGGTTATCGACGGACCGCACGCCGGCCGCGAGGGGGAGATAAAGCATCTGTACAGAAACTTCGCCTTCCTGCAGTCGAGGATGTATCCCGACAACGGAGGGATCTTCGTGTGCAAGACGAGGCACCTGCAGCTGGCGGGAGGAGCCAAGAACGCGGCCGCCAACAACGGACTGGCTCTGGCGTTCATGTCGCCCAGGATACAGTCACCCATGCACCCGTCCGGCAGGGGAGGGGGCCGGGGCCGCGGGCGGGGCGGCAGGGGGGCCGTCGCCAGGGACAGGGAGCTCATAGGACAGACCATCAAGATCACGGGCGGACCCTACAAGGGCAACGTGGGCATCGTGAGGGACGCCACGGGCAGCACCGCGCGCGTGGAGCTGCACACCATGTGTCAGACCATCTCCGTGGACCGAGGACACATCGCGGCGGCCGGCGGACCCAACGGGATCGCGCGCGGGGGAGCCTCCAGGTACACACAGCTCACATGGAGCACATGTTATAACGATCCTACTATTAAAAACGGGCACTTAGGTTACCGACTGACTATTCAAATTTGACACAAGTATAAATAACAGGTACAATAGATGGCGTTACTAGTTATAATTTGTTACTTAAATACAACACCCCCACTTAACAAAATATTACAGTAAACTTAAAACATAAACTCTTTAACTTAGGTAAAAAATTATTGAGGAACAAGACCTATCATTTCTAAGAATTTATAATGCTTACTTGACACTAAACCTTTTGTTAATAGATCTGCAGGCATATTCTGAGTTGAGATATACATAACTTTAACTAAATTATTTTTTATAGCATCTTTTACATAATGATAACGTACATCAATATGTTTTGTTCTATTGAGTGATTGGTTATTGGTTGCCAATTTCAACGCACTCTGATTATGGCAATGTAACATTACAATACACAATTTGCCTGCGATCTCATGAAACAAATTCCTTATATGTATATAGCTTCTCTAGTTGCTTCTGATAATGCTACATATTCGGCTTCTGTACTAGACAATGAAACTTTATCTTTACATTCATAACCTTCAGGAATAGTCATTCAAATGTTTTCTTTTAAGTGTCCATTTAAAAATGCAGTAGTCACATCAAGATATGATGCAAACCTGCGAGCAATAATGACCCGATCCACTCATCTAATTATAGTGAAGCCTGTTCCTTTTAATCTTTGCGCTGTATCAATTACCTGCGTTACGTATGAAGTCATAGTATCACAATTTTCTTGTCGAATTGAGATTAAATGGCGCAGTAGGGTTATCCTCCTTGAAAAACCCGAGTCATCAAACATATTCTTGAGCTTTTTCCACAACTCTTCCGAACTTGATGTCTCTTTAATATGAATATACAATCCGCTATCTATAGTCAACACCAATATCGCCCGTGTTTTAGCATCCTCTTCATGTTTTCTTTCGATCGCCGGCCTCGGTTTGATGTAATGTACCATTCCTTCAAGCACCAACAAGTTCTCTGATGCAAAACTCCATTCATCATAATTTTCCCGACCTTTTAGTTTGGGAACATTCTGTATGTAACTCATAGCCATTTTAACACAAAAGTTCAGCACTTCTCTTAAACTGTAAATTTAAATTACTTAAGAAATCAGGATATTTTCCCATAACCTATTAAAAACGTGCACTTTATTTAAATTTGACACATAAGTATAAATAACAGGTACAATAGATGGCGTTACTAGTTATATTTGTTACTTAAATATAACACGTACTACATCAAGGAACCGACTATATATACTATGTTTTCTTTTCAACAGTTATGGGCGCACCCCCATGCGGGCGGGCGCGCACACGCCGACGTACCGCGAGGCGGGGCTGAAAACGCCGCTCCAGGGGAACGCCACGCCGATCTACGAGGCAGGGGCTCGCACGCCGCACTACGGGTCCAGCACGCCGGCGCACGAGGGAGGCAGGACGCCCGCGCACCCCGCCTGGGACGCGGCCGCGCACACGCCGCGCCCCGACCACGACCTGCTGCTGGCGTCCGCCTCGCCGCCACCCGCCGCCTACCAGCAGGGGCCCTTCACGCCGCAGACGCCGGGCACCATGTACGGCTCCGACCATACGTACAGCCCCTACCGGCCCAGCCCCAGCCCCGGCACGTACGCCGGATACCTGGCCACGCCCAGCCCGGCGCCCTACTCGCCGCGCTCGCCCTACACGGCCGAGGACGCGGACGACTGGCACGCGCCGGACCTGGAGGTGCGCGTGCGGGGCGGCGCGGAGCCGGGGCTGCGCGGGCAGACGGGCGCGCTGCGCAGCGTGTCGGGCGCCACGTGCGCCGTGTACCTGCCGCTGGAGGACCGCGTGCTCAACCTGCCCGCGCACCTGCTGGAGCCCGTGCTGCCTCACAGCGGGGACCGCGTCAAGGTGATCGCGGGTGAGGACCGGGAGGCCGTGGGGCAGCTCATCTCCATCGAGAACCAGGAGGGGGTCGTCAAGTTCGGCTCCGACGACATCAAGATCATGCAGCTCAGGCATCTCTGCAAGATGGCCTCCAACTGATCGTCACCATGACCATGTATTATGACCGATATTTTTATAAAGACGTGTCTGGTAAAGGTTCCTCGGAACATGTTATTCGAATCGTTAGAGTATATAATAATTGTATTCGCCTCATCGCCTCACCCGTGACACTGACTGATCCTGACATATAAACAAACACAAATTATTTATTTGTTTGAGATGATTAAACAAATAACACCATGTTATTGTTTACTGAAATAAACGAAATTGAAACAATCCTTCTTTTAATTCAACTTAATATTTTTAATAGTCCGGTCAAATTAGACCAAATAATAACAGTAAGGTTACATAAATTCCCACCAAGCTGAAAATTGGTAAGATTGTTTGAAATATCATTAAAAACAAAATTTGAAAGTTCCCCATCTTTCCCCTGTAAGGAAAAAATTCTATTTAAGGTCAAAGGTGAACAAAATGAGTTTTTAGCGATTTTCAGCAAAACGGTAAGTTTATCATTAAAATATCTCAGACAAAAATTGTAGATCATAAAATTATTTACAAAGAATTTAATAATACTTTTTTTCTACGAGCCACCGTTTTTGAGATATAACGATTCAAAAAGTTTTAAAAGTTGTAATCGTCATAATATGCACACGTTTACTCGCCACCTATGAGGTAGTGTACTTAGCTTTTTTTTTGTATCTTCCCCAGTAGGTCTATTCCACGGGTCAGTTTTGATCTTGTTTAATTTGAAACTATTGATAAATAATGGATATTAGCAGAGATTGAAAAGATAAAAAAATTTAAGTTAAAAAAAAGTAGTGAAATTTAATCGTCCGATGTCGTAATTTTCAAAATCTTCTTGTTCTTGTTCTTCATCTTCATCCTGAGTGGATGTAAACTGCGTTATATATTATGTATAATATATATAATAGCGATGCATGCATGCATGCATGAAACTGCATGTTGGACTTAAACGGATATCGTTAGAATTAAACGGATCCTCTACTATTTGTGTTGGTTGTGTGTTGGTGATTCAATGTTAGAGCACAACCGGCCTTGACAATGACAATGTGTTCAAGCCGGAGAATAGGACAGTTCGACTTTTTTGCAACCACATTTAGCACTGCAGTTTTTGCAGTTGCAAAAAATCGAGTTCAGTCTTTCAGGCGCAGGTAAAAATATTTTAACATATATTATAACTATAGAGATGTACGAGTATACATATACATATACGTGGCGTACATACTCATGCACATTATGAACATTACAACTTTTTGAATCGTTATATCTCAAAAACGGTGGCTCGTAGAACAAAAAGTATTAATTAATTCTTTGTAGATAATTTTATGATCTACAATTTTTGTCTGAGATATTTTAATGATAAAACTTACCGTTTTATTATAATATTATAAACATAAAAGGAAAAATAATTTTCGTTCGATCTGAGGTCGGGAAGGGTATGGGGGTGGGTATGTAAGGGTAAAAAATGGGTTTTCTCGATTTCCTACAAAACTAAAAAAGTTATATGGCAAAGTTGTAGGTAATAAAAAGATCTAAAACGTTTGTATTAACATATTTTTCACATAACCTCAAATTTTATGTGATAAATTCGAAAAACCAAGTTATTGGTTTTTTATTTTTATCTCTTCCAAAAAACAATTTTTTGTCACGAAATTTAGTGAAAACTTTTCTTTTGATGTTTCACATGCATCATCATCATCATCATCAGCCAAAAGACGTCCACTGCAGGACATAGGCCTCCCCCAAGGATCTCCACGACGACCGGTCTTGTGCCACCCGCATCCAGCGGATGCACATGCACTGTAATTTATTTGATTAAAAATATTTATTTTTCAGTTTATTTCGAATAAATACTGAAAAATCAGCCTCATTTTCCATCGAAAAATCACCCGTCAAAATATCAGCTTTTTTCAAAAATTTGGTGTATTTTCTGTTCGTTGAAATCTCTATTTTCTGATGGTGCAGAAAAAAATATAAGTTTCTTACTTGCAGTACCATTTTTGGATAAAATGATGATGTCCCTTTTAGTGAAATGACAGTCGATATCGTTTGGAAAATGCTCTTTTCAATTTATTTTTAATAGTTTTAGCAGCTTAATGTCAATTTTCTGTAAATTTCCTTAAAGAGGTACTATCTGTAGAACTTCCAGAGTACACAACTATTACTTACTAGCTTTCCGCCCGCAGCTTCGCCGCGTGGAGTTCGGTTATATCGCGTTTCCAAGAGAACCTTTCAAAAGTCTGGGATAAAAACTATCCTATGTTCTTTCTCAAGGTCAACTCTATCTCTGTACCGAATTTCATTAAAATCAGTTCAGTGGTTTAGGCGTGAAAGCGTAGCAGACAGACAGACAGACAGACAGAGTTACTTTCGCATTTATAATATTAGTAGGGATTAATTAACTAAAATTTGAGGTTATGTGAAAAATGTCATTACAAAAGTTTTAGATCTTTTTATTACCTACAACTTTGCCACATAACTTTTTTCCATAGGACTTTTAGTTTTGTAGGAAATCGAGAAAACCCATTTTTTACCCTTAAATACCCCCCCTCATACCCTTCCCGACCTCAGATTGCCCGTAAATTATTTTTTTATAATACATATTGTCCTCCTTTTCTAGTGAGTTTCATTCTACTATAATTTTATTATGTTTTAAAAGCTATCGACACTGGTCTATTATGCGACTTTAATATTTAAATTACCTTGAGGCTTTCAACAGTGTGAGGTTGTGAAATTAGTTGCAATACGTACTTGTTGTTTTATATAAATTTGAGTTTGATTTAATACATAGCACATAATTTATGTTTATCTCAACATCACCATGTTTCACTTCCGCGTGGATCGACTCCCACGCTCTATTTTTATTTTTATTCTCCAATATATAATACATTTCCATGTTTAACTGAGGGTTAAAAAGGATTAAATAAAAGAAGCAAACTGATTTTATTAACATTTATTGAATAAATAATACAAAAATTGTTTTCAGTTGAAATTTTATATAATTTCAAACAAACATGAACTGAGCAAACGACTCCTACTCACATAGTGAAGATTTCATTGATTAGATTTAAATAGATTACATCGAAAAATATGACGTCGTCTTTAACATACAGAATACATGTTGAAGTACACCATGGAATTTAATAATCTATGATTCAATATATGCAGATATCTGATTACTCAAAAGGAACAGCGACCTGCTAGGCAGGCAATATTTACACACCCACGTTGGATAGATCTCGGGATTTAAATGCCTAACGAAATGCAACGAGCGTTTTAAAAATGCGGCACTGTTCGACTGCGGCTGGCGACGACAGACGACACACGTATAACATGCACTGAAACACCTCGAGCGAGAAGTGACCGACAACAACAGAAGACGAGAAGCGACACCTGTCTATGTACAAATGAAACACACGCCGACCTCAGCCGGCGCTATATTATGCGTACGACTCCCCCCCCCTCCCGCCGGCCGCCAACACACCAATATCAATAGTAACATTTAATTATTGCGGAATTACAACAGTGGCGAGTTCCCGCCCACTAAGTACTACACGATAACTTACACTAACACCTCCAAGTATTTATAGTCCGCGGTGAAGAACACAACACGTTACATAAAGACGCGCCCGCACCGGCCGCCGGGCCGCGGGGCCGCGGGGCCGCATCAGATCTATCATTTATAATTTTTGTCCTTAATATTCAGAACGAGAGAAGCGATGACGGCTAGCGGCGACTTCCAAATTTTACATTAATATACACTAAAAATTTTTAAACATAAATAATTATGTACACGACTTAGCGCATTAAAACATACATAGACTCCATTACGGGGTATTTTTTTTTATAATATCGTTTCTAAACTGACGGCATAGGTCTGCTAGTTTAATTAGAACTATAAAAAAATTGTATTTTGGCATACACGATAATTTCCTTAAAATCTCATAGTTGAATGTGATGCAATAAATATACATAGGACTCCTAATCTCCGCGGTGAAGTAAACAATCTCTAATGTACAATATCAGTGGAGGAGTGTGTCCGGTGTGTGAGTGCGCATCACGAGGCGTACATGCGCTTGATGTCGTCGCTGTACCTCTCCTGGATGTCTTTCCTCTTGATCTTGAAGGCGGCCGTTACCAGCCCCATGTCGGGCGACCACACCTCGGGGCACAGCTTCACGGCCGCCGGCACCTCGAACTTCTCCAGCCCGCCTGCGACACACATTAACACATATTACATCATATCTACTAGGGTAATTGTCTCTAGGCTGTAGCTGAGATATTATGTTTAGTGTGGCCCAGAAACAGCTATGTGTTCTTAAATATATTTTAAGCAGCCTTACATGTTATGTCTCTCAAAAAGAATTGATACTCTTAATTATACTATTTACAAAGACAGCAAAAATTTGGCTAAGAAATAAAATTATATTAATAGTGATAGGATGTGTGTGTGTGTGTGTGTGTGTGTGTGTGTGTGTGTGTGTGTGTGTGTGTGTTACTATGTATCGTGGACTAACATTTCCTGGCGTGCTCCGCGAGCTCCTTCACCACAGCCTTCTCCACCTCTCTGTTCCGGCACAGCTTGTCGAAGTCGGTCTCGGTGACTCCTATCCTCAGCGCCAGTTCCTCCAGGTGTCTCTGGTTGGGCACGAGCAGCGCCACGGTGTACGTCTTGCTGCTGTCTCCGTACACACAGATGTTCTCCACGATGGGGCACGTCTTGAGCTCGGCCTCAACCTTCCCCAGCGACACGTACTCGCCGGCCTGCAGCTTCACCAGGTCCTTCTTACGATCTGAAATATGAGTGACTGGTGTTAGGAATCCCTACTAGAGATATGATATCTGACAATTGTATATTTAGCTAGTGGACGTGTAGATCCCCCTCCTCCCCAGTCCCTACTAACCGATGATCTTGATACACCCGTCGTGATGCAGCTCGGCCACGTCCCCCGACCTGAACCACCTCCTGCCCCCGTCGTCTATAAACTCCGCCCGTGTCTTCTCCTCCTGCGCGTAGTATCCCTCCGCCACACTCTCTCCTCCTATGACGATCTCCCCCTGGGTTGTTAGGATATCATTAGTTTATATATCTTATATATTTAAATGAGAAAATCTTGTATATATGTATATAAAGATATAATTGGAATCTCGGAATCGGATCCAATTATTTTCATGAAATTTAGTATATCGGGGGTTTCAGGGACGATAAATTGATCTACCTAGGAATGATTTTTAGAAAATAACATTAAAAAAAAAAAATAACAAAAAGGAGACATTTAAAATATGACTCTCCCTGACATCTATTGGCGAATAGTAATACTACTCTTTGCTAATTGCTTTTAATAATTGTTTAACCCTTAACCACCTAAGTGAGTATTCTTAATAATTCTACTAGACCATTTGATATTTGGAGTTTCTCTCTTATTTACGGATGAGATTTTGGACAAAATTTTACTACACAGAATTAATGAAATTAGACTTATGAAATCAAAATACAATACGCATGATATAAAAAGGAAACACAAAACGGCTTACCTATGTTTTGTATGTAAACTACCTATTTCTTTGGAATTTTTTGTAAGAAATGTGTTTTTACTGCTGCGAAAAATGTAAAAGTTATGGCTTTGCAATTTTGTTTAAGATTTTATTTTAAGTTTATTCAAATTAAAAGAAATAAGAAAAAAAATATTAAAATTTTAGTATTTTAGAATAAAGATCTCATTTTCTTATTATAGTTATTTATGGTGCCATATTCCTTATATCATAGATATTATTCCATTTTTCATAAAACATTTTAATTACTTTTGTTAATTTTTGATACATAAATAAAGCAATTAAGTATAGCTATGTATGTTATTTAACTAAACTTTACCTTCCTATCATAGATCCCAAAATAATCGCAGAAATTTATGAGCGGTCTCTGTGACCGCAGGTAGGTGGTTAAAGGACAAAAATAGGTGGTAGGTGGTTAAGGATTAAACAACACAACAGCAGATGGCGTTGCTAAGTAACAGGAAGTCATTGAGTGTTTGTTTTGAACTTAGACTAAGATATTAATTGTTGATTTATATTGTTTTGTGTCTTCTTAACGTGTTCACTTAAAAATGCCCACACGAAATAAAAAAAACACAAAATAAATACTAAAAATTCCTAAATACCGAGGAAAGCTCGGTAACCAGATATTATGATTTATACAATGTGATTCATGGAAACATACGGTCCGTTCACTAGTCGGACATTTCTAAGCTTTGGGTAATTAATTTAATGGGTACCTGTGGGTAGGGCTTGTTGGTGACACGGTAGTTTCCTTCCTCCCAGTTGACCAGGCGGATGTCTGTGCCCGTGGTGGGTGCGCCCACGCGACCAGTCGACCTGGAACCACATTTGATATATATAGAACATGCAAACCGACTGACGATATACATTATACATTACTGAACCATTTCCCGCCTCACTACTACTCCCTGTGACCACTGATAGTGATCCACATAAAAAAAATTCTTTATTTTTTTAACAAATTTGTACTTAAATATAAAGTTATTGGAGTCTCCTTTTAAGCATATGAAAAGCCTGTGCCAGGAAACTCCGCTCTTCCATGTCACGAATTAGGTACAAGTATACAAGATATTTAAGGTACGACAATAATAAAGAAACAATATAAAAAAGTAATAATAAGAGAAGTAATTACCAAAAAGAAGCAAATGTGGGTTTAAAATGTATGTCTATGCGTGCGTGCAGGTGCGCATTTGTGTGTGTTGTATGTGTATGTTGGTGTGTGTACGATATGAATGCTAGTTCCTAAATTCTAAAAAAAAATCCGTTTCTTGAAAACTTTAAGATTTTATCCATTTTATTATTTTAATTTTACACTCTACAAGTTTTTGAATATATATCAACGTATTAATTAACGTATATAAATAAGCAGATCTATTATCATACTGAATCCTAGCGAAGACTGTTTTAGTAGCAGGGATAGATATAACATTATATGCTATACGTTTATTGAGTAACGATATATCGTAGGTTAAACTTGTGATTTTTTAGAACAGTATGCACAATATACAATTTCCGTACAGTTAACAAACCACTTTCTTCCAAGAGTCTTTCTGTACTAAACCGTTGTTTTTTAAAGAACATTACTTTAATCAATGCTCTTTGAGCTCGTTCAATTTCCATGAAACGTGCTTTACGTGCACCTCCCCAAATAGGTAAGCTGTATGTTATTATGGATTGCACCAAAGCTATATACATTTGATTTAAAAGATTGTTTGAGGAGTCATTTATTGATTACAATATGTCTCAGTGATTTGAACATCCACGTGAACTTCCTACCATGACAAGTTCTGGTCGACCATTATTCCCAAGTATTTTATTTGACTCACTTTATTTATTAATGGAGAATTTCAGTTATTACCTCTCACTTCATTACAATTATGAATTTTTATACGAAAATTTGTTTTGGGTTGTGAACAATTTTTTATACCGAAAGTGATAAAGTTAGTTTTATGAGTATTTAATGTTAGAAAATAAAGTTTTAGCATGAGTTATACAACTACCTATCTCCTATGTTTACCTGTCGAACTGGTCCATGACGGTGGCGCAGGAGGTGGTCTCCGTGAGTCCGTAGCCGGCCACCACGTCGCAGCACAGACACAGCCGGACCTGTGTGTGTGTGTCGGGAGCGAGCGGCGCGCCGCCCGTGATCATGAGCCGCACGCGCCCGCCCAGCAGAGAGCGGACCTTCTTGAACACCTACAAACACACATCAAACGTGTGTCAATCGTCTTAACTATGAATGTCATTCATTTGCTTCATCTACAAATATACAGCGTGTTCTAAAAACTGTGTCCTCCCTTAAAGGCATGTATACATATAAGTATAAGGTTATTATTAAAAATAGTATAACTTAAAAAATATCAAGCAGAGGTCTGTTACAGTGCAAAGGCTAAATAAGTTTTAAATCGACATTATTTGAAAAAAAAAATAGGTAAAAAAACTTTTTAAGTTAAACGGTTTTACGTGAAACACACATTGCAATGTACTAAAAACCAAAAAATAATAAAATAGATACAGTCGTGGGAATTATATTAACATATGCATAGACTAGACTAAAATAAAACCGCGGGGCATGTCAACTGTCTACAATTGTTTTGTAATGTTACACTATAATTAGGCAGTTGTTCAACCGACAACGATGGACGTCTTTTGTTAGTTTTTCGAATAGAGATCTGCAAGTTTAAAAATTAGGTATATCGATATAAATATTCTATCGATATTTTCAATATTTCTATAAATATTATTAATCAATATTATAATTTGGAACTTCTTCAGGTAAATTAACTATGTTGTATTATTAGGATAAATCGTTAATCTACTTATGTTAAAAATGGTGTTTTGCAATCAAAAAATAATATTAATGTTTGATATATCAAAATAAGTATCGAAATAATATGAATATTAAATATTTATCGTTATGATTTTTTTTAAATATCGATATGTTTTATTCGAGGCTATGCCGCCCATTTAATAAAAAAAAAAATATTATGTAGTTAGTTCCTCGTGGAAATTTCTTCCGAGTGGATTACTTTTTGGTTACGGTTTTATAAAATTGTGTTGTTTTATAAAATGTACTCCAACCAGGAATATTTCAATATGTTAATGTGTCTAGTAATTATGTGATTGTAATTATGCGGAATCGCGTAGACTTTATGACGAACTGTTTGCTTCTCCAAGAAACATACCATTACTGTCACTTAAGGTAAGGCGGCCAACCGTCCCGCATTCTGCGGGACCGTCCCGCAGTTCTAGACGAAATCCCGCTTTGAAATTATTAGTAAAATAGTCCCGCAAAACGTTGTATGCGTCCCGCATCCCTATTTTTCTACCACACTTCTACACAACACCCATACCACGGTCTACAGTGCAGGAACACAGATTACCTATAATAGGGACAAGCGTATCGCGCCCGCGCTAATCTCGTTTTCTTCTGAACTCATGACGCGTAAGAGAGTACTTAAATTTAATATGGGCAGTTGCGAAGATTTCCATTCGACATTCCCAATCCCTAACACAACACACCCCCCCCCCCCCCCCCCCCCCCCCCCCGGCAATCACGAAAGGTTAAGTCCCGCATTCAGTTTTCGGAAAGTTGGCCGCCTTAACTTAAGGTATTTCAGCGTCTTCATATACGCATGTACAATTTCGGAAATGTCGATGGCCGTGAACAACAACGTGCTAATGCGGGAAGGCCGAGGGTTAATAATGACGATCTAGAGGAACACATGTTAAATATTTTTCGACAGGACCCTACGCAAAGCTCGCGCTCGGTGGGACATCAACTCGGTGTCAACTTTACGCGTGTATGGAAAGTTTTAAAGGAAAATGGCCAGCACCCGTACCATTATTAATTCCTACCGACTTCAAGCCTAGAATGCCATTCTGTAGATGGATTTGAAACGAAAACGATGAAGACAGTGAATTCTCGAGCCGTATACTTTTTAGTTAACTAAGTGTTATTTTAAATTGATTTGTAACGTAGTGAAACGTATCGATATTTGAAAAAAAGTGGTATCAGTGAATCGTTAAAGTGATTAAACAATCAAAATAATGTGAAAGTAACTTCGAGGTCGTCACTGGTAGCGCAGCAGGTGTGATGACGCCATTGAGTCTCATCGTGTTATACCAGAGGGTACAAACATTTGGTTACTCTACATATAATAATCATTTAATATTTAATTTTATTGTTTTTATTGAAGAGTTTGTAAATGTAAGTTGTTTGATTGTGTTCTATTTTCGATACTGATAACGCAGTTAAGAGGGTTGACACAATTTTTCATACACACTGTATATTTGCTTCAGAACGATATTTAATTGTTGTTTATAACAGCGTATTTTTGTAGTTTCATGTATCTATCTTTGAGTACTTCGTAAACTACAAATTCTAAAATATGTATAAAGGCAGGTTTCCCTCACCAGAGCGTCCACGATGGGCGTGTCGTACCCTCGCCTCATCCAGCCCAGCTTGTAAGCGTAGGCCCACTTGAAGAAGGCGCTGGCGAAGGCTCCGCTGCGGGACACCTTGTCGGTGATGCCCTTACTGATGCGGTCCATAATCAGCTGCGGGGACAAACGAGACGCCTCAGTACTCCCGAGGGACGGGTCGGTCAGATCAGTCAGTCAGTCATGATACTCACAGGCACGGTGGTGACGCAGGTGGGCCTGAGGACGGACGCGTCCCCGGACGTGCCCTTCATGATCTTACTGCTGGAGTCCAACATGGTCAGCGGCGTGGAGTAGCCGATGGGGACGCCTGGAACGGAACACGCCACATACGTTAGGGAACATGTTAGTTACCAGTCAATAGACGTTTGTAAACTATTACATAACAGCTGAAATTAACATTTTGTTTAAGGGGGATTCTACGGGAAAGTAAACCTTGATGTAATTTTTTAAAGTTATTCTATTTTTTTATTATATATTATAATAACATATATATATATATATATATATATATATATATATATATATATATATATATATATATATATATATATAATAATATATATCGATACATAATACTTAAAATTCCACGATACTTTAAAAAAAATTGTATATTACTATTTTTTTATTTTTTATTAAGTTGCAAACTTGATTAATGAATCTAATGCTGATTTGGATCTGAAAAGATGTCAAGCTGAGTGTTTAAAATGTAGACCCAAGCTACTGAACTGACTCCCATGATGAAACTAGCATCCATATCAAGAAATAAAAACTTATAAGTGACTCCTTGTACCAAGTAAATCGTATGTGTCCCACCCGTGACAATGAAAGTGCACCCGTGACACCCTTGTTTAATTTTTTGTAAAAATATGTGTAAATAATAGAACATTATTTTCTATTCAAATGTGAAGTTTAGTTTATTGTCTCAAAGAAATATCGTTGTCTGCATTAAAAAGTTTTATCAACGAGCAGAGTTTTATTAAATACTTGTAAACCCGGCGAACTCCGTTTCGCCACCAGAAGGCTTTTATATAACATTTCGTTTGGTGATTAAAAGATGAAGATTTTTTTTGTTTTATATTTGAAAAGGTAAATTTTTATTTCATTTCACAACAGTAATGAATTCATTTCGATTACAAAAATGAAGTGTTATTTAGATAAACTTCTCTAAGTAAATGAAAGTGAATCCAAAGAAGATACCGAATCGAAGCGTTATACGTGTCCGCAAATTATGCGTTTCATTGAAGTGGTCCTTTGTAAACCACATTTTTTGTTTTTTGGTCTAACTTTAACAGTTAACACAAATAAAGCGGATGGTTTCCAAACTCGTGAACACGCAAAATATAACACCCATGTGAAAAACAATGATTTTCTAAATTTATCCCGCAAATACTAAATGAGTTCAATCTACAAACACAATATCGGTTTCAGTCACATGAAATTAACTGAGAAGAGAACAATGAGTAGCTGTCAAACAATGTATCATGAACCGGCGCCACCTACTTAAAATATTGATTTGTAGTACATGTTATGTATTTTCGTGTTATCAGTTATCAGTAATGTCGTGTTACCTCCTATGACACAGAGGCTCTCAGCCAGCAGCTCGAACACGTGCGCCAGCGGCAGGAAGCCCATGAGCACGTCCCCCTCGTGTATGGGCACGGCGTCCGCGAAGGCCTTCAGCGTGGCTACCATGTTACGGTGGGACAGCACCACGCCCTTGGGCACGCCCGTGGAGCCCGACGTGTACATGATGATGGCCGTGTCGTGGGGCGACGGAGGCACCGGCTCTGGAATCATATATACAAACATATCAATAAAATTGTTTGACTGTCTAACTTATTATATTCGTAACACTGACTGCGTTATTCAATATGGGCTAAGTAAAAGATTTTTCGTACATGAATGGCTGGTAAACAAATATTTCAAAAGAAATCAAGATATTTGCTCATGAATAAACACAATGTTTTATATAACTCTTATGTTAGATCTCATTTGGAATATGCTTCCACTGTTTGTAATTCGCAATATTGTAAGTATTTCTTGGCAATAGAAAGAGTCCAAAACAAGTTTCTTAAAAGAATGACGTACAAATTTGGAGAAAACTGTCAAAATTTAAACATTATGTGACTTGAGAACCGTAGGGTATATAGGGATCAACTTGTCTAATATAAAATCATAAATAATCTTATAGACTCAGTATATTTATTAAATAACATAATTTTAAAGTGTTATAGTTCTTCCATACAATGTAAACATATCTTCTCTATCCCATTATGTAAAAGAAATTATGCAGAAAATCGTTTTCTTGTAAGAGCCTGTCCTAACTATAACACATTATTTAACAGTGTTGATATTTTTAATGATAGCTTTTTTAAGTATTCTCGTATTTTGAAAAAGCTCATATAGTTATTACATTTAAGATGTTTGTTTTTCTTTCCTATACTTAAATTCACTTTGAATTGTAAAATGTTTAAATTTTGATAATAATTATAAGTATTTTTCTTATATTCACTCCATGAAACTGTGCAAAAGTGGAAACTTTGTTGGCTTATGTAATTATTTTTAATATGTGAAAACTATTATGATGTGTATATGCTGTTTGTTTCCCAATAAAAAAATTGTATATTCATTCTGTACCCTCATAAATAGCGTGTGCTCACCGATCTTGGCCTGCTTGCCCATCTCCACGACCTCCTTGTAGCCCACAATCTTGATGCCCTCCTTGTACCCGTCGCGCGGAGTCTCCTTCAGCTGGTCCTCCATGTATATGATGGTCCTGACGCGCGGCGTCTTGGCCAGTATCTTGCGGAACTTGGGCAGCAGGTCGTGTGTGGTGATGACGGTGGACACCTGCGTCTCGTTGATGCCGTGAGCGATGGCGTCGTCGCCCAGGGTCGCGTATATGGTCACCACTGGAAATAATACACTTACATGTATACACGCTACTTACTGTAGAAGGACCATTAGCAAATTTATTGTAGGGCCATTGATCTGGTGAGGGTTTTTAAGTATATCTAGAGGAGTTAGTTTAAGATAGACACGTATGGTTTCACGGTTTCTATGATATCGAGTACGGTGAATGACGAGTCTCAAACAGTTTAAACTCTCGAATAAGGAGATTGCCGGGTTTATATAAACGAGGATGTCGTTGGGTGAATCTCACTTCAAGGATAGTCGAGTACTTACATTATATTGTTGTTTGGAAAAGATAAAAATAGAAAACGAAAACTTGGCTTTTTGAATTTTTCACATAAATTTTGATTATGTGAAAAAATGTGAATACAAAAGTTTTAGATCTTTTTATTACCTACAATTTTGCCATATAACTTTTTTCCGTAGGGCTTTTAGTTTTGTCGAAAATCGAGAAAACCCATTTTTTACCATTAAATACCCATCCCCATACCCTTCCCGACCTCAGATCACCCGAAAATTTTTGTTAATTTTTATACTATTCCCCTCCTTTTCTAATGAGTTTCATTCTACTATAATTTTTTTCACTTTTCATTTATTTTAAAGGCTTCTGTTCTGCACTGGCCTATTAGTGGGAGTATCATTACAAGTAGTTGTGTAGGCGGCACTAACCGGGTATACTCTGTGTGAATGCTCCGTGCGCGGCGATCATCCACTCGGCGCGCGTCTCCGCGAACATGGCGAGGTTGGTCCGCGGGGAGCAGCCCAGCGCCCGCAGCCCCGACCCGAACTGACGGGCCTCGCGCGCGCACTGCACGTACGAGCGCCACGAGTATGAACCCATCTTGTACTGAACACACACATATAAAATGGTTATATAAAAGTTATAGCACTAAGAGTTTAGTGTCATACAAATATACTATTAAAACACAGGTTGTATAGTAAAACATAGCGTATATTCAAGAGCGTACAGATGATTTTTATGCCATTGTAAGAAAAAAGTCGTCATCTCTTTTAACAAGACTGCGGTCAAACACCAATAGTAAGATACTAAAAGTGCTAACAAGTAAATTTGACGCACCAATACTTCAACAACTATGTAAAAATACTTGTTAGGAGATAGTATATGTAATTGATTGTAACTCCTAACATTAATTATGTGATATCAGTTTGGTGTGTGGCTATCTTTTTAATTTTTAATTCTGAAATATGTTGTTAATTTCGACATTATTATTATTAGACTAACATAGTTTTATAAGTAAAAAATAATAACAAGTGGGCCGAATTAAATCATGAAATAAATTACATAAAGTTCATATCAACTAGTTCACGAGTGAATCTTTCTCTATAGTGTACTATATAGGTGCTGACCTTCTTAAAGACCCGTCCGTTGGTTTGCGGCTCGTCCTCCTCGCTGAGCACGGCCCGGGTCCCCAGACAGGGTGCTCCGCCCCAGCGGCCGGCCGCCGCCCGCAGCATGGCCTCCATGGTGGTGACGCCGTCCCTCACCAGCCTCTGGTGCAGCTCGCAGGGCTCCGACACCGACCTCACCGTCACACTCACGTCAGAAGACTCCACTATCCGCGCCTGGAGCGAGCGACAGCGACATAGTTAGGCTGACTGCATCAACTTTCAAGCTATATACTTTATATTTTTCCTTCACACATATCCTCGGGGGAAATATTGTGCAGTGTGAAGGTAACGAGTGCACAAACAATGATACGTGTACAGCTTGTAATAAACACGCCGACCACATTACGTATTATCCACCACACATTATACAGGTTGACTGGTGAATTACTATCAATATTTAAGGAGAATACGCGGTACATGATTCTCATTCAAATTATGTAAAAAAAATAGGTACTTAATTTTTGACCAAATTTCCGTATAAACAAATAAAGTGTGGACACGTTCCAAGTGTGGACGCGTGCGGCGGCGTGCTGATACAACACCACGCCGCGCACGCGTGTGTGTATGTATACCTAATCTGTAGGGTGTTCACACGATGCGTAATTAATTACATAACTTATGGTTAACTTTACTCAGAACTTTATTAATATTTATGTTATATTAATTTTGATTTTGTCATATATGATCGTCAAATATCACGTCCTCAAATATCGATAGTAATTCACCAGTCACCCTGTATAACACTGAGCGTGCCCCCCCCCCCCTCGCCCCTCACCTTGATCCTCCTGGAGAGCGCCCTCTTCCTCCAGGGTCTCTGCATCACGAGGTGGACGGGGAAGGTGATGACGTCGAACACCAGCGCCACCGCACGGATCGCGCGCAACGCCGCCGACACCCACCACGAGTCAGGCCTGGGTACAACACACACACACGTTATACATACATACATAAAGACCCACACACGACAGTACTAACGTTGGTTACTGAATGAATAGTTGGACTTTGAATTGCGGGAAGAAAACTGATGAGTAACCCCTCAATGGAATCTGTTCATCAGTTGGTACACCTCGATATAGACAGTAGATAGTATGACTGATATATATATATATAAAGGAGCCACGAGTGATGAGGTCGCGCCCGTTAATAAGAGCAGCATTGATACGGAGGAGTCTTAACGAACATTAATTAAAATAATTATTATTATGATTCCTCGGTGATATGTGAAAAGTAACGCGACTCCGGACAAAGTTCATTTAATATGACTGTAATATTAACACGAGTTTAAATCGACACACGACTTATGAGGTTTAAGTTTCTCAATCAATATGGTTTATAATACTTTAATTACGTGCGAAGATTTATGAATGAAAAACTACTACTTGGCGTAAGTAGTTTTACGATGTAACTGGTAGTAAGCGTATCTTATGAGAGGTAGTTTGTTACAGATAATTGTAAATGAAAACAAGAACTAAGTATGTATTCATCACACAGTCAGTGAAGACAATTGGAATATTTTTGATATTATTTAAGCTTGTAATAAATATGAAGCAATTAATTATGTTGTGTAATACGTATTGTATGTGTGTATGTACAGACTGTCACACTGATACGTACTTTAAATACCTTATCAGATAATGATGCATGTTCTAGTTACGTGAAGGTTCATACTACACTGTGGCTTATATATAATAGAGTATATTATATACTCGGATGATATATAAGAGAAGCCCAGCTGGTAAGACAGAAGCAATATATGGGTAAAAACTAAATTACGTCAAATTGTTATACTTGTATAAATAAAAATTTGAATCCATTTAAATCCGACGTTGTAAAACAAAAATACAAGTTAATTAAAGTCTCATATCGTTTTCATATTTATGTTAACTTCTCCAAACACAGCTCATATTACAAATCTTTTATGAAAATAAAGTTATTATGAAATGTCTACCATACCTATCAGAGAATTTAAAAATATACTTAGTTATAGTTCTCCAAATATTGTTCAACTGTTTTATAAATGATGTGAGACGACACAGAATATTTATTTTAAGTTACTTTTTAAAATAAAAACATACATCCACTTACATTAAATATGTATTCGAAAACCTCAACCTTTCTTATACTTCTTATTTTAAACATCGACTAAATCTAATAATCATTCTTATCAAACAAAAGTTTTTCTGATCGTGTTGAGAAGCGATAATCTTGCGTGTCACTTTAATGTTAATTATTCGGATTTACAAATATATAATATAATTAATTTAATTATAATTAGTAACACCTTGATCCAATTTTATTATTTTATTTCGTTATAGCTACTATAGTATTCATTACTTTTATTCAATATCGACGTTAGTATATAAAGCTACTATCTGTCAGTATGTTGAAGAGGTCGCGACCGCCCCAGCATCCCTCGGAGATGAGTAACGCGGAGATCAAACAATCCTTGAACTTTACGTTTACATTGAGACGCTGCCAGCCAAATAATAAACGATGAACATATTCACTGTGATTTTACCGCGGCTTTTATGGTCCATTACTTACGTTTGACGTCTCACATCAATTAATGATTATATTATTATTGACTGAGAAAAGGAAAACGTTTCGTATGTATAGTTACGATGGAACTTGTATTAAGTACACGGATTTAATAATCCCATAAAATACAGGTGTAAACTGCTTTATAATCAGTCTAATACATCATGTTGCAGAAGTTCCATCACAAGCACATGCTATATTCAAATAGTTTTCTTATATTAATGCCTTATCGTAGTGTTTGTGTGTGTGGAGGGAGAAGGATTGTTTTAATACGAAAATATTTCTTTATAAACTAGACATTACGGAGGACCAGTTTGACTTTAAAGAAACATAACAAATGTAATTCAAAAAACAATAAACAGGAAAGAAAATGAAGTTAGAATCATAACAACAGGTCTTGTTTATGGAAGACAGGTTCTTCGTTCGACGTAATTAGCTCAAATTTAAAACTTTATTTTGCAAACACATTAAAATAAATCAACACAACCACTCCGTTCGACGTCGGGTAAAATTAAATTTAATTCCTGCCTCGGTCCCGACAACAGCTATATAATAGTGAAAAATTATATACATAATGAGTTATTATACGGCGTCGTGTGTGATACAAATGAGGGCAAGTTTAAGCGAGTGACCGACACAAGGTTAGCGAGTATGAGAAATAGCAATAAGGAAAAATACAACATTTACAAATTATATGTATTTAAAAACAGACAATTTATGTTGGGTAGTTTTAGATCGTGTAACAAACAAACAAACATACAAGTCTCTAGTAGAATTTCGTTTTGTGAACATAAGTATTTTATTTCTATCTTAAAGCTGATGATTCTCATTAGAAAAGACAATTTCCTGTAACATCGTATTCAACTGTACGCTCCACTAGAGCGTCTCCACACCGATAATGTAAAAACAACATCGGTACTGATCAGCAGACGTATAGACTACCCACGAATCGATTTTGTACAATTTAACTAAAGTTCATTGTCTTTAATGTTTTTTGTAACATTGGTTATACTCTTATAAAACCAGTTTTTAGTCTACAGGGAACACACAGACGAACTGATACACATTTAAATAAGACTTCTGTTTGAAAATATCCGATATTTGATTTATCTTGTGTTATAAAATTAGTAAATAATATATAAAGAAACAAGGTTAAAAAGAGCAAAGTTCAATAATTTTAATTAACTAGACTGGTTTAGCGAGAGGAGAGTGTTGTGATAGCTATTATTGTACAGCCACGGGCAAAAGTATTAGGCACCCTACAGTAAGACAAGTTTTAGGGTGTTTTAGCATAGCGAGTCTAAATAAAACTGCATTTATGATTACAATGGTTTATTTTAAGAAAATAATTAATATTTTGTAGGTCCACCTTTTGACTTAATAACCGCAGCCACTCTTTTTGGCATTGACTCTACCAGCCTGAAACATTCTTCTCTTGATATATTTTTCCATTCCTGCTGTAACGCGGCCAATAGAGCTTGTTTATTGCTAATCGAGTGCCTGCGGATATTTTTCTTTAAAATGGACCAAATATGCTCAATCGGGTTGAGGTCTGGTGATTGTGGTGGCCAGTCCAAAAGATCAATATGATTTTCAGCAAACCACTTCATGGTATGCGCGGACTTGTGGCAAGTGGCGTTGTCTTGCTGAAATTTCAGGCCATCGGTGTTTGTATCACCGAAAATTTGCGTTATCGACGTTGCTAGTGCTGTTTCCAGAACTTCAGTGTATTTAACACTATTCATTCGTCCCTCACACAATACCATTTCGCCCACTCCGTCGGCAGCCATGCAGCCCCAGATCATTATTGAGCCTCCACCATGCTTAACAGTGGGAACCACACATTCTGGGTTGTATTCTTCGCCAACCCCCTCGCCTAACATAAGTCACACCGGGTGTTCCAAACACCTATGCCAAAGGAAAAAAACACATTTATTTTCAAAGTTATTATTTTTCTTGCAGTACGTTATTTTAAAAACATTTGTGTTTTAATATTGTACATAAAATAAATAACAATACCTCAAAGTTAGATTCGTCTGACCACAGTATGTTGGACCAATCTTCCACTGACCAATCTCTATGTTTGAGTGCCCACTCCAACCGATTTTTCTTATTGTGTTCTGACAGCCACGGCTTCTTCCTTGCTTTACATCCTTTTAATCCAGCTTTAAGAAGTCTTCTTCTCACAGTATAAACACTCACTGAGCTGCCTTTTGCCTCAGATAATGCTGCAGCGAGCTCTGAAGCAGTTTTTTTCCTGTTTTGTAGAGACTGCCTAATCAACAATCGATCTTCCCGTTCAGTAGTAACTTTTCTTCTGCCTGTTCTTGGTCTATTTTCATTGGTGCCAGTCTCTTTGAAGCGATTTATAGCATATTGAACTGCACATCGCGAGCACTTCACTTCTCGGGCTATTTTAACCTGAGACATGCCTTGTTCATGTAAAATCTTAATTCTTAGACGCTGTTCAGCACTAAGTTCAGATTTTTTCGGCATGATTAACACGTTAAATGTTAGTCTTTAGAATTGAGATAGGAATAGTTGCGTAGAAGACGTGTATGTTCACTGTAAGCACTGATAACACACTATAACCCGAAACGCAAAAAAAGCAAATTCGAAGAAACACCGCTTAGGAGCACACCTGGATGTCATAAATATTTTCTTTTATCTTAATTTGGTTAAAAATTGCCGCTAATACAATAGCTAAACCATAAAACACAAACTTGACCGCAATATAATGAGATAGTGACTAACAATAGGGGTGCCTAATACTTTTGCACGCAGCTGTATAAATAATGTTAATTTTATACATACTAAGGACAAATCATTATAATAATTAATTGGTAAAACCTAATGAAAAAACTGACAATGTATCAATAAGGTAATGATGCATTTAATTTGTTGTAACTTTTAACATTGTTACTTTTTATAATAGCTCGAAACACCTGTATCTTAATACAAGTTTTCATATAACTACACACGTAGCGTTTTCTGTTTCTAAATTAAACTTACGTCAATAATGTTAATTCGAAGAATTGTGAATGAATAATTAAATGTTTGAGTTAATTTTGCGAATCAATTGTCTCTCATAGACTATATTTGCATTTTGTCGAGTAATCCAATATCCATACGATGAAAATACACAAATACTCTACATCACTTTGGAAAAGAACTGAACTCTAAAATTTCTGGAATTATACATATTAACCAAACATATGTAAGAACCAGCGGAAGGAAACAGGCTTTCAATTAAAAAAAACCCGCATTGTAACCGGGCTGTCCGTTTAAGAGTTACAATGACACATACAGACATCGATGTCAAACTTATAACATCAATATTTAATAAAGGGTAAAAACGGTTAACGCTCCGTATGTAGTGACCATGGAAACTTGTTGTAAGCACAATGATGGTAAATATCAATTCGTCAACTGGTCTTTCGTCTTTTATTTTTTATTTTAACCCTTTCTTGATAAATAACATATATTCTGTATGAAAGCGTGTCGTATAATGCACCTGCTGCCATAACCCATTCACAGGTGGCGCTGACGACATTTAACGGGGAACTTTTAGACATCACTATAAATAACTAGAGTAACTATATGTATATATAAAATGCTATAATAATGTTCAATATTATATAAGGCTGAGCTAAATGAAGAAAATTCGACTAGAAAAAGGAACGAATACTATCAGGCTTCGAACCCGCATTCTCTCCAATATCTCATTTCGGTCGCTTCGCAAAGTAAGCCATCGTGTCTATCTCAATTTCGTATATTAATCTCACATGTTTAACTGATAGATGTTGCGTCCGTCTGTGTACAACACTCGTCAGGCCGTGTCTCCGGAGCGGACCTTGGCCGCCGCTCGGACTTCGCCCCTCGTCTTTATCGCCGACCTTGGCCTCGACTATAATTCCTCACTATTGAGACAAAACTGCGTAATTTTCTACAGCGAGCTCTTTACGCTGATAACATTTATTAGTCTCTTGTTTGTATTTCAAATCCGTATTGCTTTATTTACTAAGCGGTGGCACGTATGTATAATTTTAAAGATATAGTTTCTTTAAGAAATCTTTTACCTAAATCTAAATGAACCATAATCAATTTTCATATTATTTAGGAAGCCGGTCTTCCGTCTGTCAGTGAGGCTACACCGACCGGTTGTTTCGCAAAACTTTATACGCGTCGTTATGTAAACGTTCAACTACAAAGTATCAAGATAACCTATAGAACGTTAAATAAATAAAATGCTTATCCCATTTTGATGAAGTTTTATAATGATACAGCTTCTGCACCCCAATAAGAGATAGGACCATAATTTATCAGTCGTCATCTATCATATTAAAAAAACTAAACGTCTCAACGATCCTAATTCAAGCAAACGCAGACAAAGTCACAGGCAACCACTATTTATAATATTAAACAATATTCATAACACAATTGCCAAATTGCTGTTATTAAGCGAGAACAGTTGACGGTAGTTTCATATTTTTGTAAACAGTCGTCTGTAAAGACTTTATAATAAGACTAGATAATGTATGTAAAAACAAGGTTTATAATATAATCATGATTGTTAAAGAACTCGTGATATGTATTGGTTGGAGGTAATTAATTTTTTTATAATAAATTGTTGTTTTATGAGCGATGATATCTCGTTAACTCTGAAGATTTTTTAATAAAACCATTGGAATTATAATATAAATAATATAGGTCTTTATTTAGACTGAGAATCTCTTCAATTACACGTATTTGTTCAAGATTATTGTTTAGTCCATTTTCATACACAAAGGATGAAAATTCTTTCACAAAATGAATAAAAAATTGAATAATAATATCTATAAAATACAAAAGCTGAAGACGTTTGTGTCTTTATAAAAATAAAATCGAGCTATGTACACATGTGGATTGTGGGCGTCACGAACAAAACTGACATTTATTTAAAAAAATATATTCACTTTATCATTACACATTTTTATTGAAAAAAATCAACGTCTTCTTTAATTTAAAATTAAACAAAAAATATTTATGAGCACAATGCGGTCAATTACATTCTTTTATATATCTTCAAACTTTGTTATTATATAAAAAAACACGACCAAAGTCAGTGTCACTAGCTAGTATATAATAGTAATATAATGATCTTCTATATATATAAAAATGGATTGCTGTTCCTTAGTCTCGCTAAAACTCGAGAACGGCTGAACCGATTTGGCTAATTTTAGTCTTGAAATACTCCTGGAAGTCCAGGGAAGGTTTAAAAGGTGAGAAAAATTGGAATGATTGCCGAAAAAACCCTAAAAACAGCCCTTCTCTATTTCCCATACAAACGATTTTTTGACATTAGACTTGACAACTAACTAATATGTCAATCATTCTGTTCGATTGAAACAGTAGAAATTTAATAAATACCAATACCGGGTTATTGAAGACGGAATAGAGTTCGCCCGGTCAGCTATACCTATATTACTAATGACGAAATTAACGCGGACGAAGTCGCGGGCAAAAACTAGTAATAAATAAATTAATTCACTTACTCTTTAATATAGTACATAGTGTTTAAGTCGTGTGTGTGTATGTACGAGACTGGCGCGAACACTCAGCCACTGATTACAGGCGACACTCATTGATAAGAGAATGATTACAACAGATTACACGCGGATGGGTTCTGTGTGTATGTTTGTGTATTACGATTTATGTATGAACAAAAATATATTAAAAAAGAAATTATATTTTTTTTAGCAAATTTCTTATGACACCTTATTTATATTAAGAGTAATGAAAAATTTTCAGAGAATTTTATTTTTTTTGTAAATTTCGTATAGAAGACGGTGGACTGTATAAAGCTATTTTAAAATGATGAAATTGACCGATAGCGTATCAATGTATAAGTGTTTGCATAATCCGACTTGAATATAACTCGTGGAAAGATAGCGAGGCTGTTAATTGATATTTATATATAGTAACATAGATAGTCAAAATAAAATAATTATATATACATATGTTATAAATTACAATTATATATGACATTTATTTCAAAGCTTTTCCTCTCGATCTTTATATATTCTATTATGTACAAATCCTATAAAATCATATTATGTCTTCTATATACCGTAGCACTCGTACAGAAACAGTGAGAGTGAACCGCGCTCATTAAATGAGTGTTCTACAATTTTATTACATAAAGAAAAAGCTGGCTGCATATTTTAAAATTGGTGTTAAATCTGGCTCTTGAGCAAGAATAAAAAGTTAAGTGTGGTTCATTAAGATATAGTTTAAAAGATCTTGGTTTAGTTTAAAGTGGGCTATCTATATAAATTATAATCCCCTGTCTTGTCCGTCTGTCTCAACAACGAGTTGATAATTTTCATATATGTATGTAGTATAATATATAGTCAGTGGTGGCTCAGTGGTTAAAGGGCCCGCCTCTCGTTGCCGAGGGCGCGGGTTCGATCCTGGCCCGGGCAAGTACCAATGTGATTTTCCCGAATCATATGTACTTTCTAAGAATATTTAGACATCACTGATTAATGTTGATTCCCAAAAAGAGGGTTGATGTCAGGCAGGCGGCCGGTCGTAAAAACAAATAGCCAAAACCATTCACAACATGTTAGGCAGACCCTGGCTATAGCTGGGAAAAATTGCCAGGTAGAAGAAGAAGAAGATGTAGTATAATATACAAGTGTAAGCTACTCACGTCTCATTCTCGTCTATAAACATGTCTGTACACCTTCAACCTGAAACAAAATTATAACATGTTTAGTGAAAATAAAAATATTATACAATATAGAATAAATCATAAATTATCATGTTATCAATACAAATAACCAAATTTATTGTAGATATAAGTCGGACCGTAAATAATAGTAATATAATATTTCCGTCTCTGTTTAAATATATCATTACAAACGTATGTAACTGTATCCTTAACACGAGTTGTACGCCGTATACTTCAATACTGGTAGTTTCAACGTTTAACTAAGAGAAACTATAAGACAATCAAAAGTCAGTGGTGGCCTAGTGGTTAAAAGGCCCGCCTCTCATGCATGAGGGCGCGAGTTCAATCCTGGCCCGGCCAAGTACCAATGTGATTTTTCCGAGTCATATGTACGTACTTTCTAAGAGTATTTAGACATCACTGAATAATGCATTCCCAAAGAGGGTTGATGTCAGGCAGGCGGCCAATCGTAAAAACAATTAGACAAAACTGTTCACAACATGTAGGCAGACCCTGGCTAAAGGTGGGAAATTGCCAGGTAGAAGAAGAAACTATAAGACAATCATGGTATAGTATCAACAGACACACGTACAGAGAGACGAGTTTCGTATATATATAATACATATGCGATCTTGTTGTACAGAAGGTCTGTGTCACGCACCAGTCGCAGTCAGCTGAGGGCGATGCCTCTTGGCAGTGTTGGAGCTCCTCGCCGAGCCCCCGCGCTAATTATAAACACACTGAGTGACGTCACACGTTATTAATATACAACAGACACCATCCACCAACCGTACACTACCAGAAACATTGACACGGGAACAGGCTGTCCATCGTCAGGTAGGAAGCGACTCTATGGAATAGATGACTTTAGTCACTAAAGTTTAGTGTAGCGAGACCCTAAGACGTTTAAGAAATCTATGGCAGTAGATGATGAATAACAAAACCAACTGATAGACATTCACATCTCGTCTGCCCGTGATCACGGTTGCTGAAAAGTAACCGAAGCTTCAGAAGTATGTAGTTCTTTACAAAAATAAATCACGCGTATGTAGTATATATGAAAAATATTAGTTTCATTTAAAAGTCCCCAAGATAGATGCCAAATTATAATATTGCTGTTATTCGTTATGCAGGAAGATATTTCACTAATATTTTTTAATTAAAGTTGTCTCTAATGACATTACATTTTAAGTTGCATTGTGTGTCTGTGAATAATTAAGAAAAGTCTCGATAGTTCAAAGTCGTTTAAATAACACAAAGAACACTACACCCGGCTGTGACGTCAGATGGGTATCAAAAAAATGATTTAGAATTGCAAATTAATTCTAAAATGTTACAGAAGATAAAACATTAGACAAATATTATTAAAACGACGTATTATAGAATTACCACGGGTTCGCATAGTCACATTAAACTCGAACAGTTTGAAATGCTTCAATTATAAAACTTGGCACGTGACAGTATCGACGTTTACAGATGAATGAAAAAATGTTAACTCGATTTGTTTATATAACGGTGAAGACTCGTGGTAGGAGAGTTGATGCCTTCGATAAATTATTGTTATATATAACTATTAATTAATAGTAGGCATTTCTTTGCGGATGACGGGAGAACTTTATTTTCTGTATAAGAAAGTAATTTACCGTTTACATAAAACAAAATACAAAGAACAATAGTATTAACACAAATGAATGAGCACAGATATATCTGGACGATAACAGACGACTGATAGCGAGGCTCGAGATGAGGACGACCCTCTCTGTATGTACGAACATTGATACTTAAGTTCAGTAGTTATATTAAACAAACATAACGTACAGACAGACTGTGACTTATATACAAAGAAGAATAAAAACTGAATATTTAAATAACAATTGTTATATGTACGTATATTAATTTCTCCTGTCGTGAAAGTAACTGTAACACATATAATATAACATTTTATTAAATTCATATCATGTTCATTTTTAAACTTGAACCGCTCTTGTTAACTAAGCATCGTCGCCGTCTCAAATCTAGTTTATATCTAGTAATACTATAGTATTCTACGTCACATGATGACTGTACGGAGTCTCCATTAATTATGAATCCCATAATTAAAATCCGACTGAACTATGGAAAAACACAAAGAGATTTATATAGAGGGAAGGTAACTTGGATTCAGTCACGTCGGCAACAGGTCAAAGGTCATGTGTCATACATCGATCACTTTCCTGTTATGTATCACTCAGCATTACATTCACAATATGGACATTATAATCCTCTAGTTCCTTATCGTCCCTAATAACGAGGATTTAAATAATGCCTATCTATCGCATGTCGTGCGTGTAATAAAATATTGTTTACATCCTAATAATTTATGAGTGATACTAAATCAATTGATATTTATAATCAGTATTATTTTTGAATATATTATTATACTAAAAATTGGGAATAATGTTGTTTCTACATAGCATTATACAGGCGATAGGTAAGGGTATTTAAATTCCTCCTTCAAGTTAAATATTTTTTTGTCTCGATACCGATTATAAGATAACGCGATATATATTTATTAATATAACAGCGTATAGACGCATAAAGATAATGTTAATTATTTTGCAATCTATCAGAACTGATTTATTAAATGAATAATAGATTAGATCCAGATAAAAGACAATTCAACAATGACATCCAAAGTCCGCGACACACACACACACACACACTCACACACACATGTACAGGATGTTGATGGCATCACGACGTGGACTTTGAAGCATTGGTCGTGTTAATGAAGATACCGTGTGTTACAGACATGAATGGCTTGATTACAAACTGAATACATATTGATCAACTTTGAAACAAGAGAGAGCTCTTCGTGGACTTCAGGTTCGATTCCTATTTGTGCAGTGATTCAATGTTAATCTGCTCTTTGCATGATGTTGCCATTCATGAAACGCCCTAGTGTTACAGTGGGACACGTATCACGTATGTGTGAGTCTCGATACGTGTGTGTGTGTGTGTGAGCGGGTTCAGTCACCACGACGCAGAGCTTGCGTTTCCCTCAAACTGATAGGACATGTAAACGTATTAAATATCATAATTCCTTTGTATGTTTGTCGGTCGTGAGTCACGGCTGATCGCTGGCTTTGTTCCAGTGTAATGTTCCACTTAAACGTCTGCTCAGATAAATTCTGTACATATCTTTCTTCTAATACGAGATGTGCAAATATTTTCATGATGTGGTTAAGAAATCAGTTCTTTGAGTATTTTTATACAATTAATTAAGAATATAGATTAAGATTGCGTTATGATACATCACATTTATAACAATCTTATAGAAAACAATTTGGAAACAGCGTTAATAATATTGATTCTGATTTCTAACAAATAATAAAGTATAAAATTTTAAGATAAAATATTTCAGCCGTACAAATAGTCGAGCCGCTCGTTTTCAATAATGTCAAATATTTTCTTTGTACAAAACTGAATTCACAATGTGTGTCGTGATCTCAATATATCTCAAGTCTCAACAGTCAACAATGTTTCGGACTTTGACCGGCCGGCAGCAGCGCGGACTGAGGGGACCAGTGGGTCAGTCAGTCAACTACATTAAGGAATTAGTTAATAACACTGACACATGATAAACAAATGTTGCTTATAAAACACAATAATATATATAACAAGATTATATTGTAAGTTGTTTTTGCAAACAAAACTTTTGACTTTTAAGGTACATATTTTTAACGTCATACTCCATACTACCTGTTTAAACGTATACATGTATACCGTACATATAATTCTTCGTTAACATGTGACATTTCATTTCATTAATCAAATTAAACTTGACATAATTGTACAGGTCAGCCGTCGGTTTTAATTAGAGAACAGATTCAGGTGAGAACATCAGTACTAATGATCGATATTATTATAAGTATCGATAATATTTCGATGCATCGTTTTCTGTATCGAGTCAGTGTATTTATGTGACCTTCAGTGACCCGTGCGATCCCGGGCGACTGTTATCACCTCATGAATGATAACCCCATACTGTATACATACACGAACGTCAACTGTTGATGTTGTGATGCTAGCAGCCCGACTGTTGTGTCTAACTTGGCGGTTAATTAGAGGTTAATTGGTTTACTGTTTTTAACTAGATACATTAAGCACTTAATAGTAATTAATAGAAATAGAAATGTCAAAAAAATTTATTTCTTCAAGTCACAGACGCAAACATAGACGTCATCTAACTATGCATGTAGGAATGAATGAAAACCAATACTACAATAGTATCCGTTAACTACACAAACGACAGTAAGACGAGTACTAAGACCGTTATAATGGTCGCGGTCTGCAGCGCTGGTTTTTATGAAGAGAACAAAAATAAACAAGAGAAAAAAAAATCACTTGACACAGAAACAGACGGCCGGTGGCGGTCGAGTGAAAAATATAACGTTCAGTAGTATACAGATTGTTTTATATTAATAAATATTTAGGTTCATATTTAATTTACTTGAAAAAGATTATTAACGCATCGTTGGCACTTGTACATATAGACGCAGTTTTCTTACCTTACTTGGGACTATTTGCATTTAGGACGGAAGAGGATTCGTGAGGGAGAACCTGGAGTAGGGGAATCTGATTCTTCTGGCGAGCTAACTCATGTACTACTAATATAAAACATTATACAATATTAAATAACATAGTTCTATATGACAGAAGAACTGTATTTGTTCAAAATTCAAATATAAGATTACACACGACCTTTGAACCAAAAGATGAATCTTTCTGAAATCCTTGACGTACTCTATCTATCTCTCCACTGAGTACATGTTCATGTAATAAAAAATAACTGTTCAGTAAAACACTATTCGATAGTTTTAAAATTAATGCAAAATGTGTTGTTGTCTAAGTAATAGCATGTTCCTATGTGGACTAATTAATTTTAATTAACCGTCTGGATTGATACTCGATCAACTGTCACCGGGATGTTAATCCCTACAGTCCTCATGATACAAGTACTATACAAGCTACGATGATGACTTCTCTCGCGAGTTCAACGGTTATATGAGAAGTGACGCTGCTTACATGCTATATGGATAGTTCTACGTTAAGAGGTACTATCGACGGCTACATGAAAAAATCATACATAATTTGAAAATTCGCGGAAATCCTCAGTCATATTTAATAATAAATAAAGCATACTTTTTTACCAATGAATTACAGTATCTGAATTAACTTAGTTTAGCTATAATTTCATGTTGACCTAGAAAAAAGTATCTACCCTGGCCTGTCTCTTTACTATTCTGTAACAAACTCTTCCAAATTTAACATATTACTAATTCATTTAAAATCTAAGCGTTATTTATTACAAAAAACAGTATAATTAACAATAATGAATATGTAAAAAAACTCTCAAATTACTTTAATTTTCTATTAAAAAAGAAATATCAGTTTTTGTCCCTCATATATTAAGTCTCCTCCCCTGCCTATTTTTCGTCCGTTATAAATGCCGCAAAAATACGTTGATGCTTCAAATTTCAAAAGGCAGAGCATTTGTTTTAAAGTTAAGTTAGTAATAAACGCCGAAAGCGCCATCCACGCGCTCTCATTGGCAGATAATTTGATCACGCGACTCGGCTTACACGGACGTGTCAGTGATTGCAGTATCTCCACTGGTAAGTTTTATTCATTTCTTATTTACATTTAAAGTCTATTTATATTATTTATTTACTTTAATTTAAGCTTAGTTTACCGTGTTCATTTGTTTTTTTCTTACAACATATTTTATCCTGATTAATTTTAGTTTTTTCATGAAAACGTCTCTTCCCTGCCGTATTTCCCCTGCTTTATGAGATGCCAGGGTAGAGACTTTACATCCAGGGTAGATAAGGAAGTGAGATATAACTGCTTTCTTAGTATTCATATATTTTTATTAGTATATGAATTTGGTTTCACGTTAGTCTTCTACTACGTAGCAATTATTTAAATTGATTTCTAAAATGTTTGAATAAGTTTTTTCATTTCTTTAGATCACGCCTCCTCGAAAGAAACTAACTCGTGAGGAACGTCTTGAAAAGAAGCGTCTGGCAGAACGATTGAGATACCAACGCATAAAAAATGATCCCGAAAGGTATTCTCAACAGAAGGAAAAGGAAATGAAGAAATATGAAAGAAAAAAAGAGAAGGGAACTATTAAGACTGTAAACCAAATGACACCCAGAGAACAACGAAAAGCCAGAAAGATATGAAGAGAAAAGGCAAACAGCGGAGACGACGTTTAGCTCTTCAACATATTGGAAATGCTCCTGCTACCCTACCTACTTCAGACAACGAAGTTCCTCCTAGTGAAAATATTAATCAACGAGCGCAAGCTGGACAACAAAGATCGATCCAGGCAAGGCGAGCAAGAAATATATTAATAAAAAAACAGGTAGCTCAAATCGCTCAGCTTAAATCAACAATAAAATGTTACAAAAAAAGGCTTCAGAGATCCAAAGGACAATATAATATGGAGATAGAGAAAAGTCCAGGTACAAAGGTAAGCGCATTACTTAATTCACCAAAATCGAGAGATACTGTCAAGAAAAAAATATTATGTAGAGAAGTTCTTTCTCAACAATTAAGAGATAATTTTTCGGATCTTACGACTCAAAAAGAGCAAAGACTGTTTCAGAGAATGATAAGTGGAAAACTGGTTTCAAAATATGTAGTTTTAGAAGGAGACAAGATATTAAAACCTATTAAGAAAAGAAAAACTAAATTAACTTTAATAGAAGTAAAACGAAGCACAAGAAGAAAATCGATAACTTTGAGAAAAACTATAGAAATTTTCATGGAAGAAGATTCAAACAGTAGAGTGTGTGCTGGTAAAAAAGACGTTGTAACAAAACAAGGGGTAAGAAAACAGAAGAGAGTTATGTTGGACACTTTAATAAACTTATACAAGCTTTTCATAAAAACTTCAAGTCTGAATTTCTGTATTAGTTATAAACTACCACAAATTAGTGAATAATTAAAGTTGATTCTTATGAAATTGAGTTTTTTTCTCGATTCATCTTTCTCCTGTAAAGGAAGGTATCCTGCCCTGGCTTTCATGTCTCTACCCTGTACAGATTATCTTCCCTGGTCCCTTAAAAAACTCATAAAAGTAGATTAATTGACTGGCCATTCATCTACAGTATACAAAATACCTGATTACATAATATAATGTAGAAAAAGAAATCAATTTTAAATATTTTTATCGTGCCGCCCTGCCTAATATCAAAAGACCTCTTAATGTAGAATTACCCATATACATAATTGTTGTTAAATAAATATTCCATGAACAGCTATTCAACTGGAAGTGAAACTACAAAATAATAAACTTAATAATAATTTGCAAATAAACCCAAATTTTCATCGTCTACAATGTTATTCGCAGTTTGTTGGCTACGAATGTAATTATTCTACAAAAATAGGAATAAATGATATGAATTCACTGGAATGAATTATGAAGAATTTTAGGAACTATTCTAAAATATTAAACAAAAATTTTATATAGCGGAATGAATATAAAATAACATGAATTTTATTCGCATCTTTTTTTGTAAACACATGCACATATAACAAGTTTATACGACCATAAATACTGTATTTTTTTATTAATTCCTTTGTATTTAGTTCTATAATTCAATTTGAACAACAGATGTAATGTCTATGTTCTTTTATAGCGTCCACCTGCTTCATCTTCTTATAAATTGTCACCTGTCATTATAACAATAATAAAATATTTGCAGAAAACTATGGATCATGACTAGTAAGTGACACAGCAGACATACAATAAATACAAAAGTATCTGTCTCTTTATATATGGGACCCTAAAATGTGGTCAAGTCTTTAAGTCAAATAAATTAGTAAGACAAAATGATTCAGTTCTGGACATGATTCAAAACAGATAATAATTGGTGAAGATGCTGAACTTTCTCAGAAATTTTATGACGCAAGGAATATCAGAAAGGGCTTTAATTTTTTGTGTGATTCATCTTAATACTCTGGTCGGGTACATTATACAAGTTTTCTGCTCTCATATATATTATCAAGAACAACATTTGAGTGTAAAGAGGATGACTTTTGTTCGTTTCTGTTAAATGAACCTAATTTTACTGACATTTCATTTTAAATAGAACTGTTAAGAGTCCAGTTAGTTCCATAGTCCACACTTTGTGTTTGAACAGTTATAAATCACACCGCGTGTGACGTGTGTGACGTGAGGTGTGTGTGTTCGCATACATTCGTGTGATCCGGCCGTGGTGTAGGAAGCGGGTATCGTAATTCATAAATAAGTTTTGCACTTTGTTCAATGTCAGATGTAATGTAAGCCCGTCGCTTCCGCGTCGTTAAAAAAAACACATACTTGTAAATTTCGCGATTACTACAATCAAGTTTAAAACTAATGTTTGAATACTTTAGTAGTGTTAGTGTATTTTATTATTTTGATGATAAAATCTTCATAAGTATATTTTAAGGTTTATATTACATAGTAATAAAAAGCTAGAGTCAAATGTCAATAGGTACATTAGAATTATTGGCGAGTGAGGTTTGGGGAGTCGATTAGTATGTTGTAATGTAATATAAGTGTAGTATCGCACGGTGTTTAAACGAATGTTGGTCGCCACACGAGCGTGACCACTCGTACTCAATACTATGTGAAACTGTTACAGCATTCTTGTACAATGTACACTGGAGACACACTCGGCCAGCTGACGTACCGACGGATAATAAACTGGATAGATATAATCATTGATATATTATTAAATAGTTAGAAAAATATTCAAGACAATTTATAAGCGATCTCCGAATTTATTTTATTAACTTAAAAACTTTAATGAGAAAAAATAGTTTACAAGTTAGGTCGCAGACATAATAATTAAAGAAATTTACAGCTTTCCCTAAAACAATTTTTTTCATAGTAATACTGGCTTTAAACTGTGTATTGGATATATTTGCGAACATCGATCTCTGAACGCTCTGTCAAATAAGGAATAATTCGCATGCCGTATGAGGAAGTCGTTGACCCGACTCAGCTGTGAGTGACGTCACTGGGAATAAATATTATCCGATACTTGGATGGATTTAGCAAAAATACGAACGAACGTAAGGCCGGGTTCACACGAGCGACACTTTGGACACAAATATAACACGTTTGATAATGACCGTGAAAACTGGTTTGATGGAGTAAAAATATAATAACACGGCTACAATGTGATGTGTAGAGTTGATAAATAATAGTTAATATATAAAAAATATAAGGATATTAATATTAGTATTAGAGTTCTTGAAAAAATAATTCTAATTATTTGTACGTCTTCTAGATGATAAGTTTATAATAAGAACACTCGCTAAGTAAATAACAGAGCCGTTGTTTTGTCACATTGTAAAATTTTAATTATACATTTTTAGACGCCTCTCTTAGCCTGAGTTTCATGACTATCAAGATTCCTCTGTTTAACTCCGACGCAAATTGGAAATTCTAATCACACGATTAGAGCGCCTCTGTCACATAACTCAGGTAATAGTTACATTTGTAATAACTGCAACGTGAAAAATATGGTTTAATTGGATTATAACGAAACTAGGTTACCGCGATATTTACCACAATAGTAACCAGGCCGTAATAAATAATTAATTGAAACGCTTCATTTATTTTTATGCGAAAAAATATATAAACGACATCGACACGAATTTAATGCAATTAGGTAAAATTAATACGTAATAGAGATGATACGGACTTTGGATGTTGGTGGCGTAACAAACGACTTACCTCAACAGCTCGCTAAATGTAAACTAATCTATCACTTGTATCACAGCCACTAGGAATATAAGAATAATATTATTATAAAAATTATATATGAACGGCACGTGAGACACGTCCGGCCGTGACGACGCTCGCTCGGCGACTGACTGGAGAGAGGTTCGCGCCATATGATGAGGAGGAGAGATCACGAGATGTGGACCGGCTGACGGCGGGACCCGGGAGACATCAGGGAGATAGGAGGCACACGGTAAGGAGACGAATGAACATAATGTTTAGAGGTTCCAAATATTTGTAAATAGATAAATATATAGATAGAATACTGCATGTCCTCTCTGTACGATTTTTAATACAAATCCTGTTATCTGTTACATACAGTTCATGGCCGGTACACTAGCACTCATCTGACCGAGCGACGCGCTCCTTCCTCGGGGATACAAAATTCGTATTGGGGGCGAGGGGCGGGGGGCGAAGGTCGGGGGACGGGAAGCGAGACCTTCACTTTGTTACGGAAGGTCATGGTGCAGAATGAATCAAATTTTTAGTAATGGTATGTTAGAAAGATACAAAGAGTACTTGAGATGAAAATGTTTTTTAATATTTAATATTATTAAAATAAACAACGTGTCAGTAACGAACAGTTCTATAGAACATGTCTCAAGTAGTATCTTCGTGCGATACTTCCGTGTATAATTTAAAGTCATTATTTTAGATCAGTGTCTCATACATTAGTCTTGATATAAGGATATCAGTAGTCATGTAATCAGAACAAGCACGTGGGTTCGAGAGGCGGGACGGACTGCTGGAGTGACAACACAAACCAATAGTACAGAAGACAGGTCTGGGTTACGCCAAAATGGACCTTAATATATGAGTATTAAAGCTTACTACATAGTTTAAACAATTAACGGTACCGTTCATAGTGACTCCTACACACGAGACGATGACGTCACCAAGGATCCGTGTAAAGATACCATTATTATAATAATGTACAAATATTTTAATCTACAAATATGATGTACAGGGACTCTAAGACAAAGTTCGACGTTCTGAACGTAAAAAAATAATTGACGCAAACATACCAGATGTTGTATTTGTATAATAATTCGAGTGTTAATTCAACGCCGCTAAAAACTTGAAATAATATTACATAGATTTAACAGAGAGTATATTTAGTTAAAAAAGCTAATAATAGTCAATGATAAACAACTAACAACTGTATGGATCGACGAATGGTCACGACTTCTCGATACCAACAGAACGAAGGCTTGAACAAATTGAATTTATATTAAAAAATATTTAGCAGACATTTTGATACAAAAAAATGTGAAAGAGCCATGTAACATTAAATATATAGCGACTAAAGACAACCTCGTAGCCGGCCGTGGATGGCTTTATTTAGTGATAAAGCTTAATCGGAACTTAAGTAAAAATTTAATTCGCAAACTATGTATTAACTTCCCCTTCAATTGTCTCAATATCATATGTTTAACAAACATAAAAAAACCTTTAAATACATTTATTTGAATTATTCTATTATTTGAATACGATAATAATAAATAATATTTTTTAAAGAATAATTTATAAAATCGGGACAGAATCCCCGCATGGTTACAGTACGAGCGGATGATAGTAGCAGATAGCGGAAGACGACACTCTACGGATAATGGGGGGCGAAGTCCGAAGTCCCGGACCCAGGGGCTGGTGCAAGTGCATCACAGATTAATGATAAGACAACGAGGTCGACCAGCGTACACGACCTCCGCTTATCATGAAACACACTACGACCAACGACCGAATAACCTTATACATATAGAACAGAATAAAATTAATAAATCTCCACTGAAATACAGAAAATCTAGTTACATAGTTAAAAATATAATATCCCTAACTTAAAATGGAATTCCACACGGGCGGGTTGGTTTGGTTTAGATTTGAACTAAGTTTATCGTAATAATTGTTTAAACGCAATTTACACGGAACAAAACTCCTCTTCAATACTAAGGGATTACATTAAATTTATTCTCTAATGTAAAACTTCGTTATCCACTATAGAGACACAGACTTAATAAAAAAAAAAAGAAATTATTAATTTAATATTAATTATTATTATTTATTATCCGCCATGTTAAACACGTCGCCAAAGATGTCATGAATATTAATAAATTATTTTTTCTTATAATTACTAATATTATTCTTAGTACATGCAGAATTAAACTATTATAATTGTTGGTGTGTCAGTAAGGATGCTCCGTAGCCCTGGCTGCCCTGCCAGTGTTAAAGGTCACGCATATCTAATCGGAAAAGGTTCGAGGGTGGCTGAAGATAACAGATGTATATATGAAATTATCAATTAAAAAAATAATAATTGAAAGTTATTTCACTGACACCGGATCAGAGAATAAAATGACTCGGAGATATTGTTTTATAATAATATAAATTACTTAGTAACAGAGTGATATCTACTTAATAATAAATTTAATGTAGTTTTAAAGAAGAATTAAAATTCTATAACAAACGAAAAACAAATATGGAATGTTCCATGTCAATATTACGACAAAACTAGCACTACGAGTGAGAGGTTTAAAAATAACAGACGACTTACTAAACGACTACAAACTGTAGTTCCAATGATGGCGTTAATTATTTTTCTCAATTAATATTAAATAAATCATTATAATGCATCATACGACATAAAAACACCCGCACTACGGCGACCTCGGATATAATAACGAAAAAAACCGGTACAAGAACAAAGGACATGTTATTAATTAGAAATAATTATAAGAACTATGCATAATATGAAGATTTATTGCAGACGAGACAACACACTCTTTGCTATAGAAATGAATCCGATTGCTCTGTATTTTATTTACAGGTTGCTTATACTGCAATTTAATTACTCTTTAGAAAAATAAATAAATTGACTAACTATACATACTGTTTCTTTGTAATGTTTTCCTCAATATGGATGCAAATACAACTCAACATAGAAGAAATTGTGTATGTAAGTCGTACATACAAGTATAACAAACAAGTCAAAGGTTCATCCGATGTCAACCGCCAGCCGTCAGATGTGTGTTCACACGGAACAACCAGCAATGAAGAACAATCATCATTTTCACACACAAATCAATATTAATTGGAAAATAAATTCGTGCTTCATGTATCTTTGAAGAACTGATTTCTTGTGTATAGTCATACATATTGGATTATTTCAAATTACTATTAAAAAAATATGAAACTAATTAATATTGCCCGTTTGTAAATGTACTTAGTGTTTATTCTACAAATATTTTTAGTGTTTGACTTGCACGGGATTATTATAATAAATGTTCCATGAAAATACAAGACAGTTGGCTCCAATCAGTAAAAGGGACAGATTTATTACAAATATGGACTTAGAATACAATAATAGTGTAACTATTGTTATTATATATTGATTCTGTTTTATATATTCAATGCTGACCCTTTATCTTATATTGACTTATAGAGTATTAATAAATAGGTAATGGATTAAGTTTATCCAAATTTAATACAACAACAACATTTTTGAAGTTACATTTTTTCATTTTTGTTAAATTTAATTTTCATATTTCACAATCATCCACAGAAACGATAACAGCACGATTCAAATAACGCTAACATTATAGGGGCGAAATGACAAATATTATTAACTTTCTAATGAGAAACTGTTTGATAACATTTACTTTATACTTTTCTTAAAAAAAAATTCTCGGTCTAGTTAGAGTTTAATGGGTATATCATATGTGTTATAATTGGCCGGTAATATTAATCCAACCACGTTAATTTATTATAAAATGAAGGTAGCTTTGCGAAACATCGCGCCGCATTATTTAAAAATATAATTTTAAGATCATGCAACTCGACTCGAAAGGCATTTACTGAATTTTTTCCACTCCAAATCCATTCATTATTATATCATTTCCATGAAATAAAAAGAAATAGAAACAACACGTAAATATAATAACATATTCGCCTACAGCATTGTAGGTTATGAACTATACGATTACCTTAAGTTTTACACTAATTGACTATAAATTGTATTTTGCAAACATACCTCAGAATGTTGCAGGTTTTCGTTTTCACGGGAAAAATAACACTTGTAAATTATCACTGATTTTCTAACGAATACTTAATAAACACTAGCAGAACCTACAAACCGTCTGCAAACCTGGATGAATTAGTGTTGGATATTTGAAATGTCACATTTTTGACAAATGTCAAGAAACTCGATACTACAGAATCGATTTTTGACTATGTAAAGATAATTTAAGTCTTTTTAATGAAAATACTATCGTATTGGGATCCTAATGTAAAGTACTAATAAAAAAAATATTTTATAAATTAATTTCATGTGATTTCAACGACCGCACAGTGACTACTCAACGAAACTATTTGTGAGATATCGATATATCAAATTCGAATAGTTCGACTTGATGGGGCATCACTGGACGTGTTGAATGTGTCGTGTTTTTCTTTGGGGTGGGGAATCCGTCCAATCAGCGGCCTGCAAGCGTACTGAAAAGGTGGCGTGATCAGAACGTCACATTCGTATATAGATGTATAGAACCTACAACCTAGGGCAGTTCTGTGGGGAAGATCAATAGCACTAGATAGACGTGTTCGACGAATTTACATTCAACGTCTCTTAAAAAAAAGGCTTTAATTATGAAAATTTTAATGATTGCATTAGTGGAAAGAAAAATCTTGCTTATTTTTATATATATGTATGGGATATATATATATTTAACTTAATGATCAAAACAATTTAGTTAAAATAAATGTATAGGTTCAATATTAGCAGTTGTAGGTAACAAAAAAAGATATAAAAAATAAATATGGTCGTCAGTATCGCAATCGTATTCTAATATAACTTTCAATACAAAACATGGAATAAAACTTTTTTTTTATCAGAAAATTACTTAATTTCCAATAATGACCTGACAATTATTCCTATTCATAGCTGTTATCAGAAAACGTAGGTTTATTAACTTCCATAATTAGTCTATCATGGGCGCTCGCCGTAGGCAGATAAAAACCTATGAGGTTATTATAACAAGTAAATTATACGTATCTAAATGAGGTTAAGTATTATAACAAGTAAATTTAATTACTAAAAATAAAATTCAATTAAAACGCAATACGTTCATTGAAAAGGTTCATCTGCATTATACCTGAAGCCTGAAGGTGAACTGACTCACATAATATGATGTTGTCTCTCTCTTTTTGCAGAAGATTCACTTAAAATTATCAATATTCTTCATTTCAAAGTCTTCGCTGTAGAGATACATATTGAAATTTAAAAAAACTTGGCACAAGTTTTGGTTAAAGATACAAGCGTGACGAAGGTTAAATTTTACGTTAATTTTTAATTATTGTTAGTATTATATTATATAGAGTTGTCTGTATCATAAACCTAGTTGTTCGAGGAATGTAGTTTAATATAAATATTGGGACGAAAACTTTTTATCTAAAGTATATTATTGGTCATATTTAAATTATAGAATGGTATCTATTTTTTTACAGTTATCGATAAATCCTCATAAATCATACTAAACTCTAATTTGTCAAAATGTATTCAAATAGACTTCTTGTAAATATCTATTATTTTCGATGACAGCTACATAACGTTTATAGTTTTATATACCCAGATATATTGTTAGAAATTAAATGAAAATTATTAATGATGTTTAAAAACTACACAGATATATGCGATGTCGTGTCTCTTCTCGTTTACTGTCCCACAGAACGATCGTATTTGGTCACTAAAGAAAGTAACGGCGAGTTCTGGATACCTTGTAGCAAGAGCGAGAAAAATTGCTGGAAATTTACCGCTCATAAGATACATTTCGAGGTACAAATATTATATGGAGGCTGTTTGTATGTTGCTGTATTAAATTAATTGAAATTTTGTTACTACATAGTAATTATAAAACACCAATAGAATTTTTTAATTCAATTTTCACTACCATTTTGCTTTGTATTGAAATTATGTCCACAAGATACATTTTGAACAGATTCTTGGTATGGATACGTCATCGGAGTGCAGCCCTTTAAGAATTTACAAGATTTGGCTTCCAAAACATCGCAGGAGATGTGTGTACCACGCGGTTTACAAAGTGGCCATCAAAGCTGATGTAAAGAAGAGAGCTAAACTGAGACCAGTTAGTTGGCTTGAAGACTATCACACCTTATATCACCTTAATGTCATTCGTTTCTCCCATTAAAGTATTTTATGATAGCGCATTGACATTATCAGGCTTGTCACCATTGCTTAGTTTATTAATTGGTCAATATTTCTAGGATTTATGTATGAAATATCAATATGGTATTATAGAAGCTAGAGCATTTCATAGTAAAAAGCTTTCGTTTCGTCTGGTCACATGTTTTCTCAGTAATAATTGTCATCAGAGTAACCGCAATCGCCTTCAGTGGCTAACGTCATCTGAGCTGGAGCGTCAGCGAGCACACGCTACTCTGAGGAGTCCTGAACTAGCGCTGTTTGCTCAGCTAGCCAGTGGAGATATCCTTAGAAGCAATGTGAGAGAACCCATAATGTTCGTCAGAATATAACGTGTTCGTTTATAACATAATTTGGAACTTAGGTGGATAGTATTGTTATCAATTTAATATGTAGGAGATGGACACCGGCATGATAGTGGAAATCTGCGAAGAAAACGTGGTGGTAGGCTGTGAGGTGGCGGGCGGTGCTGTGGCTCTCTCCACACCGTACTGCAAACTAATACAAGCCGCTAACTACAACAGAGAAGGTACGCAACAAACCTTGACAAGTTGGACTATAATTTAAAGACTCTAACATTCACATGACTTATGTATGTTTTTGTAGACCAAGTGCTCCTGTATCGCGAATTCTTATCCTTCGTATATCCTGCGTTATACATGAGCCCCAAAATATTCACGAGATTCATGGTGGACGGAGGCTGGCAAAAATCCAATTGTCTCAGTCTGTTCAGGTTATATTGTCATATACTATTACATTATATTCTTTGTAACGGATGTAAATTTTCCTATTTTAAGTAAAAGAGCCATATATTTATTAGGGCAGCGGATATTAGTAACCGTGGTGGTTTATCGTTCATGGAGATGTTGCTGTGGACCGCGGCCGTGGAGCCCGAGACGACTCACGAGGAAGTAGCCGCGGAGATGCGATGCAAATATATATTCAGGTGAAGATTTGTATGGAATGTTTCAGGTCGATGCTCATCGATACCTTTATTTTTCATTATTTCCCACCATTTAATGAAGATAAAAGTATAAGTTTACCTTTTTCTTTAGTAACCCTGTGTAACGTTCTTAAAGATACTTCGACGGTAACCGCGACTGTCAACTGGAATATATAGAACTGAAGGAGTTGATAGCGGCCGCTCGGACGGCGTGCGGGCTCATCGCTGACTCGCTCACTGTGGCCAAGGAAGCCGACCAGTGTCTTAGGTACGATGTTAAGATTACTAAAATTCCTATCAAATTCACGTTTTAATGAGAAAACAGACCAGAACTTCGTTATTGATTCTACTGCACACAAGAGGTACCATGCATGGAAGTTTAGTGAGAATGGCCGCGTATATAGTTGTTAATGTAGAGGATGATGAGATAAATTATTTGTTTCTCTGTCGTGTGTGTAATATGCTATATTGACTCGACTTCTGCACACACGAAGTACTACATATATATAAGTTTGGTGAGAATTGTTGTAGAGGTTGTTAATGTCGAGGATGATCAGATAATTTGTTTCTCTGCCGTGTGTATTGTTCCTTACAGAGAGTTGTGTCTGTCGGGAGCGGCGCTGCTTCCCCTGGAGGAGTACCTGCGGTGGGCGGTCACTGAGTGTCCCGGAGCGGCGTCCCTTTTGAGAGCGCCCGTGTCCTGTGTCGCGCGTCTCCGGGATCTACTCTATATACAGTGAGTGATGAGATATCTCGAGATTGATAGCGATTGGTGTTTATTTACGTAAGTGTGTTTTAGAGAACGGATACAAAGTCCGATGCCTACGTCTAAGGAGAATTTGGAACCGGGTAAGAATATAATAAACATCAATTTTATTCCTACCTATATTATTTTTATTAACTGTGAGAATATTCCATTCAGATGACGACGTTACGGCCAACTCTAACGTAGCGAACGAATCGTCGGAGGCCCCGGCGCTTGTGAGGGGTGTGAATGGAGAATATTCGTTGGCCACGTGCGTGGTACAACTCAGAAGACAAGCTGAGCCTGAGATACAGCATCTTAACAGTTTTGAGGGTGGGCAGGCTGTTTTGTTTACAAATATTATTACGAATGATGATATTGAAAATTATTTATTTAAATTATAAATGTATTAATTGTAAACTATAAATTTTATATTTGTAATTGTAGTAAATTCATTAGTAGTATTATTAGTTTATTCAAAAATATTTGCACGCCAAATCGGCAGAATATGTGGACCACTGAAAATGTATGAAATACCTTTGTTAACCCATATTCGAGCAAATAAACTAATATTATTATTATTTGCAAGTATCTTTGAAAACACCCTACAAGCAGATCATCATCATTATAATTTTCTTGACAAAAGCGAGGTCAAAATATTATTTGACGAACAATCCTTCTTTCTGTTCCACAAGAGGATGCAGTGAGTTCATCCACAGCCCGCCTCGTATCTCTGTATAGCAACTCTCTGGTACTCCTCGGAGACGGAGCTGCCCCGACTGAGGCCTTCGCAGCCGTACATTACTTCGCCTCTGCCATCGACAAGCCTGCCCACGTTAGCATATATTAATCAATTCAACTTCTTGTTAATCGTCTAAATCTGAACTTCTTAACATTCCAACTTAATTAGCGTTTATACTATGGAAGATAAGTTTCCTATAAAGAATCCTGAAGCTAGTTTTAACCCTGTCGTATATGTAGAGGCGCGTGTCGGGCGGCGGCTCGGTGGTGGTCAGTAAGTCAGCGTTCTCGTGGGTGGAGGCGAACGAGGGTGCGGCGCTGGGAGCGAGGCTGCTGCGGCTGGCGGAGCGCGTGCGGCCGCTGTGTCTCAAAGAACCGAGGCTGTTGTCACTGAGCTCGCCTGTCTATGCTATAGGTGAGTGTGAGCCGTTGGAGAATGAGACTTTAATGATAAAGGTATCCATGAACTTAGGACTTGTGTCACATATTATTTAAGCATATTGAGAAAGTAGTGATGAAATCGTATAAAATGCTTGGATTTATCTTTCGGCAAGGGGCAGATTTTAAAAATATTCATGCCTTTGTAATTCTGTACAATGCTTTCGTTAGATCACATTTAGAGTATGCGTCAACTGTTTGGAATCCACAATATGCAAAATATGTCAACTTAATTGAAAATATACAAAACAAATTTATCAGGAGGTTGCGATATAAATTTACTTTTCCTGATTCAGTCTTTTTGCCACTTGAAGAACGTTGAAAACAAAGAGACCAAATGTTTCTTTACAAAATATTAAATAATTTAGTTGATTCTCCATATCTACTCAGTAATATTTTATTTAAATGTCCTCGTTTTAACGCTCGCTCTCAGGATACATTTTCAATACCTATTTGTAAGACTAATTATTTCAAAAATTCTTTTATTCTAAGATCTTGTAATAGTCATAATAGAAAATACAACCACATGGATCTATTTCAAAATAGTTTAAGTAGATTTTATAATCTTGTAAAAATAGCTCATTAGTAATTAATTAACAGTTGTATTTTAGGTTACATCAAAATTAGTCCACACCCCCGTATAAACAGTAGTGGAAACTTAACTGGCATAAGTGTCAAAATATGATTATTATATCAAGTTAATATACGATATGCTGTATGTTTCCCTGATAATAAATAAATAAAGAAATATTTTGTTGCTTGTCTTTTATTCAGGAGATCTACACGGCAACCTCGCCGCTCTTCTAGCAATGGAAGCGCTTCTTTGGCCTAACGGTACGGCTCTGATGCCGGGCGGTTTGTTGTTCTTGGGAGACTATGTCGATAGAGGTCCTCACGGTACAGAGCTCCTGACTTACTTGTTTGCCGCAAAAATACAAAGACCAGACGCGATACATTTGATAAGAGGGAATCACGAAACTAGAGAAATACAGAAAATGTTTACCTTCTACAAGTGAGTATTGTGTTCTTGGTAAATAAAAATACATCTTTAATGGAGGTTTTGAATGAATATTTCTAGTGAGTGTATTGACAAATATGGCGAAGTCGAAGGCTTACGGATCTGGAACGCTGTGAACGACGTGTTTGATGTTCTACCGCTGGCGGCCATCGTCGATGAGAAGGTTAGGATGTGTTTATATCATAACAAATTTATAGTCTACATCACGGTTAGAGTTTAATTCGCTCTATACTACATACCTATTTAATCTGAATTGTGCTAAGATATCGAATGTCCTTTAGGTTGTAGAGTGAAGACCACGGACTTTTTTCCCAAGGATTGTCAAAATAGTATACAGGGACTTGCTAATGATCATGTATTATATATATTCTATAGGTGTTCTGTTGTCACGGCGGCATCCCCCCGCCCTGGGTGTGTCCTCTAGCGGCGGGCGTGAGTCGTGTGCCGGCTCCCTTACCTCGACCCGCCGAACAGAGCGCGCTCGCCTGGGAACTATTGTGGAATGATCCCGTCGAGTGAGTTACAGTTCAAACTAATTGAATTCATTCCTAATACTGTTCGAATTTATCAAATAGTCAAGTATAAAATGATATTGTTTGCTTACCAGAAAAATAGTCAGTCGATTCGGTTTGAGTGTCGTATAAAAATAGATATAACTTATCAAAATATGGATATACTTTTAGGATGTGTAAACAAAAATATATATAAATCTTTGCAATATATAAAATCATTATTTACTTATCTTCAATACTGTATACCGTGTAACAATTAGTCGAGTGCTAGATATGAGAATTCCTTTAGTCGTTAAAGTGCCACAATCACAGATATTTTTGAGGGTTGGAGCCTACATTGTAATAATAAGTACATATAATACAATATGTAAACGTTAAGTTAGTATATATAAATAAATACAAAAGCTCCTGGCGTGGAATCTGAAAACTATTGTACTGTATGAGAGGTTTGTAATGAGATGTGTGAGGTATCGAGAACAGACGGAGGTCATTTGTCGTGAGCGACTAAGAACCGATATTTGCAGGCCTGTTCCTTGTTATGTTTTATACGTGTACAAGAAAACCCGGCTAACTTCGTATCGCCCTATAATCAAGAAATATCTGTTACGTTTGTTTTTATTTATATTTTTGGAGTTTACCTATTAAAGCCATTAATTTCCGTGTTTTGAAGTGCGACAGAATGATTGACATATTAGTTAGTTGTCAAATCTAATGTCAAAAAAAAAACGTTTGTATCAACAACTACTAAAATTAATTATTAATTAAAAAAAAATTGTCCAGCAGACAAAATTGTGAATATAAACAATTTCCAGATCTCCTTGAACACACAAAAAATTTAATCAAAATCGGTCCAGTCGTTAGAGAGAAGTTCAGTGACATACACACTCACAGAAGAATTATATATATATAAAGATATATCAACGTGTCCGTGTGTCTGTTCCAGCGAGTCCAAGGCGCCGGCGGCCGTGGTGCTGGAGCTGAACTCGTCGGAAGGCTTCGCCCGCAACTGGCGGCGCGGAGTGGGCCACGTGTTCAGCGCGCGGGCTCTGCGGCGGTTCCTCAAACACAACCGACTCAGCGCCGTGCTGAGGGCGCACCAGCTACACTCCAGGGGGTTCATGGTGACCACTCACACATGGATGCTTTAATGATCATTCCTATAGTGTGTCAGTATGTGTGTGTGTGTGTGAGCAGGTGCAGCTCGGCGGGCGGCTGGTGTCGGTGTTCTCGTCGTCTCACTACTGCGGCGGGAACAACTCGTCGGGCGTGGCGCTGCTGCAGCGGACCGTGCTGCGGCTGTTGCAGGTCGAGGACTGACACACACACACACTCACACACACACCACGAACATGACAAATGACAGTGACAAGCCAACAACGTGTTTAAGAAAATATATTCGATACTAAAAGATGCGTTTTATTTCGTAGATAAACTAGAGGGGAAAAGAAACAACGGATACTTGATATTCTTTTATTTCATCATTTAGAAAAATGAACTGAGATTAATTTTTTTTTATACATTAAATCTGAAGAGACGCGACTGAGCGGAATACAAAAATAATATTACACGGACGAGGCCGGGGACTGTCCGCCGGAGACGACAAATAAACATACTGACGATAAATAACACGGAACACCTCGCACTATACACTTAGATAATATTTACACAACCGAATACTCGTTCGATTAAACATATCTCACAATTCTACCGTATATAATATCATGTGGCGGGACGAGCGACGTCGCGGGATGTATACTAACTCGGTACCGACACACGGCTCGTCCCGCCGGGGATGACTATGTACACCTAAATCATACATCTAGAGTTACAAGATCCGAACATTCTTAAGATCTGGACGAGTCGCCGGCGAGGCTGGCTCGTCGTCCTTCACTATATACTTTGTATGGAAATGCAATGAACGGCCAGTGTCCAGCCAGTAGACAGCCAGTAGACAGCCAGTGCCTACAGCAGCAGGCGCGCCTGCAGTATCTCCAGCGCGGCCTTCCTCCGCAGGTAGGGCATGTGCGCCTGGCTGAAGGTGTAGCGCGCGCCTCGCGAACTGAACTCGGCGAACGTGCACGCGAACATGCCGCAGTCGCTGCCGTTCATCTGCTGGGGGATGTCCTGCAACAACGTCCATGACCATGAAGAAATGATCCCCTTTATAAGTGGACGATATACACAACCACTGCGTCGCTATAGGATATTATAGGATCATACGAAACACGTGGACGACTGGGACGTGGGAGGAAAGGGAATATATTTATACTAGAAGACCCGGCGAACTTCGTATCGCCCTATAATCAAGAAATAGCTGTTACGTTTTTTTAATTTAAATTTTTAGAGTTTACCTATTAAAGCCATAAATCTCAAACAACTACTAATAAATTAAAAATTAATTAAAAAAACATTGTCCAGCGGACAAAATTGTGAATCTAAACCATTCCCAGATCCCCTTGAATACACACAAAAAATTTCATCAAAATCGGTCCAGTCGTTTGAGAGAAGTTCAGTGACATACACACTCACAGAAGAATTATATATATAAAGATGTGTGTCATCTGTCACAGACGAGGTGTCAACCAACAATCAGAGATGGAGACAAGGAGCTAGCACATCGTCACCGGGCTGAGCATTGAGAACAATAACGACCAGTGGCTCTGTATTCCCATACAATAGTCCCACGTCCATTGGATATTCATATTACTATCGTGAGAAAAATCACCAATCATATCATGTATTGTCGTGATCCTCGTTCCTGGGTCTACCTGGTGTGAGTACCCCCCCCCCCCTCCCTCACCTTCATGTTCTCGGTCCTCCAGCCCCGGTCGTCGAACGCCGCCCCCTTCTTGTCCAGGTGCTCGTCTCGCAGGTACTGCAGCAGCGCGGCCAGGCAGGGCTCGTTCCTGGCGCCCATGCTGTCCAGGTACGAGATCTTCTTCTCCCGGAAGTCGATGAGGCTGAGACACCAGTGGACGCCCAGGTGGACCGGCACCACCATCAGGTCGTGGGCGAAGATGTCCACCTGTGGGGGAAATCGTTAGGTTAAAACGACGCATACTAGCACTTAGGGTATGACCATAAATTGATATTAAAAAAATATACAGTCAATCTCTCGGGTGTTTTTTATTTTATCAGTGCTCTCGTATTATTTTCCGTCTCTAGACATTCACAGAAAGTTTATAAAACATACCAATATAGTTTAAAGTCTTAATTTTTAAAGTCTTAATAAGATGGGTAACTTTGACACACACAGAGCCATGCATGAAAGAGTAGTACCTAATAAGTATTATTTTTATCAATCTGGGTAACATTTGTGTATATATTTATTAACTGATTGATGGATGTAAGGCCATAAAACGACCATTTTGCAGTTTTGTCTGATAAAAAAAAAAGAATCAGTCTACAACATTTGACAATGTTACACACATTTTTTAACACCATCAAAAACGTTTTAAAAACTCCTCTAATAAAATATTTTTATTCGAATTAAAAAGAAAACACGCAAAAATAATTAAAACAAACAAACATTTTGTAAAATCTTGAGCCTAAATTATCTATTCTCCCCACTCCCTATAGACCAAATAGTCATTAATTGTGTAGAGCCCAGGCTGTTTTATACTGATTTTACTGTTGTATACTGTAGATACAACATCATCATATTAATTTTAATAATTTCTCTTTTATCTGGGAATGTGAAACTTGTCACTTTCCCTGAAACAGTATGCCTTCTGTTTAAAATATAACTGTTGTTCCAGGTGATTACTCTAAATATTTTGAAGTACAAGGTTTAGATAAGAGCAATTTCTTCGTCTTGTACATGTTGCAAAACTCCATCTCTAACGACAAATTCTTCAATCAGCACTTCATCCACCATTTAAGTTTCTATGTAAGGGTAACTCTGACACTATCAAAGTTACCCAATTAATGTTCAAAATACGTATTTCCATATTTATGCATGAAATTTGAAAATAAGATGCAATTTTAAGCAAATATTTCATGAAAATGTGGTATTACAATCACAAATCGCTCTGTATACCATCTCGCTTACCTTATCAGCAACCAAAATCACAAAATATTAAAAAAGTTATTCACCCTAAAGCAAACTTAAATTCGCGTGCTATATTTAGAAAAAAAGTTTTGACGTTTTTTTTACTTTGATTACTTTTTTTAAGGTGCGTTTACGAAACTTCTTTAAAATCGCAAACCTAAAATAAACATATATGAATAGTGTTGGTTTCATGCCGAAAAATAATTAATCGAAACTAGTTCATGGTCCCGCTGTCAAAGTTACCCGATGAATCTGTATATGGTATAAATAAATATTAATATTCTTTAAAGAAAAGAAAATTATTGATCTGTATTAGTACTGACTTAATTTCAATGGTCAATTTGGCGTCACAATAGTGTTCTTCTAAGAGACCTGTAAGAGAGTAATGCTTACGTACGATACAGTATAAAATAATTAGATCCTCTATAATAGATGCTCACCTTCCTCGTCCACCTCCTGAGTCCGGCCTGTCCACTCTGCATGAGCTTGGGGTAGAAGAACGTGTTGGTGGCGTACACCCGCGGCAGCTCCTTGCGCTCCTCGCTCCTCTGCATCAGCAGGTTCATGTAGAAATTGATCACCTCGTCGTTGAGCCAGTTCAAACCCGCCAGAGTTTGGAGATCCCGTCTGAAAAATTATATATGAATTTTGAAATACAATAAAAACATACACCTATACCTAGGTAGCAGGTTGCAGGCACTGTTATCACTCCTCTAAATCCATATAATCCTTACAAGTTTTGTCCCTTTCATTTTATTAAAAATACAGTTTTATATAATAAGTTATACTGTAGAACATCAAAAAATATTGAGTTAAAGACACTTGTGCTTTACATGTAATGTAAACTCCTGTATCTCATGTAATCACTATGGACTTAGAACCAAGTCAACAACAAAATTATTGTATGAAATGTTTTCTGAAGTACATGAGGAATTAAACAAAAATTCATGACCACCATAGAATTCATATGTTGCTTTACTAATACATACTAAATTGGAAATATTACAATTAACTACTAAGTTTATAGGTTTACTAAGTTTGTAGGACTTTTTATAATACATCAATTAGTTTTAAGAGCAGGGCATAAACAGGCAAGGGAACAAACATCATAGAGGATAGTAATTGTCATAAGTAACGTGTGATCATAATAAAGAGTGTTTGAATTATCTTACATACATACATTAAGCACTTAAAACTCAACATTTAAAACTGAACACTTAACTGATGTGTGTACCAATTACAGATATACAAAGCTCTGCTAAAAATAATGTCTAGTTTACAAAAATATTATTAAAAAATAAGTTAACAAAAGAAATTTCAATAACAAAACTATTATGAAAAAAAATCAAATGAAGAAGAAAGAATATCAAACAACAATCAAAATAAACTACTACAGCTAACAACAACTACTACTACTTTTACTAATAGGACTTAAAAAAACATCACAAATTTTTCACTTAAACTTCGGCAAGGAATCGGAAAAAACACCAATATTTTGGGTTAATGCACACAGATCGTTATACTGGCCACATATTCTATTTATCGGGGAATATTTAGTAACATTTGTGTATGACTTCGCTTTGTAAAACAATTTACTGTTAGGTTTTCTAGGAGGGTGACATGGGACAGATATTAATTTTATGGAGAGCCTGTTCACATTGGATATCTTATTAATAAATATTATAACAACAAACCTGTGTATCCTTAAGTTAAATTTCTCCACCAGCAGTTGTCCCGGTGGTCCGGGTCCCAGAGCCCTGTTGACTAGTTTCTCTTGTTCTGGAGTCAAGGCCGGCAGCTCCACGGTGGGCTGCACCTCCTCTATGAGACTCTCGGGTATACTCAACTCATACTTGAGCTTGTGCTCCAGATGTGCTAATTTTTGTTCATAGTTAACCTTAGATATGATATCTGACTCCCGCCGAGCATCCTTCAGCTTCTCCTGTGTCTCCTGCCTCTTTTTCCTATATTTACTGTCCAGTTTGGAGAGCCAGTCCGTGGAGGTGATGGCTCTGTCTCTGTATGAATCCTTGAGTGTATTGATGGGATCGATTCTGACAGATGATGATGTAGAAGCGTCCGATGTGATTATCTCCACTTCTGAGTCGGAGGAGTTGATGGATGCCACCGTGATGGGATCATACTCTTTAGTGGATTCATTGTCTTTAATACTATTGAGCCCCTGTTCAACCAGTTTCAATTCATTTAACGCACTCTTCTGTGACCTGAGAGTTGATCTAAAAGCAGCGGACTCGTCTGCCAAGTTCTTTATATCCAAAGGTTTTCCTATCGATGATGGTTTTATATTTCCAGTCACTCTCCTGATGAGCTCCTGATAATTTCTTTTTTCGTCTAAATTGAATACTTCTGCCATTGCCGATTTTCCATTACCATTAGTGAGTCTACTTCTGGATGTTTGAAGGTTTGTTTTATGTACTTGCATCCACCTCGGTACAGGAGTGGGGGCTTTTTTATATACTTTAGTGATCCCAGCAGGGGCTTTAAACTTACTGTATGTTCTAGGAGACAAAGAACTTCTATCATTTAACTTGGGACCTACTTTTATGTACTTAACATATTCTTCATCTTTAGAATTTGATTCATTGTTATTTTTACTGACAAAGAATTTATAAGGTCTGACGGGTGGCGGTGATGACACTGCTTTAACAAATATCACATCATCATCATCATCTTGATTTTCATAGTCTTCGTCTTCATCATCAATATTTATGTAAACCTTTGAGGGCTTCTTGGTTTCAGGTTTAGCTTCGACCCATGTCACCTGTAAGTAGTAAGTGATTAGTAGGATGTGCTCGAGTGTAAGTATTTCATTTAAGTCTGTCTAATATACCTCTTGTTGGTCGTCCTCATCCACTATCACAGGTTGAGCGACGGGTCTCACGGGGGTGTGTTTCCTCGGTCTTTGAACGGGTGAAGGTCCATTTGATGTTAACTTCATTGGCACAGTCCTAAACCGGCTCCCTAACTTAGATGTTACATCAATGGGCGTTGATGTGCTCGGGTGTCCTGATTCGATTTGAATTGGTATATACCTAACATTCTTATTTTGTTTTTCTTCACTCCACATATCTAAAAACATAATATTTTTAAATAATGTATGAAAGGCAATAACTTTACAATTCAATCTGATACACTACCTTTGGAATCCATGACATCGGGGAATGATGTTTTAGGCATTTTTTTTAGTCTTTTCAGAACGGGAGATTCCTCGTCGGACGAGAAATCATCGTCGTTCCTAGAAACAATGAACGATATGAGAACTGAATAAAATGTTTTACACTTCAAAGGGGCTTCTTACTCACTTGAAGAACTTTGAGGCAGTTCTAATGGGTATTTTAATCATCATTTACAAATTGTAAATTTATTGTGTTACAATATATTAGTGACTTTGCCGCCATAACGAATTTCTAATGTTGTAAACAAGAAATGTCAAAGCCATACCTGTCTCTTTTGAAGCTTGTCCTGACTATAGGATTATCGTCGCACCATCCAAGTAATGTACGCACATAAGCCACTATGGACTGCATTTTCAGTTAATTATGTTTCCATTACCTTTCCTATTGTTAAAAAGGTATAAAAATTACAAAAATCATAAAATAATTTCGGCCGCATCGACAGCACTAGATCCAGCACACAACTTAGCGGTGAAACATAACCACAGATAATAAATTGCATTGAACTTTAAACTAAAGTTTTTATGGTGATTAAGCGAGTTTATTCAATTTTAAATTACTTGTAAAAAACAAGTATGGTTTAAAATTTTTATTTATATGTATACATTTTTAATAATGATAAGTAAAATTTTTTTAAACATTTTTAAAGTAACATTTGTGAAAGCAATAAAAAATGTTTTATTTAATAATTTAATAGTTATGTATTTCAAACATTGTGTCAGAAAAAATTATAAATTGTAAAAACCTTATATATGTAAATTTATACCAATTATCGCCTTTAATATTTCACAATAGTTTCAAAGTTTTTAAAATTTATCATTAATGTGACAAGACGTTTAATTGTAATACAGTTGTACAGTAGGAAAATATCTGTGTTCTTGTATCGGGAGCAACTCACTGTTTGCGGCAAAATTGACACAATTTTGAATTAACTAATCATTGAATTTTATCAATATCTATTCTAACCTATTAAAAAAATACCATTAACACTAAGACGTAACCCCTTTCAAAATCATTAAATATGTTGCAACCTGTGATGCATTTATTAAAACATAAAAATATAGTTTTAGCAAGTGGTTCACCAAGAAGAAAAGAATTAATTGAAAATATTGTAATTATCACATAGTTTTCTATTTTCTTTATATGGATATACTTTTTTAAATATCTACCATTCCAGGGTTTGAAAGTCGCTCTTTGCCCATCACTCTTTGAAGAAAATTTGGATCCAAAAGCTTTCGACAATTTTTCCGATTTTGTAGAAGAAACAGCCCTCCAAAAAGTTTTAGAGGTCGAAAAAAGACTAAAAGATAATGGAAATAATCCAGATGTAGTTATTGGTGCTGATACCATGGTCACTCTAGATGGCAAGATGTTTGGAAAACCAACTTCTGAGCAGGAGGCTTACGATATGTTAAAAAGGTTAGTTTTAAAATAAATTTGACAATACATTTTTCTTCTAACCTGAGGAAAATAATATAAGAAAGCTATAAAACATTTGTAATTCAGTGTCGCAAAAATTTATTTTAGTTATTGCCGTTTCTTTTAAATCTTTTAATAATGTCAACAACAAGACATATTGGCTTTTCATACAAGATTCTTTAACAAAAAATTGTTTAATTATGTGCTTTATGTAACTGTAGTTATTTTTAAAAAATGATAATTTAAATTATTTAGTGTGGATAACATATTTTTTGTTTCATAATGAGTTTTTCAAGAGAATTGTTAGAAACTGTAGAAAATCTTAAAGAAAGTAAAAAAAGCTTAATAATTTTTTATGAATAAAACATAATATATTACATTACTATCAATATGTGAATTTAATATGTGTAAGCCAATATTGAGTATTTTGTTTTACTATAATTTAAATATATGTTATGTTAACTATGTTGTTCCAGTCTAGCGGGCAGGAGTCACACTGTGTACACGGGGGTGGTCGTGAAGGCCTCGGATAATGTGGTGAAGTTCACCGAAAACACTGATGTGGTGTTCGGAGCTCTGGATGACGAGCAGATCAAAGGATACATTGCAACGGGAGAACCTATGTGAGATTTGTAAACAATAGCATGAACAGTAAAGAAGAACTTAAATTTATAATATTATTATAGTTTGAAAGTCATATATTTTTTATTAAGGAAAGAGTTTTTAATAATTTATATGAACTTGGAACTCATAATTTGAAGACTCAAGATAAGACTAAGTGGTCATCCACCATTCAAGGACGCATGTTATTCAATCTAGCCTGGAAATAGAAAAAAACCATTTAAATTTACAAATTTCATGTTTAATATTGTTCTAAAGTGTTTGTGTTCTTTATTATATTACACATAGAGTTTATATTCGGAAAATTATATTTCAGGGATAAAGCAGGCGGGTATGGCATACAAGGTGTGGGAGGGACATTTGTAGAGAAGATTAACGGAGACTACTTCACTGTCGTGGGGCTGCCTCTGTACAGGCTGTGTTCTGTGTTGTATGAGTTATTTAAGGAGAACAAATAAATATTTACTGTTGAGGCTATCAAGGACCATATTGAAAATATCTAATTAAATAGTACAGAAAACCATAAGTCCATATAAATAGTGCCACTTAGTCACTTACTATTATATCAAAATGGTGTTTATTCCAGCTTTTACCAGTAAATTGATAGCTGTTTGATATTCAGAAGCCTCTGTATATATATTTAGTAAGATACAATATTATTAATATTCATAAATGTATTTAAAGAAGTACAAATTACTTGATAATTTTGTTTATATTAATATGGTATATTTCATAATTTATATACTATATTCAAGACAAACTGTTGTATATAAGGACGCATTTATTACAATTGTATATAATATTTTTGTTTCTATACAAGTTATTATGTATAATTAAAATCAATGTACATGTTTTCTAAGAAACATGCATTTGCAATTTTTTGTTTTATTTTTTCGTGACCTAATTTTGTTTAGATATTTCATAAAAGATAAATAAGTTATTATAATAATTAACATGTTCTTACTAAAATCCTAAAAAAGCTATTGAGATTTTCAATTTTAAATCAATGTTATGAATAGCGCCATCTGTTATTGATTTTTGTAATATAATTACAAACACCGCCAACTAGATGTCGCTGTTTTTTAAATGTTCATTATTAGAATTTATACTGTTAATTTTTTTATGATTTAAATTTAAAAGAATGCGCTATGACCGTATTGAATGATCTTGGCTGAATATAACGTATACATAGTTGACTTAAATTGCACTAAACAATTAATATTTTTTTTTATTATAAGTAAGTTATTGTTAGAATTTAATTGAAAATTTTAACAACATTTTGTATTTTATTTGAACCAATATCGGAAATCCAAATTAATTTTCCGATTTATAAAAAGTTGTATGTTGATATAGAGAGTACTACATATTATGTCGATAATTTTTTATTGTCAATTTTTTATAGTGATTGACACAGTAATCGTTCGTTTGAGACATGATTCCCCAAAACCGGGTTTTTTTAAGATGCCGGTTATTTTCGTTCATTACATACAAATTACCCAATTACGTCGTCTACAACCTACAATGGAGGAAGCGGTTGACGGAATTACAGTTTTATCCACTTAAAGGTAAAGTACATAGAAGGTATACTTAGGATGGTCGTTTGTGCTATAGAAAAATATTATACTTATATAAGTAACACCAATTTTAACTTCTACGTTTAATTGTTTTAAGTTACTGAAAATTATATAATGCATTTTTTTTATTGTTTTTTCATAATACCTAAATAGATATCCGAACTTAGTGATACGGAAGACTCTAGAATAGCTAATATAGTAATGGGATTTGTTTCGAGACAGATCACTCACAAGGTCTTAGACCTTAGAAGACTAATTTAATGGTCTGTTAATTTAAGAAAAATCGTTTAAATCCTATTCCACCGATTTAACAAGATTAAATTACTTGAAATATTACGATATAGGTATATTTGTTTAGAAAATCCGTCGTGGGTAACATAAAACAAAGAAAATGTGAAATTTTTACAAAACAACTTATTAAATTCATAAACATTATTGTGTTGAAAAATGCTGAGAATAGATTTCTTAATTCGCATTGCACACGAGGCAATGGTTGCACTTATAGTGTCAAACGAATTGAACGATTAACTGGAGAGCCTAATTAAGATCAATATTACTAGCGATGACCTCAACGAGATAGGTCTCTAGACTCAATCTAGGCATTACTAAACAATAGGGCATTAAAGGCAGATGACTCGCTGTAGCGAGACGTGATTAGCTACCACTTTGGCATTGTCTTACAAACGAATGCTTATTTATCTAATTTATGAATAAAAAACTCATTTTATATGAAAATGATATTTACATATTAAACTATGACTCTCTTAATATTATATTTAATGTTTATTATAAAGATTACATATTAGTGCAAAATTAAATTGTAAGCAAATTTTCCGAAGCTCAGAATACCATTACAGAATTAAAAATATTTAATGACCAAGGATTTTTTTTAATTATTATCTGTCGTAGACGTCAACCGTTAGAGTAAACAGTACTAACGTCAATTAACGGACATTTTGACGGATTTGATCCTACTTGCCACAAGAGTTATGTATTATGTAGCTACTATTTATTGTTTATGAATCATAGTTACGTAAAATATATATCACAGTTATTTTTAGCATTAACATGGATCATTATGCTCTGCAGATTAAAAGTTATATCTCCAAAAAATACTGGTGTCACATACGAGAGTTATACTGTCTTATTTTATAGTCATCATGGAAAATAGAAATAGTAGATTGCTCACCAAGGGTGGAAAGAATCAGTTCCCGAGGTAGTTAGGCTATTGTCCGAGTTGGAATTGATTCTTTTACACGAGGTAAACACTACTTTTCATTTCGAATAAATGAGGAAAATAAAACTAGTAGTTTATCTGAACTAAGTATTTATTGATAATATATAATAATTTTGAATATAGAATTCACCGCGTATTTGTTGCTTATTCCTCTCAAAGAAGTTCGCGCCAAAGAGAATACAACATCTAGTTGCTCTAAATAAGTTCACACTGACTGTTTAGAAACTCGCATGGCCTCAGCATTTTTTTTAATTTTTACATATTATAAAGATTGTTGTATTTTTGAAATTCATTCCGGCCCTTGGGTGGAAAGTAATTTGTATGAATTTTTCCCGCCCTATTGAGGGAAATAGCATTTTCCACCCTATTATCAGATCAAAACAACACTATCGTAAAACAAATGACAAATAGCCAATAGGTATGTAGGGGAGAGTTGGTTATATCGTACTAGCATTTAAATCGTACCACCTCTAAATTTCCCATTTAATGAATATTTTTTTTTACATTGACAACGCCAAATCGTGGCCCTGCATCATCCCTCTTCACCCACTAGTTTAAATCGACGTGAGTTAACAACTGTGCACGTAATAAAAAAAATATTTTTTTGTAGGAATGAATATAAATATTGTCGTACATTCGTAAGGAGATAACTCGTTATCAAGGTAAGCTATAGTTATTCAGGTTTTTTTTATTATTCCATAATTGTATACTAGATTATTGGGGGTTTTTGTTGCGTGTCTAAGTTTTGAGTTTATGCCGGATATTTGCTTTTGTTTTAGAAATGCCTTAGTTCATTTAATCGTACCACTTGCAGTTGGTTAAATTGTACTGGTACGATTTACCCGACTACCAACCGCAAGTACCTATAGTACTACCGCAAGTACGTGTAGTAAGTACTACCCAAGGCCAAGAACAAAAGTTATAAGAGGAAACGATCTCATTCCATCACCAGTAGCGATGATTCAGGAGAGACACTTGTTGTAGAACTAGATGATGATGATGACAGCGATGATTATCTTGAAAATATATGTTGAAAGTGCAATTGTTCTTACTACGATAAGAAGGGTCCAAAAGTTGATTGGATTCAATGGGTTCGCTGTAAACGGCTGCTACATGAGACGTGTACTTCGAATTTTTGAAAACATTTGTCATGATTGTTTCCATTAAGAAATATGCACAATAATTATATTACAAATAACATTCTTGTTAACTGTTACTTTATTATTATAGTTTACTGTTTTTTTATTTGTCTCATTTTTATTAGTTATGTTGATTGACCTCATTATCATAGTATAATCATGTTATTTTACTGAGAAAGCTTATAGTTCCTTTATATAACCTAAGAGTTAAAAATTATATTTCTATTACCTAAAAGATATAAATAATGTTGTTTTATTACTTACCTAACAGTCAAAAATAAATAATTTGATTGAGAATTTTAATGTCTTTCATTCAGTGGTACGACTTACACGCCCATGGTACGATTTAAAGACTTAGTGGTACGATTAAAACGACGAGTCGGCTAAATCGTACCGATGGCAAGCCTCTATAAAAAAGCATTTTTAACAATGTTAGAATAATCGCAAGGATCTGTTCTCTTCTTCTTAGGAAGCTAAAATATGAAACTTTATTTTACATATGTATTAATTATTATAAGACGTGTTATAGTCGAAATATTTGAGTTAAAGTGAAAAGTGGTACGATATATCTGACTCTCCCCTATATGAAATATATATTCAGTAAGATTGCCAAAGAGTTCTATTTTCAAATTTTAGAATTATTTTTTTATTATATTGTTTATAAGTGGCCAGTTCTAAGAACTTTCAGTTTGACCCTCGTAATATATGATAATTTTGAATACGGAATTCACCGCGTATTTGTTGTGGCTTATTCAGATAAAAACAACACAACTTTCCGAGTATGAGGAATGAAAAAGTGTTTTTGTTTTTGCATTAAATGTAGTAAAAATTATTCGAAGGATAAGGACCACCCCATATAAAAGTCTATGGTTACGACTTTCCGAGTTATTGGTGAGTCTGCGTGCCCACAATATAATAAGTAATTAGAACCTACGTCGTATTCCAAGAGCACCGCGTGTGAACAGTCATATGAGAAAAACATACAAAATTTCGAAGAACAGTCTCAGAACAATGTGTTTACAAGGCGAGTGGTGCCTACTGTGTGTGTAGATTGTGATTTATGATCCATTTAATTACTTCTAGAGATCCGTGTCCCCGATTACGTGTGTAATGAAAATGTGATAATCTGTACACTGAATAAAAAGATTTATCGAAGTTTACTGCATGTCATAATAGATGTGGTTGTATTGAGAGTTAGTCTAGTTTTTACCTGCCTCCAAACATTCCTAGTGAATCAGTTATAAGGTCGTATAGCGCCAGTAGTTGTTGCATCAGCTCAAAGGACAGTGTAATCACTATGGTTTTTTAGAAGACACTTCAGTCTATAAATTCTCGTGAACTGTATAACCCAAGGAGAATTTTTGAGGGTGTCCCTTTGTACCGGGAGTGATAGTATTATTTCTTTCATCATCTTATTGTTTGAAGTAATGATGTTAAATGGCGCCTGAACAAGAAAAGAAACTATCTACCTCTCTTATATTTATCATTCTCATTTTATATAATTATTATAATTTTATTCAAATATAAATACAGTGTAAACTCTATATAACGACACTGAAGGGACCGTGCATTTTAGTGCGTTATAGAGAGTTGCCGTTAAATAGAGGGAAGAAAAATCAGAATTAGAAAAAGACAAAGTTTGTTTCAGACTACTGTTAGTACTTATGTACATAAAAAAGAATGTTATAAAGTCTGTTGTTTTTGTTTGACGTGTTTTGCTGCACCAGTAATGTTATTTAGTCCAGGCGCTAGAGGTAGTTGAGTATGCAAAATCCGAGTGACGGCAACTGTGACCGGATTCTTATAGCTGAGACCCTAAATAATGACAAAACATATCTTGCCGCCAGGTGTTATGGTCCCTTCTTGCTCCCTTCACATCCCCTCTCCGCCCATACAGTAAGCATAGCGCGCTCACTTGTTTAGCGTGTTTCTACATCTATTGACGTACAGAAGTTGCATTTTTTAAGTATTTTATTTATATATCATATAAAATAATAGTATTTTCGTAAATTCTTAGTGTCTTTTCAAAGTGTACTGTATTGAAAAACGTAAAAAATGTCGTTAGAAGTGGTTAATTTGAAAAGAAAAGAACAATTTTGCTTATTCGGCGATAATTCAAGTGATTTAGTGAAGCACCCCCAGGCCAAGTACGTTGCTTCATATCAAAGAAGCAGCAAATAGGAGAAAGGACAGCATTAGTGAGAAGTTTTCAAAACTATATGATCCAGACTCCACAAAACAAGAATTTTCATGGCATCAAGACTGTTTAGCCACTTATATAAGTGAGGAGAAAATAAGGCGTCAAGAAATTGCGTTGCATAAAAAAGATGAAGAAGAAGTGTCTGCTTCAACTTCCAAAGCAAACGTGGAGGAGCTGACTCCAAAACCTACCTAGTGGATACTTACGTGATGAAAATTTGATTCAAAGATTATTAGAAAATGGAAAATTGCCACAAACATGGGAAATTTTTCTGCAAGCTTTGTTTAATGCAAAAAACCAAAAGTTGAGCGCGAACTATTATAAAAGGGCATTATCTGTATTTTATGATATATATTTTATAGTTACTGAAAAGCAGACACCAAAACATATAGCTTTAGCTGAATCAATTCATCACTTAACTAGATCAAAGCAACTCATAAGTATATTAAATAAGTTTGGGCATTGCATTAGCTATAAAAAATTACAAGAGCTTGATTCAGAATTAGCTAAGAATTAAGCTTGATTAAGAAATTATCTGCTGATGAACTCAGATTTATACTGATATCTCAGAATATAGGTTTCAATTTCAATTTGATGAGAGTGATATGCACTTCAGATGCTTTGCATTTGCATTTATTAAGGGCTACAGTACAAACATTTATATGGAAAAATGCTCATAAAACACAATTACCACCCATTGATTATTGTTCATTTGGTTACGAAAAGCTCAACGGTGACTTACGTCCACGACAAATGACGAAGCCGTCTTTACCAGAGTCATTAATTCCACCATGTAAATGTACTTCAAATTGTCGCACAATGTCTTGTAATTGCAAAAAATCGGAATTGTTTTGTATTTCATTATGTAAATGCATCAATAACAAATGTGAAAATAAAAATGATTAATTTTTTACCTACTTTAACTACATTTATGCTTTAATTAGCTGGTTTTCATATATAACTTTAATTTTTTTATCAATAAAAAAAATTTATTACTGTAATTTTTGTTTTTTTTTATTATTTAAGAATCCATCTTCACTTATAACACGAGAAAATACCATAAATTATTACGAAAATAATCATTAAAGCGATTTTATATCATGTACAAAATACATTCCCTTTATTAATAAGAGAAGAGGGGGTAAAAAAAAAATGGACCAAAAAATTGACCGGCAAGATCCACATTATTATTCTTTGACCTTTTCCTCACTTAAATCCGTTGGCGAAATTTGGTACTCACATTTTGCATACTCACTTACCTCTAGCGCCCGGTCTAATTGTATTTTTTACGTATTTTATTCATATCTTGCGATATTGAGGCATATTGGTGAAGAACGAATTTCTTAGAAAGTTTGGTATGCATGATTACGACAGTGGAGTTTATTGCGGGCTAGGATAACAAAGCGACAAAAAAACGTACACAGCTGCGCATTTTTTACTAATTTTAGCACCTTAAAGGGTACTTTTTATTACTAAAGTTGTCGTTATTGAGAGTGGCTGTGACGCTATATAGAGTGTATCATAGTATGGTAGACAAGGTAAACCAACCAAAGTCAAATGATTTCGACGCTTTAGAGAGTTTGTCGTTAAATGGAGTGTCGTTATATGGAGTTTACACTGTATAATGTTTTTTTTACATTCGTTTTCTTTAACTTTCCTTATTTATCTAATTACACGTAGCCGCGTGTTTTCTCTGTATTGTTCCGTGTGAGTACTCTACAGGCGCCATAATGTAAGGGGAACGGAAGTCTATCGTAGAAACTGAGTGATGTACAGCAATTGTTATCGATATACCATTTGTAGAATAAAAATAGTCGATAATCGTTTCGGGTATATAAATCTCTTATCGAGTCGATGGACTGTAATGAAAGTTCGATGTAATATGTCCAGCTCTCAGTTTCATGATGTCGAACCATCTGACGTCGCTTCAACGCTTCTTGTGCTAATGGCGCGTGACATTTTTTATGCGAATATTTTCGCCTACTTTCACTTTTTTTACAAGATTATAATATAATGTCCTTCTGAAAATACTTGTGTAGAAAATTATATATTTCATAAATTTTTGCATATCGTCTTATATAATGTAATCTCTTTAACACATTCATAGCGGGTCTGTGATCCGTCGCCACTTGTTAGTGAAAAAAATATCTATTGTACGATGTGGGAACTAGAAATTTTGCCACCTGTGTCCGGGTGCTTCCATAAATCACTGTTTATTAATGCAAAAGAAATTTAACCTTAAATGTATAGCAATAAATATAAAATTAGTGTGTACATTAACAACTCTCAGTGGATCACGCGTATATTGCCAAATTTGGTGGTTTTGTTTCGAAATTATTAACATTGTATTAAAATGAAATGTTTGGAATATATACACAGTGACCTCGATACTTCAATATTATGTACAATAGTTATTACTAAAAACCATTCAGTAATGAATCGGTGAAGTATATTATGATTATTTATATCAAATCAATATTAAAACATCGATTTAATTCCCAATTATTTATATTGTTCTGAAACTGTTCTATAGTAAGAGTGTTATTATTAAAATACTTCCGAGTGTTGTCGGAGATAGATCGTACAAAAACTGTGTGAACATCGGCCAGATGCTGTCAGCCGGATCTGCGGCATGTGTGGATGCTGAGTATATTGTGTTCATCTCACGATTTAACATTTAATATGTCTGCGAAATATACAACTGTTATAATATTGTTATAGAATATTAAGAAACATTTAATAATATATAAATATAAAATTGTATCACTGAAGATTTGGATAATAAGTTTCTTATTAATTTGACTAATTTTTAAATTGGTTTAAAATATTGATTCTTTATAATAGTTAAGTTTTATAAATGATCTATAATCTCTTGGTAAAGCGATCATTATGTCGGTAAGGAGAAAAATCCTTCTATAAAAATTACTTGTATTTATTTTAATTGTAAATAACTTTGTGTTGTTAACTGTTAAGTCATATCTTTTCTGTATAAAATTTATTTATTTAATTTGCTTCCGAGTTTCGTTCACTTATTAATTAGAAATATGTCTAATAGAACTGTCTAAACGTAACTTCAGAATACTTAGATACCTTTTGATTAAATACGAAATTTATTTCTAACAAACATTTACTAACATCAGGTATCTTAGGATGATGAGAAAATGTACTTTTTTTAAATTTATTTATTAGAAATATGTTTTCCAAACTGAATCTGAGACAAAAGTGACAAATTATATTATGAAATTATTAACAATGATTTGTCGAAATAAGCAAATATGTTGTAAATATTCTCTAATTCAGCATTTTCACTGTTCTGGTAACACACCTTCATTCTAATTTTGACAAATTCGAAATATGAAAAGACGCGGTAATTTATACATTTATTTTTACGGCTATTTTTTTATTTCTAAAAGTTTAGTTGTTTGTAAGGCGGGGCGCGCTCGCTTTACAATGTTGTAGGTTTTAACAAACAAATCTGTGCCGCTACAAAATTAGATCGTTTACGAGGCATTTGATTCCTGTGGAGCGTTTACTACCGGCTGCTGGCTTTGAAATAATATATTTAAAATACGAAATATGTTATGTAATTTTTTTCTATGTTAAAGGTGGCAAACGAGCAGACGGCCTATTTGGTAGGCAGTAGCTACCGTCGTCCATGGACATCCGCAATTTTTCGCGTTTTTTTAGTTTTTTTAGGAATAGGAAAGGGTGGGAATAAGATGATGTCAGGAAAAGTTGAGAATAGGGTAAGGGCAACCGACTCTCTCACTCATCAGACGAAAAACAGTCATTAAAGACTACTTCACACCGATCTTCTGTGAGAGGGTGGTACTTTCCCGGTCAAGTCAGCCCATGTTCGAGTTATAGTGACATCTACAGTTAGGCTCTACCACCTTTAATTATGAATAACGTCTTTAAGGCTGTTCTATTTTCTTAAGTCTCAATATTTCTCATAATATTTCTACTCTATATTTAACAACCTCTCCCCGTACACATGGTTCTCTCCCCGGTCACTCTCTCCAGTACTCGCCGGTAGTGAACGCTCCTCCCGCCTCTCCCCGGACCACACCAACCCTTCCTCGCTTCCTCTCCGCTACTTCCTGTCGCGATGTCAAGTTCAAGCTCATATGTGATGTTTACAACCATACTATTACGATACTAACATCTATATACATTATATTTATCAAAAACTACTAACCGTCGCGCAATTTATGAAGATAAAAGACTGTTTTCTTTACTATATATGTATGTATTTTATTTCTCAAACTTAACTTGATAATCATGTCATACTGAAATTATATTAAAAGTTAAATTAAATTATATATACAGTTTCTATTAAAAAGAATTATTTATATATCAGTGGACAGCGGTAGAGTAGAACATTCTGGTACTGTTCAGCTGACTTCAAACAGTTCTTTAAACGCTTCAAGGGTAATTAGCGTTGTATTTGATGCGTGTTTACTATACAGAAGTAGTTTTAAACATTGTCTTAGTCCGTCCGTGTGGTCCGCGCGCCCTTCAGACTTATTTTGTATTTATCGATATCCTAAGCTCTGTTTTACCAATGTCCGTAATTGACCATATTCGTATAATTGTAGGCGTTAAACATATATATAAATGTACAAGGCTTTACGAAATATCAACCCACGGAAAGTGGGCGCGAATGTTAGTTCTAATTAATATTATGTAATAAATATTATCATAGTTACTGTGACAGGTGGTCAATAAGATGAATCTATTATGACATATTTGGTAGGCAGCAAATTAAGTAAGTTACAGTAAAGTAATTTAATATACTACTACATGATCGTCTTGACTTCCAAACCGATCGTATTGTGAAACCTAACACATATTTGGATATTTTTCTATTCTCGGTGACACGTGTGTATCAACGTCGCCCACAATACATTATATGTCAAGTCATTGCCAAACAAAACTATATAGATTACTAGCTTTCCGCCCGCAGCTTTGCCCGCGTGGAGTTCGGTTATATCGCGTTTCCAAGAGAACCTTTCAAAAGTCTTTGATAAAAACTATCCTGTTCTTTCTCAAGGTCAACTCTATCTCTGTACCAAATTTCATTGAAATCAGTTCAGTGGTTTAGGCGTGAAAGCGTAACAGACAGACAGACAGAGTTACTTTTGTATTTATAATATTAGTAGGGATAAATAATGATTTTTAAAACGGTAATATGGCGCTTTTTGTTTGTTTTATATATGTTTATACAACGAACCAGTATTTGAAAGACCTTTACCATTATACATATACGCTTGACACTTGATAGTATCAATGTAGGCTTATAAATGGAAAACTGTAAATTCTCCGTATTTACTTGTAGTAAACATATTAAGGTTGACATCATGACATCTAAGACTATCCCGAGTTTTATTTATTCAAATGAAACTAATATTTCTCGGATATACTACGCGTGATTTATTTATGTAAAACACTACATACTCCCGACGTTTCGGCTACTTTTCAGCAACCGTGATCACGGGCAGACGAGATGTGAGTTTAAGAAGGACCTATAAATTTCAATTTGCGATTCATCTTACAATATGAATTACAATGAACACAATAATCATTTTATCATGTGTAACTCTAGAGGTTAATCAACACGACTACCGGGAGTCGAACCTGACACCTCTCTCACACATCGTGTTGTAATATAACGGTGTGTTTACGTTTAGGATTACAACTTATCTCCTAAACAAAGCTCTGATGATGACTACTGCGAGATCATGAGGCACATATCTGTACATTATATACACGTATATAAGTTCATGTATCTTTATATATAATTTCTGTCTGTTTTTTTAATGTCCCTTTTTATCATTGAACTGATTTTAATAGGATTTTTTCGGACTATAAGAACTTCTAAGGTAGCATCGATTGAGAATAAATGTGATATAATGATCTACTATATATAGTAATAACTAAAACCAGTTTTTTTTTATAAAAATAAATTATGAAATATAATTGAGATTATTGAAACTAGTATATGGATTGTATAGAGGATGTGTCCTCATACCGTTACCTCTTACCTGTTATACGCGGGTGTTATGTAAAAATAATATTATATATCGAAATAGTCAAATTGCCAAATTGGAACGGACGTCTGTACATGACATGATTGCATTTTCCACAGCGATGTCAACAAAATATTACATAAGTAATTTTATGTATATACTTAAAAGCATGAGGATAAATATAGGTAATTTTACATACTTTATGATTTTTTGAATAGAATTTATGAACGTTGATAGGAATTCAAATTTCAATTAATTTTTTTCAAGCATCACGTTATTGAGAACATTTTATGTTATGAAAAACGAAATAATAAAAGATAGAGTATAAAAAGTGTTGGCTAAGTTCGTCTCCACCTAGTTATAAGCGGTTTAAGTTCCTCCACAGTGTATTATTAATTTCAATGTTGTCAGTTGACCGGCGGTGTCATTGAACCAGATGTATCTACGTAATGTGGGTTTGTTTGTTTGTTATTTTGTGTGTCAATCCATGTGCAGGCTGCACGATTATCTTTATATGTACGTTCTGTTACACGTTTCTCAGTAATATTTATTGGCGTTGTATTAGGTTGGCATAGTATATACTCGTATATGTATTTATGTGTGCGTCTGTTTGTGTGGGTTTTGAAAAGAAAAGTTCTTTATTAATTTTTTTTTAAATTCTATTCGACAAAGTCCTTCGTGTTTTTTTCACACACTTTTAAAGAGTTTCGTTACCTCTTCATTTTCAAATTCGTTTTATAAAAAAATGTTGACATAGGCAAAATATTCCACAATTCCAGTGTGAGTGAAACTATAGCATAAAAAAAGAAAAGTAGTTTCCCTTTCAAATATGTCAGAGTATTTGATTGGAATCAAAAGTTTAAGTTCAAGTATTTTAACCATTTCAAAGATTTCAAAGGAATATAAATAATTATTTAAACATCATTTTCAACAATCTCAATATTACTAAATTCTATAAACTGTATAACTTTTACCAAAGAGTTCACCTGAATTCTTATACTTATTATTATTAAGGAAAAAATATATAATAGATATATGTATATTTAAATAATATTTTCGGATTACTGCCCGTTATTTTATTATTTTAAAAAAATACACACTACTGACGTTTTAGATACTTTGCAGCAATCGTAATCACGGATAGACGAGATGAGAAAAAAAATACAATAATATGTTATATATTTGTATACTGAAGTCAAGGAAACTATAATTTGAAACGGTATTGTATTAATATCGATGGTGTGTGTGTAGACCGAGCAGTGAGTTATGATCCACAGGACATAATGACTGAGAGACGTGATCTTGATAAAAACACAAAAACAGATGAAAAAATGTTTACTCGCAAATAATTAACATAGCTAAATATCATTAATGTATAATCATTTCCTTGTACGAGTTCGTTTTGGTTTTTTAAGTATTTTTTGTATACGTATATGTATTTCAATTACCATAATATTTAGTTCTAAGTCACCGAGTAATATATTAACATGCAAGTTGGAATGTTTATAAAGATTCCGTTACAAATTTTATAGCGACATTTTTGCAGCTAATGGCCGTTTATGTCCGGTACTCATGACCGGGCGGTCTCAAATACTACAACCATTTATACGTCTGATAGATACTGATTCAAGAAAATACCTAAATAGGAATATAAACATTGTGTATATGAGTAAAAAAGTTCATTAATAAGTTCTAGAAGAAATATATTACGTATTTTATATTAGCGGATGTGTCAGCGTGCGAAGTTACGTAACGTGTAATAGATGTCAAGAGTAATGACGAGTTTGAGTTTAGTAGATGTTACTTATAGTGACGTACAGACATACAACGGGACCGATGGATGAGTGTAAGGTTTACTGGGAACACAGCAGTACACCTACAACGATGAATAATATGAGAAATGTTAATTATAGGAGTCCATTTATAATAGACTAGATTAGAAACTTATGTTATGTTTATAAAAATATACTTTATCATTTTCTTATATAGATAAAAACTTTTATAGGAATCAAACTGTGATTATAATATGGTTGTAATTTCGGTGTGGTGTGACAGGGGACGAACGACCTCACAAGGACGGCCCGGTACTGTATACGTAGCGGCTTGTTTTTAGAGCAGTTTTTTTTAAACATTCCAGATAGCGGGAATATTTTATTGTATCCGACATTCATTTGCATCACAAGGTCGTGTTTTTACGTAATAAATTATCAATTATTACGTATACATACAATTATTATATTTAACTTGTATTACTAGATTAATCTGCCTTTGAAAATATTATGTTATGTTATGATTCAAGATATTTAATTAAAAAAATCATTGTTATACGTTTCTCGAGTTCTTTTTATTAAGAATATTCTCTTTTAAAACATCAAAGTGCGACGACCTTGTATCAATTAAGTATCAGCCAGGATGTGTCAAATATTTGATAAGGTCGGTGCGTTCATTAGTATCAGAAATAATAAATATAACTTTCCGTGGGAAAAATGTTAAAGACGCGCGTTCAGTGTTATGTATACGAACGAAAGCATTAGTATATTATATGTACCTATGTGAATCTATAACTAAAGAGTATTGAATAAATTGATACATCACCCAGACCTAGAATCTTAGTGCTGATATTGAAAGGCCCTACTGAGGTTTTGTGACTTCTTAAATCTTTCGCAAGTTTACTTTAGATACTTTTGGTTGGTTTGAAAAACAAAAATTACTGAGAAATAAGTGTTATTTAGAAAATTAAAGTAATATGATTTATGTGTCCTCATCTTAATCTGTCAATAATGATGTTGGAGTCAGTCATCACTGGATTATTGTGGTCATACATTTTTTTCTTCTTTATACATATTTTTTCCATTCGACTGAGTCTTAGTTAAGCAATAGATATTTGAAATATCGGTTATAAAATATAACATTTAATAAGTGTATTTCTAGTCAACTACGTCAAATTATATTTTTAATTAAATCCAATTTTGATAGCAAAAAAAATATATAAGAACTATGAAGGTATTACGAAATACTTGACCCTCGATATTAAAACGATGACCATAATAAATATTGGTACACGATCGATTAACCTTCGCAGAAACTGGAAACCACTGGGTCAGAGGAAAAGAAACGTAAAGCAATGAGTGAACTTGAAGAAAAAATGCAACAGAGAAATGTAGTTATATAAAAAAGACATTGGGTGTAACTGATCGCTACCAGCATGGAGATTGTAGTGTAGTATAACTATAGTAGGTATAACAGCAGACAGGGAATGAAGTAGTATTATGTTAAAATTGAGAAGTGTAACGACCTCGCAGAAGTATCTTCTACGAATCGATTATTTCTTGAAAAACCAGGATCAGCTCAATACAGAGAGTCCATTACAATAAAGTCCCTTAAAAATGACAGGATGTGAGTAGCGGAGACGTCGCCAGTTACAAGGAGTCGGCGGACGGTACCGTTGGATGCTGCACGTACGACGTATATTTAGAATGTTGACTGATTGGAGTTTCCTGCGAAATCCTCGGAAGGATCACATTGTAGAGTGTGGACTTTAAATATTTAACTTTCATCAGTACTTTATACTGTATATGTATTATTTGATTTATTTTTATTACAAAACATTCGTCTTTTCATCTCAGTAACACTTATATTTTATAATGGTATTGTATCCACGTCAATTGTATTCTATGTTAGACGACGGCGACTCTCATGAGTCGTGTCCATGAAATAATATAAAATAATAAATTAATGTTGAATATAATTCTCTTTATCTCCTCCATCTTTCCCACAACACATTTTGGACAAACAAACGGACAATGGGCGAATTAGTCGCGGCAGTAATGAGGCATTAAGACAAGGTCGGGAAAGATATGAGTACATTGACTATGACGGTAGCCAAAAATGCGTTCAGTCTTTAGACTTCACACATATTATACTTTGAAGTAAATAGAACAGTATTGAGAAAATTTTACAACTTTTGGTAATATTCAATTATTTATAAAATATGTGGTAGAGGTAAGGAAACTATTGGTCATCATGCTGATTCCAAGATCGACTCCTCACTGTACATACGATGTTCTTGCTCTTCCAGTTTATAATTTGCAAATTTTCACATCCTGTTGTATTATTATTAGTTGTTTCGTTCGATAAGTGAAAAAGCCGGTTGCCCTTTCCGTATTCCCACCCTTTCCCATCTTTTCCTTATTCCCACCCCATCCGTCTTCACTTACCAAGGTTGGCAATCCATCCGCAACATAAGACATAAAAAGCATGGAAACTCGAACTAAATACACATATCTTTCATATATATAATGCGAGGAATAATTCTAAAACTATAGAATTTGTACAAAAGTTTATAAATTCAATGACAGAATACAACTTTCGCTTGTTTTAAAGAGTGAAGTGAGAATTTTATTTAAAAAAATAATTTATTTGTACATACAATTACTAGTATTTACGGCACAATTTGGCTCGTGACGGCAATTAAGTAAATTATTTCAATGTTTCATTCATTAAAATAATTAATTAATGACAGTTTAAAATTTGAAGGTCAGAGTAAACAATCATAATATATGGATAAATGAATGAAAAGATGGAGAGTAAATATTACGCAAGAAATTATTACTTGATTAATATCGTACTATTTAAATAGTAGCCGACTAAAGATTCTTTATTAAAATGATTAAAAAACATTATGACAGCAATTATATATTTCTACACAAATGGTTTTTAACGTCACTAAGATTTTCCATAAATCTATGTTTTTTCAATGTAGTTTACCACCAAAAATTAGCTCATTGTTCAGTTCCATATCCAGTTTGTGTTTTATTTGGTATTACACATACATATATCGAACCGCGACTCCAAATAATGTATCAGTGGTCCGTCAACAAGGCTTCCCCGTGTGACAGTGAGCGGTGAAGCCTCCCACAGGTGTAGTCGTACACATTCCCGTTCGTGGGAAACGATACACTCCACTTGGTAATACTATGATACATGTTAAATTAATACTTTATTGACAAAAAACTTACTAAAGATTGGCTTAGTGCTAATGTTATGTGTTCCGTTTGGTCTTATATTTAAGGCCTAAGGTCTTTCAGCTAAATATTTGCTTTGGTATTTGAGAAAAAAATTACGAAATATTTTTTGGCTACCGATAAGTGGATGTTTAATATTTTGTAAAACTATTGTATGTAGGTGATAGTATAAATGTGGACGTGTTTGGTGAGTTCCTAAGGGAAGGTCTGTGGGGCCGCGGTGTGATTGTTCATCCGTGTCTGCGGTATCGTTCTCCCACGGGTCAGCGCCAGCCAGCCCACCCTCTACACCCTCTAGTATCAATTGGTTCATTGAAACGTCTACTATGGAGTTATATTTACAGTTTAATGATTTATATGGCGCGGAATGCGTGTCTCCCTGAACCGGCGGAGTAACATTACAACCACTGTCTGGGGAATGACGACAAACTCTAGTTCCTTTTTAATATAAGTCCAAACATGTCTTGAAGAATGTTTTATATTATTACTTGTTGATGACGGGGATTCATATATTTTGTTTGATACATTTATAGTTTTTTAAGTCTTACGAACAGGAATATATTTAAATGACACAGTAATTGTATCCATGCAGTTAAGAATTTATTAACTTGTCCTGTGTTTTAGTACACTGTATTTACTTAAAACGAGTCAGAATATATAATTTACCATAATAATTTTTTTTAGATCATATTATCTCGTATATACAACGCGTTACAGACGTCATAAAGATTATAAATTTTAAATCCTTTGTAAGACGAGCCAGTGATTTACGATCAGCAATAATTTTCATTATAATGCTATACCAATTACCGATGTGTCTGTAAATAGATTTGAATAGGAGCGTTTAATGGAGGAGCAGTTAGTACGGGGGCTGTAAACACTTTGGGGAGGAATTATTGTTATGAATTTGTAGCCATGATCTATGAATGATGTAGGACATCAAAAGATTTGGTTATGTTTATTATAGAGCGAAACATTATTCAAGAGGATAAATATTTTGTATGATTTTTGTTATGTTGAAGAATAGTTGTAAATGTGAGTCTTCAAGATGTGTTGTGACATGGCGACACTAGTCCAGGTGTCGTGTAGTACTGAACCGCACGCGCGTCTATTTTAAGCTCAATTAGAAAAAGGCGCGCTCTACTCGAGTTTCAAACGGGCCGTATTTCAAATATTGAATATTTAACGCCAGCATGCAGCTCGGGAATCGCGTAACTAATTCATATATCGTTCACAGTTTATTTTGTCAGTTCCGGTAGCCGTTTATAAAATTTACACGGAAGCAGATATTACGCACTTTGTAATCATTATGTAAAGAATTTAATAAAATTTATAGATTGCAACACGTTACGAGATTACTGTTTATGAGAACCGCCTACAGTTTAGTAGTTTAACCTTTGTGATAAAAGAAGGTATCACAGTGAAGGGTTCACCCACGCCAGATCGCCTACGAGCTCTGGAGTGGCAGATGTAGGAGACTCTTGATGGATGTTGCGAAACATGTTCTAAATACTCCATAATATATGTACTTATATAAAATTGAAATATTTAAGGTTTAGTATTATTAGTCAAGGCGAGTCCCGTTTCCATCGAAGCGTTAACACGGGAAGTATTAGCAAAACAATCGGACTATACTCGTATAATGTCTGGGAACGCTCAGTGGAACAAAACTTCCTTCACCGAATTGCAAGTTTATTCCTTTGAGTCCACCGGAGTCTAGAATATTTCTCGCAGGTGTAATGTGGATTGGTTTTATGTTTCCGAAACAGTCTATATTCGGTTCTGGATACTGTTTAGAATTTTGTGAGTTTCTGCTCGAATTAAAGAAAGTATTATTATTGATTACCTTCTTTGAATTTATATAATGCTGTCTAAGTATCGACGTGTAAACAATTATTTGGAACAACAAATGTCTGTGATCCAATTACCAGTGGTACATTCGTTTGTATCAATACTGTTTCGCCTCAATTCTCAGTTCATTAGTCGGTTTGCAAATTCACTGCTGAGTAAACAGTTTGAAATATATCAATGTTGACTAACTCGACTGATCATTCTGTTTTACTTCTACAATCTATAGTTTAGATACATACAACCATTTCTTTAACCAACAATCTAAGTTCTTGTGTCTTTATTGTAATACAGTATTTCTCTTCGTCAATTTGTTTACGAATTCCTCCGTATTTATAATCCATAACGCACGATATTCAAGATTTCTAGCAATAAATATTAACAGCGTGAGCTGCCACAGGCTTAATGTAACTGTATTCGTGAATTATAATGACTTGCTGCTTGAAAATAGTTTTTTTTAACACATACATAATTTCAATATAAACAATTAATTAATTTAGCAATCGATAATTCTTACTGTAGTTAGTATCAAGTAAATCTTCAGAAGTCAATATGTATATTATTGCGTATTCAATAATAATCTATAGAATCATTTCATGTATTCAACGTAATAAAATTTCGATAAACATTGGTTAATTTGAAAGTACAGAGCAATAAATTAAAATAATAGTAAGTATTCTAAATCAATATTTAATACATTTCGTCAGTTCGTATAATATAAGTCGCAGTGGGTACTGTGCGCGGGCGGCGATGTAAAACAAGCCATCGTCACGGAACACAGCTCGAGGCAGAGCCGCTCCCGACACGCTTCATGAACAATATAATTGTATCATTCTGACGGACATTATTGGAAGGATTTCAGACACTACACCTTGATATACATCACATGCACTGGATGAAGAACTCCTGAGGAGTGAGGAGTACTTCTTGAATAAGGGCACTTCTTGTATAACACCTAGAATAGACTTATATTGCGTTACAAACAAAACTACATAAGTTCTACTGCGCTTGTTAAGTTTAGTATTTTGTGTTTCAAAGAAGTTTTATTTATTTAGTTTGCAGTAATTGCTTGAAATGAAACATATGAATAAAGTTAACCTAATTGTATGGTTATTCTAAACATACATGCATTTTTTTAAATAACTAAAAAAACTTAGTTTTTATAATTCATTATCATGGTAATATATTTTATTCAAAGCAAAAAATACTTTATTTCCTTAATCAATATCATCTTAAGTTCATTAAGATCACTTAATTCGAGAGAATTTTTAGTTTGATAAAACTATGAAAGCATAGGAAGAAAGGAACAGAAACGATAATATTAAAAAATATCAATATGATTATATAAAAATTACCTTCATTAAGCTGAGGACGGTTTTTTCCCTAATATTTTTTCCTAGGGGCTGGCCCGTTGTTTCCTACGTTTAAAGTGTCCATATATATACTGAAATATATTGAATATGTTATTATTCTGATGAAGAAGAGAATAGTTCTCACGTGTCTGTCTTGTTTATAGTTTCAATATGCATATCTGTAGCAGACCATCTACCGATGACCTACATTTAATCAGATGTCCGTTTATAATACACCAGTGTATGATACACATGTGTCTGAGACACTACCCTTTGTTACTCCTTTGTTACATCACTAACAAACATATGACCGAATTATAAGTGTATCATATTGTTTTTCATTTAACATTTTTTTCAAGGTTTAATTCAAAGTAACCGGTGCAAAAATGTAGAACACTTTATTTTAAAATACCTATATTTGGAAAGACAACCGACAAGGTAAATAAATACTTCGTGACAAATTAATCGTAAATTTAATTTAAGCCAAATTATAAGTTGTTTCCTGAATTATATTTTAATTATAATATTATATAAGTTAAATGTTTCGTGAAAGTTATTTATCATTACCAATAAGTTTCAGAATCGGGGCCAAATGCAACCGCCCGCATGGTGTGGTTAATATAGGTATATTTCGTGAACAAAGTCAGTATATTTACTTAGTATTATGTAATGATGTTTAGTGAATACAATCAATGTTTATATGAAACACTTTACCGAGTAATGACCGACTTATCGTTATATCTAATCTACGGAGGTGTAGCGAGGGTTTTATTTGAAGTTGCACTTTGTAAATTTTGGATTACAGCTTAAAATACGTAAAAGGAAAAACAATTGCAATATTAATAGAAGATCTATTAAGCTATCAATTATCTTGAGTAATATTAATGATGATATTGGGATTTTATTCCAAAAAATGTATTAACGTAAAATGTAATGCGTTGTTTTTCTGTGATTTATCCTATTGTGTAATTAGTCATTATTTCTGTAGGTATCTTCAGCTTTAGCCATTCGTCGATTAGTCCTGAATTATTTTCCTTGTATTTTCTATTATACTCACACAATAAACATTACAATGCAATATATATTGTGTATTGAATGCGTAATGCGTTTATTGATTATTTGAAAATAACCTACGAAATGTTTTATTTCATTTCGTGGTCAACACTCAATGTCAACAAATAAATTATATTGTACTTAAACTGAGAGGTTTCTTTAAATTAAATTTAAATTGCGTCTTTAGCTTGAGTCGCAAAAAACTGCAATTTTATTGTATTATAAGACGGAAAAAATGTTTAAGTAAATCACAAGGTCGGCGAAGTTGACGCGAACTGAGGTGACTCACATACGAGTACATGGTCTCAAGTACTTAGTACTTATAACACATGTGTAACTGAAAATATATACAGTGATGTATCAAAACACTTAAATTCAATAAAAACAGGAATTTAGGTTTTGTTAACATCTTATCTGAAGCAATGTGAATGTTATGATAACACTCATTTAAATATATTAGCGTTTTATAAATGATTGATTTTGAATATTATAAAATCATCGTATGTTACTAGGGTAATATATGATTTAGTACAGTCAACACCGCGATTCCCATGAACGACATAGGATAGACCGGGAAATATGTATCGTACAAAACGATCTAATTTGTATCACGAAACAAAATACTTTTATAACAATACGAGTAGTAGTTTACTATTGATTTGACAAAATATACCTACATTGTAATTGAAGAGTGATTACGAAAATATACTGAAATGTCTGTATATGTCTGATAAGACCTAATTTAAATATACTGTGACAGCATTGTAAAGTTAAGGTTAAATATATTTATTAAACGCTTCAATTAATCTAACTTCTTTATTAAATAAATGGTTACTTATAATAGGAATTTAATTGAATTCTTATAAAATTTTCTTTTATTACAGATTTAGTTTCTAGCTAGTAGAGAGTCGTTTACTTATCTTTTAAAGTTATATCATTTAATAATGATTCTTCATAATGTTTTTTGACCGTTTTCAGTTAACGTCAGTACTGTGCGTATCAAACATACAAGTAGTCGCACGTGTATGAAATGTTATGATTGTAAACGTTGTTAGTTAGTTATTAATTATTATATAGCAATGTGATCGTGACACGAGTCCTCAGTAACACGTGACGCGCGGCGTGCCCGCTCACTGTAACCAACTATTATTGTACCCAGCGGACTGAGGATGTATCGCATGCTTCAACACTAATATAATCACCAGTTTTTTGCTTTAAACAATACTTTCCAGGTGTCAATGTAGATTGCATAAATTTTTTATAAACAAAAAAATACACAGAAAATTAAATTGATATACAGAATCAAATATCTCTACTTAGAGCTCGTTAATTTGATTAAAGATTGCAACTGTACCGTGGAGATCTCAGATTAATTCTTATGAAGGCCTCTAAATAGGTTAACAACGGTTATACAACAGACTAGTAACTAGTTAATGCAGCTACTGTGGTTATAATATTTGTATATTGTATCAGCGTTACAAATCCATTCTGTCATTTACATCGGTTATTGAACGGCGTGTTCGGTAATTATGCAACAAGTCGAGGAAGTGGTAAATAGTTATGAATATATTATCTGTATAGTATACAGCCTTTCCCTTCGTCTAGATTCCTGTAGTTGAATATTTCCGTCATTGAAGGTCGTTGTAGAGTACGTCACTGTGAAAATTTCTGTTGTTGTTGATGATCGTATCTGATGATATCCAAGTCATAGTAAGATGTCCACGTGAGTCGTGACCGTCCGCATAGTGTTTGTTAGTGAGCGGGGCGGGGGGCGGAGGGCGGAGGTCGGGGCGCAGGCTCCAGCGGCTGTCGGCGGCTCCTCACTTGGCGCCGAGAGTTCGCGCGCGAGGGTCGTGTCGCGCGGCTGTAGTGACGCGTGTCGATGTTTCTTGGTGCAGTTCTGTATGTCTGACTCGTATGTGTCTGTGTTATGATGTTCCTTACCCAGTGCGGGCCCTGAAGGGCTGTATACAGTGCTCGTTCCCTCTCACTGGAGCCGCTGTCCCCGGTGAGTGTTCTTCTTTGATTTGTTTTGTTTCATTGTTATTTCCAAGTACTTCTTGTACGCGAGCCCACACGCGCAGTGGAAATACTTGTTTACTTTTGAAGAAGCCGGTAATTTTTTCGACTTTCTTTAGTGATTCTTCTTTAAGTTATTTTCTATGAAACATTTTCTAACAACGTAACCTGTTGCTCGTTGTTTCCGAAATATTTGTAATTGTAATCAAGTAATATCTGTTGATAATGGATCAGTATTATTAAAGCCTTGCTGTATCCGTTCAAGACGCTTCCGTCCGTCTGTACTTGGCTTAGTTAAATCGTATTGTTGAACACCACGGGCTCGCATTCCATTACGAATTACAAAAAAAGGTTTGTACTTTATATCAGCGGGTAATGAGATTTTAGATTTTTGAAATAGTTATATGGTATTGATGTACTTCTTTATATTAAGTAATATAATATGTATAATGATTCTAAAGTGTCGATGAACACCTTAATGTCATCTGTTCTGAATCATTCTATAGGAGCCGGACTTTGAGCCATCTCGTTTTCTTTTTGTGAGTCACTTCGCTTTTCTTGAAGTTTGTACGTGGTCGGAAGTAATTATTTATGAAAATAACTAATTTGTTCTTGTGGTAAAAGTACTATGTAACGATCGTAGTGTAAAGCAACATTAATATTAAGCCTTTATTTAAATATCTTGATTTTTCGTATGTACTGCCATGAAAAGAATAAAAGTTTATCTTAAATCCCTCGGCCGATCTTTTGTTTGATCTGCTAAGTGAGGAAGCGTTCAGCCTCCTTCATGTGAGGAATGTACTGCGAACTGTGAACATTAAAATGCATTCCGATTTATTCATAGCTTGGAATGTTAATATAATAGAATGAGAAAAAATATATATTATGAAATCAGCTACTATACTATGGATTGATTAAAGATTTTGAAAATAAAGTTTGACTTAATTTAGAAATTACATTAATTCTTCATTAGTTCTTGAAATTTCAACTCTGTGGTAATGATCTAATTGACACTTTTTAAACAATAGAGTCAGAACGTTATAGAGGCCAATGATCTTAATTGAGAAACTGTTTGAATTTTACGCATTAAAACTTTTGTATCAGAATTAACTACAGTTAACTACAGAAAACCATTTTGTTTTGTTTCTGAATAATTAAATAAACTTAATGATGAACGTTTTCAATAGTATCTTTATTTGTTGTGATAGCGGATGAGAAGATTAGACATAGTCAAAATTTATCCGATGATTTTGACTAAATTACAACAAATAAAGTTATTTAATTATTTATAGAAATCTCCCGGTGGGAAAAATCGATAGAGAATTTACCGATATTTTTCTATATATATTTTCATTATCATTGAAGTTTGATGAAAAATAAATATTGGTTAAAAAACTCTTATATTGAAAGGAATTCGATTTATGGCTCACAAGTCATGAGCGTGAAATTATACATTTCACGAGTGCGAGTTCTGTAATTGGAACTCTATTAAGAAATCAATACAAATATTTATAGATTGAATATTCATCAATATTTTAATTATACTAGTGTTGTAACAGTGATTGTAATGAGCGTTCCATTTTCTGTGAGAGAAAAGAAAACTGATAAGAAACAGTAATTCCTACTGTTGTATTCATGAGACACTTTTGTTCTATGATAAGGAGAAACGTGCGACTGGTCTCAGTCTGAGTCATTTGTTGTATTTATTTCCATTTTAAAAACTATTCCATACCAAATATACTATTTATATATAGTATATTCTAAGTCAAATTATAAATAGTCCTTTTTCGATAAGACTGTTTGATTAGGATAGTTTGTATCTACGAGCGTTTCTCCGGCTCGTTCTTTGCAAGGTCAATATTATCACGGAATTTCATTTCACGCTTTTAAAGTCGGGGTGAATTTTTAACAGTCGCTCCATAATTGTTATATGTTTGTGTTTATCAAAGAGAGTATAATACTTAATATTTAATTCCAGGTTAACGCTTTTAATCTTGTATATAAATTCTTTTCAATGGCATCATTAACTGTTTTATAGTGAGCGCTATATTCCCGCGATTTCTTCGTTCTGCCTCACTCTTGCAGACCTGTTTTTTTTTCTTGAGGTCTCTGTACAATGGCGCCCTCTCCCACGCTCTCGGCTGTACTTGCGACATTTTTATTTCAGTTATTCGCGTCCTTTGCGGTTTTATTTTTAACTAATAGCAGGTTCGATCCCCTTTTATTTGATATTAATGGTCACGTTAAATACACTTTAGTTAACGGACTCCAGTTCTAAAAATATTAATAATATAATATGAGGGCTGAAGACACTCACGAGAATGTTTTCTTCTAAACCATATTCTTGATTCACATACTTTATTAAATTTCCTTAAACCTTAATAAAGTTGAATATTATAATTACATTTTAATTACTTCACTACATAAATGTAATATCAATTTTAACATACCATATTCTTACAGTATCAAACAATGTATTTCTAAACAAGTCACATCTGTAATTTTTCCATAGTTCATGTATAATTATTGAACAGTATTCCAAGAAGTTACGGTGTTTCGTTCACGTCACTGATGATTCAGCTGTGATTTGTGAATCAACTTGACCTTTGATATAAATCTAATTCTAACAGTTGTTTGTGTTCCGCGTTATAAAGGTTCTACTATAATACTACTACAGTTCTACATATAATACTACTATAATACTAGTATCAAAATTGGCAGATGTCAGTGGTTAAGAGGCCCGCTCTCATGCATGAGGGCGCGAATTCGATCCTAGCAAGTACGAATGTGATTTTTCCGTGTCATATGTACTTTCTAAGAATATTTAGACTTCACTGATTAATGCTGATTCCCAAAAGAGGGTTGATGTCAGGCAGGCGGCCGGTCGTAAAACAATTAGCCAAAACTATTCACAACATGTAAGGCAGACCCTGACTAAAGCTGGGAAATTGCCAGGTAGAAGAAGAATACTAGTATCAAAGTTGTACTATTTAATACAGGTGTCAGTACTGAGGAATGTTTTCAATAATTGCAGCTTTATTTAGCAGCGAAAGTGGCTCAAAACTGTCAGTAGAAAACAATGAGTCGCGTGCGAGGCATACACATTATGTATTAGGATGTTTTGGTTCTGTTATAGAACATTTACCAATTATAGTGTTTGTGTTAAATTTATCTGTTACGGCATATTCGGATAAATATTGCAACATTGCTATAATAAACTAGTATTAACTTTAAAATGTATGAGAAGCCGAATTTAGTATCGTTTCCATATATAGAAAATGTTACACTTATGTCATTTAGAATTCTATGTTATTTTCCTTATATAGTATTTAATTCAAAATATAATATTCAGTACTATTATATTAAAATTTAATTTTATCGGTTCTATCGTTATTTGTATCGGCTAGCCGTGTTTTTTTCTCTCCCATTGTTCAAATCACTCAGCATTCCTCTTGTACATTGCCCTGTGGATTGCAGCGTTATTCTTTTCTGGGCATACAGATGTAAGAAGTGACCTAAACCGTTGCTGTGAGTTCATCAAATATAATTAAATTTCCACTAGGTTGTAATAAACTATTTAATACCTATATATTCTATATATGTATACAAAATTAACCATAATTATATAATTTTATATCGGTCAATTGATTTTAAAGGTCGATATATCAACACTAATAATTCACGAATCACGATAAAATACAATCAATGTATGCTAAGCCCTGTAACTTGTAAGTCTGTCCTGTTTACTTTTGAAGAAGATAACGTGCGCTTGGAATGAGGTTAGAAATGTTTTGCTATTTGCTTAAATAAATACATAGATATGAGATATACATGGGACAGACTGAATATATTATATACTACATATATGGATATAAACCTGGCAATTTCCCAGCTTTAGCCAGGGTCTGCTTTACTTGTTGTGAATAGTTTTTACGACCGGCTGCCTGCCTGACATCAACCCTCTTTGGGAATGCATTAATCAGTGATGTCTAAATACTCTTAGAAATTACATATGACTCGGATAAATGACATTGGTACTTGCCAGGGCCAGGATCGAACACGCGCCCTCGTGCATGAGAGGCGAGCCTTTCAACCACTAGGCCACCACTGACATATATTATATAGTAGATATTATATATATATATATATAATGTATGTATGTATGTATGTACGTGTTATCCAAACAGATGAAGTCTCGGCGCCGTCTTCATTGCTCCAATTACCTCCACTTACCGCCATCTGCCTTACTCACACATTAAAAATTAATTTATTGCTTCAAATATGTTTACATATTTATTAGTGACCGTGGTTTGTCATAGTACAAAACCTCTAGTTAGGTTCTAGTAGGTGTATAAGTTAAATATTTAATTTACTAAATGTATAGTTATATTAATAAAATATTTTTTTTCTTATAATGTTTTTATTACCAACAGAAGATACGTTTAACTTTATGTGGTAACTTAAATAGAAGATGTTAGTATAGTGAATGAATTATAAAAGCGACAAAAGAAATATACGAACTATAAATAATGGCCTAAGGGTTGTACCGAGGAAACAAATGTTACCATCTTTTAAGATATTTTAAATTAAATTATTAAGTTTATACTTTATATTGATTAAAATATGTAAAATAATAAAAAATTCACAAAATATTGGATATTATAAACTATAAACAATTTTTATGTGAGATAAATAAAAATATTTATTAATTGTCCAAACGCCAGCACCTCCCAAATTAGGTTCGATAATAAATTTAATGTTTATTTGTGCTATAAACCGTGGTGTTGTGAGTTACGGGAACATTTTTACTGTCCTGTGTTTAGTTTATCGTTACAAACAAATAGGGAACATTATCGGTGCGCGTGCGCAGGGTGAGCGGGAGTACAAGGAATTATTACTTGAATTAGACGATCTGTTTATTGATTATATTGTAATCTAATACCATAATGAAAACTATCAATTCATGGTTTCTTTATGGCTTTCTTAGAATATTCGGTTTATTAGATATTGTTTAATAACATATTTTCTGCTCTGTAGTTACGAAACATCTCTCAAGTGTCCGAACCTATCAGAGGGCACTTCGTTTAACGTTAGAGTCATTCCATTCAATTAGTGACCAATTAACGCCGTCTTCCTACAGCGGCTTCATTGCGAATAACTCCGAAACTACGAAATTGATGCAATTTGACGGCCTTGTGTTAACTACGTGTAGGATGGAATTAAGACTTGGAAACTACACAGTTAAGAGAAGCTTTGTACATCCTTGGTTATATAAGCCCCAAATCGAAGAAATATCGAGCTTGTATATCTATCTTAAAAGGTTCTTAATAAGTCTCTTAAGTTTTATTACATTTAAACTAAATAAATTTTAATAATAAATTGATTGCATGAAACATTCAACCTGTTTCATATTGACTTTGATATAAATTTATAAATATTGTCGATGTTTAATGTACCAATATGGTGTGTTATAACTCTCGCTCCAAATACGTCTCACAAGGAGTCTGTCTGACTCTCTGACAGGTCATTGTTCCTGCACACCGGCGCGATTGTAATTAAAATCAGATACATACGGTAACTGTAAGGAGATGAACAACGTATAAGATCAACTGAAACGATACACTGATTTAAACCGCATTTATATATTCGTTCCTAATAAGGACGCTTTATGTTTATTTAAAGCATAATAATGAAAAGAATACATCTTAAGACGGTTTTCTTTTATTACTAATGGTTATTAATTTCTTTTTATATTTGTAAAATATTATAATATGTAATTTTGTTACACTAAGGTATATAAGCCTGCTCTTTGCTATAAGAATTACCTCATTTTTCCAACGTTTGATAGTAACTCAATAAATTGCTAAGAATGTCCATATTTTATTTTAGGCAATAATTATTAGATACTTTTGAAATGAATACGACGAATTATATTTTTATTAAACTAAATATTACTGTATTGATTACATAAAATATAATATTAAGGTCAAGTGACGGAGCTGCGGTGAGGATCACTTTATAATGGTCATTTCTTAATACATATTAATAATTATGTATATAAATAGAGCCACGAGTATTATAAATAGACAAACACTATAGTTACAAATGTTTTGTAATTCACTTAATATTTCTTCGTACCCTTCTCACTGAATAAGTTAAAGATCCCTTTGGCGTTGAATTATAAACACAATTTATTATCTGCTGAAATAGTCGTTGTATCACTTAAAAGCTTTTTACTCTTATCATATGGTCATACTATATGGTATCTTGAATCATGCTCGGAGAATTGTAAATAATTGGAATTGATTTATAAATAGACATTCTTCAGTATATCTATGAAACAGTAGTAATAATTGTAGTAAATGAAGTAATATGAAGATTATAACTGTAACTTCGGATCTCGTTAATTAGATGCTAGAGTTAGTTTTCCGTTGGGAACTAAACATTATTGAGGAAATTGCAATATATTGAGCCCCTGTTCAAAACGCATGTTAAACATTTAAGTATTATCAATATGAGAGTAAATTTAAATCGATTTTGGAACGTTTGTATGAACAATAGATTTTATTTTATTTATTATATCAATATAATATTGTCACCACTCACTCCGAAGTACATCGCGTGTAAACATTCGACTCTTTATATTTTAGAAAGTCAAAATTACGCGGTTTACAATGTTTCACGAATTATTAAAATTTTCACACGCAATTATTTAAAAGAAATATATTGTTTGTGTTTAAAAAAACTGTGTCTTTGAGTCTTGGAGTAGTTTTGTTATTTTTATGTACGCTCGCCTGTCTCCGCAGACATCTTGATTCTTATCTAAAGCCTGAAAGTTATTTATTATTCTTTAAATGTGAATCTTACTAATATTATATATGTTTATAGTATTGTGTCCGTGAGAAAACCCAATTTGGTATATGACATTTATATTATCATTATTATATCCATATATTTAATATGGATATAATTTGTCTGAAAATAAAAATATTATTATTATTATTATATATTAAATTTACGAAACAACGCTTATCAAAAATATGGACCAAAACTAACTAAACTAAGAGTTTAAGTAAATTTTGAGAGCTGAACCAAGTCTGGATCGGATCCTTGTAAACTGTGCTCTAATATCGTAACAAAAAGTAGTTTCACATAA